AATACCAAGTCAATCATTTACATGGTGTTGCTGACATTTACCAGGGGTCTGAGCAGGGTGAAGAAAGTTTGGTCATGAACAAGAGACATGATGCGGATTCGAGCCAGATTAGAGAAACCGGCTGTATAATATAAATGGCCCCACCGGGATGGAGTAGTCAGTAACATAAGAGTGATTAGGGATACTGCGGGAATGAGATGATAGCATTGCTGTATAGGGTCATCTAGACGAATATAATGTTCAATGTACATAGGATGGCACGAGCCGGTGTGAGATCGCCTGTAAACACACGAAAGGGAAAAGAGACAATTATCATTGGATGACAGACAGAGTTTCAGCAGATGTAAACTCATGCCTGATGCGAGGCGGGACGACGACGACCAAAGAAAAACCCACAGCAGCTCACTCCTTCATAGACAATGTCCCCGCTCTATCAGTTGAGCCTTGTTGTGTTGGTCGTCCTTGAGACCCTTGTGCATCCACTGTAGGTTGTCCGGGTGTCGTTGAACTGTCGGCATTGTTGTCGTTCAGGCGTTGCATAGCTGCCGCCGCTTCTTCGTCAGTCTCGGGAGCGATGCCATATCTCTGTAAATTTATTTGAATAGTAAGAAATAGGCGAATACTAGTGGTGACGAGCGACTCACGTCATCCTCGCGACAAGGAGCAACAACCGAGTCGACAGGCTGCTTCGACATTCTTATGGGAGATCTGAAATTCCAATGCCTGGGCTGGAGCGGTAGTTGCTTGGGGTACATCTGCAGATGGAGTGTTGAAAAGTCAGCGAACCGAATATATTGCGCCAGCGAGGGGGGAATGATGGGCTCGCAGGTGAAGCTGCACGATGAGGCATGCGGTTCCTATCAGTGTTCCAGAAGTCGTTGCCCTGTATCAGGGTCAACCTTGCAAGAGCTCAGGAACCAAAAGTTATACTGACATATTTTGCCACCCCTCTGTTGTTCGCCCGCTGTCTAGAGACCAGAAGGGGGTCAAAGTTCTAACGAGATGAATGAGCATTTGAAGAATTAGTGAACAATTGATCGGCGCACATCTCTCGGTCGGGTTGCACGTCCCTTATAAAAAGTGAGATGCTGTGTGAAAGAGAAGCAGAGTTAACTTACCTTGAGCTTTGCGCCGGGTTTTGCATTGCCATCATCACTCTGAATGACAAGCAAGCCCACTCAGAAATACACTAACAACAAATCAGTATGCTCACATTATCACGATCCTGTTGTTTGAGCGCTGCCTCCAGGCTCCATACATAGATTTTTGCAGTCTAATCCAGCACTGACGACGTATTTTCCATCAGGGGATATAGTCAAGAGCCCAGACTTCGTCAGTCAGTGCAAGAGTGGGTCTCCAACTGGCTGATTGGTCTTGGGGTCCCATATGCGAACATGAGTAATCCGTTGATGCGCTAACAAGATGGCATTCAGTCCGGGGTCAGACTGATGGATAGTGACATCGTTGGCATGACCTCGAAAAATAACAAGCTCCTGCCCATCAATCAACCGCCATTTTCGGATGGTGCGATCGAGTTGACGACGAGAAGATATGTGCGCCGTCCTTGGACCAACACAACGAGATCACCATGTCTTCATGTCCTTTGATCTCGATGAGCAGCTCGCCGTCCTTTGACCACACGCGGATCATCTTGTCCTCGCCGCCGCTCGCGAATTTGTCGCCTTGTGGAGAGTATTTGATAGCATATACCCAACCGTGACTGGTTTCTATAGGTGGTGCTATTTGTCGCCCAGTATCTGGGTTCCAGCGTCGTATGGTGCCGTCATCCGATCCACTTACTATCTCCAGGGCGTTGCGAGACCAATCGAGGTACGTCACTGGAGCATCATGCCCCTCCCATGGGTTGCCGACCATGCTGCCCTCCTTGATGTTCCACAACCGTAGCCTGTCGTCTGTACTTCCACATACGACCATCGTTTCATCCGGAGATACCGCCATTGAGACTACCCCTCCTCCGTCACCATGCCAAGGCTTCCCTACAGGCTCTCCGTCTCTCGTCCACTGCCGAATGAAACCGTCTTCCGAAGTGCTCATGATATTGCAATTGGCGCCCAAGCAAGCAAGACTCCATATGCACTTGGAGTGACCCTCGATGATGCACTCCGGTGTCAAGCTCCCTGGTGGACGTTCTGGCGTTGGTTTCTTCCACGATGTGGTCCGAGTGTTGTGATTGACGAAGTAGGACCGACCGAGTGGTGATATATGCCATTCGCATCCGGAAACAACAAGATACCCGGGATTATCTATGCTCAAGCATGAGTTCCTCGCTTCTAGTGCTACATTCTTCTTTCACCTAGTCGTACCCCTGGTAAAGGTCGCTTCCGTGAACTCGTCATGAGTGAGTTGTCTTGATAGTCCGTTGTACCATCCAGCCTCTCAAACTGCCACCATTCAGGAGGGAGCGCTTCATTCCCGCCTGCTTTTGTTGAATAAGTCAGCAAGCATGACAATTCAGTTGCTCACCTTCCCAAAGTGCATCCTGGCGGTGCTGTGCACCATATGGTGGCGGATTCTTCTCGCTCTTCCGAATAGGTTTGACAAACGCCGGTGAGTCTGACAGCACTTTTCGTCCCATATCTGTCCGCCTTGCTGACGCGCTTGACTCTGCCTCTTTGCGGGGCATGACCCCGATTGAAAAAGGTTGCTGCGAGGGAACGTTCGATAACGGGCCAAATCAATAGTCGAGGGTGGAGGAGATGGAGAGACCTGCTATTTCACAGGGTTGATCATGCTGTAGATACTTACTTAAGTACTTTTTAGTTTGCGATGCTTAATTATATTCACATCACGGTCCGCGTTCCAGAGCGTCTATTTCTTCACAGCAAGTCGCACTTTGTCAGTATGGTCTACCCGGGCGGCATATCATAGACACGACAATGGTTCGTGGGTGATACATTAACAATCAAAAAATGATGCGGACGTGGCATAGCGACAATTCACATTCACCATGTCTCAGTCACACTGTGGGTAGTAGATCCAATGAAAATCATTGGAAAAAGCCCTGATGCTGAAATTTTCATTGGAACTTCTACTGAAATGGCAGGTAGTTAATTTCATTGGAGTGCTGAATCCAATTCAGCACCACTTTCAGCACTATTTTCCAATGAATCCGATTTAGCACCAACTTCAGCACCTTTTTTTCCAATGAATGTTGTAAATAGCTTACAATAATGATATTTTCACTAATAATTTTTTAGTAGAAGAAGGATGGTATATATTAGAATTGTGATTGTAGTAATCAAAGGTCCCGTGGTTTACACCACTGAGTGCCGAAAGGCTGTCACACAGGTCTAAAAGTAGTACCCTGTGACTGACCTCACCGCCACCTCGGTCCAATGTCTTTCTCGGTACCTCTTGCCAAGCAATATGATATATCTATAGGGAGGCGAGGAGGTGGAGGGGTTGGGAGACATGCTTACGGCCTGTCATATACCGGATTGGAGTACCCCAGTACCACCTATAAGCATCCCCACCCCTGGTCTGACCCCCTGTTTCCCCGTCCGCTCCATTCCTCCTTCCCTGACAATGCACGAAGTGCATCTCAGCAGGATTAGCCCTGCTACCTCCGCCTGACCCCATTCCGCTTTTCCGACACCACCCCTATGTCCCCCGACCCCATACCCCTTCCATCCAACCCTATCTGAGGTTCCGCTCCTCCGCCCTATCGGTCCGCCCGATCCTACTCCTACTCCCTCCGCTTTTCCAACCCATGGGGGTCCTTCAGTTCCGCTCATATTCCCCCACCTGACTGTTAGTCCATCTGACCGCCTCACTGGTCCACTCCTAGACTAGGAACCACTCAACTGGTCCTATCCCCGTTTAGTATCATAGTTCCGCTTTTCGGATCACTGGTAATTCCTATACCCTAGTGATTCTGATCCATCGCGTACATACTGTTCCCCGAGCCTTATTCTCGTATGTCTCAGTCATCCTATTGTAATCCTGTACACTCAGCACATAGCCCTCTGCTATGCTATGCTCATCACTTAGAGTATATAAACATATGTACATTTGTCTGTAGATACTCAGTCTGAATATTACCTTTTCTAAGCCCTGCTCTTCTGCCCTTTGACTTAAAGCTTATCCCAAGTCAAACTCCTGTTTCCTGGCCTAGGGGATTGACTTCCTAGGTTGGCTGTCCTCCAATCCTCCGTTGTTCCTCCGTTCCGTTGTTCCTCTGTTCCTCCATTCCCCGACTTCCTGTGTGTCGGAACTAAACCCCGCACTCTCGCATCCATCCCCTCCATTCTGCTCTGCATCGGACTTCATCCAAGCAGTCCCTTCCGCTCCGCTTCTACTGTTGGTTCCGACCGCAGTAGTCTCCCGCCTCCCTCCTGTCAGGTGGAACAACCCCCGCCTGACTTTCCTGCACTCACCTAGTAGTCCATCAGTCCTCCTTCAGAGGACCCCCATTCTGATGTCCTGTCGGAACTCCTAGAACTTGTGTCGGACTACACCCTGAAATTAGGGGCACGTACTTGGGTAAGGGGTGCAGCATACGAGCTGAAGCCAAGCCCCTCAGACTCCGCTTTACCCCTGAGCACGGTCTTAACACAGCCACCAAATGAGCTATTAGAGGCACCGTTGATACCCTGGCGACCAGAGCTATAGTTAATATAAGCATTAGAGGTTCTGGGTAGGTCTTTTACAACACCTGGCAGAAGCATCTCGCTCATACCTGTCACACAGGTTGGTCTCCATAGGTTGTGTGCAGATCTTCCCAATATTTGGTATACATAGAGTTTCAGCTGTGAACAATATTTAATCGACATTTCGTGCACCATTCTCATCTCACCAGCATGGACAGTTGCAGCGAACCAGGTATATTCACCCCATTCCCAGACTCAAGCATCTGAGCAAATGAAACGGGTCACAAAAAATATTGCATTACGACGGTTTAGATATAGACAACATTAGCAGTAGAAACAAATGTGATATATGTATGGAGCGATGGAAAAGAGGCAGTGCCGGAATGAACATCACTTATTGTCAGTCCACAGGAGGTTGTTCTGAATAGTGGTCTGCCACTGGGGACTACTGTTTGTGAGGAGCCTAGGAATGGTCATTTTACTGGGAAAATCAGCGAGGTCTTCCTGGAAATATTCTACAAGCATTCTTGGCAATAATGAGCAACAATTTGCAAGGTTTGATCATGAAACACCTACTGCCGAAATGCGGTTTCAAGTGTTGTTTGATTGTCCGCCGCCTCCTGCTTGGCAACCTTGTGAATGTTCTTGAGCGAGGTATCAACAAAATTCCAAAATCTTCCTGAAGTGAAAATGGCGGGCTTGCCATTGTCCCCAAAGCCAGAGTCGTCCTCAGCAATAACTCGGTTATGTGGGGTGGTATCAGGCACCTCGTTATCCTCAGGCTCATTATCCTGGTCTGCATCCCCATCGTTACCTGAATTCTCCTCCAACCCCTCTGCACCATCAGCTAAATCACCGTTGTCGATGGCTCCATGTCACGAATCCCTAACACGAATCATTTTTCATTTCTCGGTTTTCCTTCGGCTATGTCCCATACCCGAACCGGTCACGTGATACCTCCACCTTTCACGTTATCACATCATCACCATGTCACATTTTCACCCCTTCACATTTCACCAATCACATCTCCGATCGGATCCCCTATGCCCAGGGCTAGAACCATATGTCTTCCTATCACTTAATCTCCGTCTCTGACATCATTGCTTATATATCACTATGTCATGCGCAGTATCGTACAATTCTTTCTCATTGGCTGATTATTTACAGACTCAGATATCTCCAACTCAATGTTATGTATATAGGCCGGGTAGTTAGCGTAGTTTCTCTTTAGACTTAACCTCTTCGTTCCTACCCAGTGTAGACTCAGACGTTCACTCTCAATCTTATCCTTGCTCTTACTCTTTGACGAGTCCTAGTGGTTGTGTGAAACCTTTGCCATTCGGTGAACATTGATCATAACACTCCACTGGGAGCTCCTGCATTGTGCATTTCCAAGCCTTCATCGTCCTGATTATCTGAAATTTCTTCTTCTCTGCCTAGCATCTCATCCTCGATGCCATTAATGTCGATGCTGAGCTTCGGTCCAATTCTGGCACGGACAGCAGTGTGGAGAGATGGAATAAGAGAAGGCGAATAAAGGGCCTTGAGTGGAATGGTCCTGTAGTTGCTGATACCAATCATAAAGACGCGCAAGCAGCGCCGCTAATTGTTGCAGGTTATTATAACTACAATGACTGATAGTAGGATGAAAACGCACCAAAAATGCAAGCCTATTCCAATGAGCGGAGTCAACCTCGATGGAGCCATGCGCAAGTGATTTTGCCGTGTCCGTAATGCTCATGCGTTTGCAGATAGACGCGAGCAACTGAGCAATCATTTTAGCAATTCTTGAGATAAATTAAATATCACATTGCATACCTTGCTCTTCATGTTACCGCGAATTGATGAAAGCAGCTCACTGACAGTTTTTGCAAGTATTGCAGTCAGTTTGACGTCTTTGAACAGTGACAGTGGAACTTTGAATATACCACTGTTGTTCTTGATGAAATTCTGTCGCAGTATCAGTTCTTGTGAAAGAGTCATCATAACTTGAAGGGGGTTACCATGATGTGGGGAAGTGTGTCCTCCATGTACGCGGTAATGTTTGGTGACAGTAGACATGCTATCAAACGATTTTGGAGTGCAGACTGCATAGAACAATTAACCTGGTGACTTGTGGGTGGAGATGGCAAAAAATACTTTGAAATCTTTGGAGTTTATCAACTCTTTCAAATCAAGGAGAATGGCAGCTCTTTGGGCTACATCAAACTTCATCATACACACTTTGAGGTCGATAAGCATGTAATATATTCCTCCGGTCTAGAGGTGTTTCAAAAAATGAGGATTTGTCAAATGATGCAGCAACTCACATCAATAAAGTCATTGAGACCCTTTTCTGAGACATCGTTCTCAGCTGCCTTCTCAGCATATATTTTGAGCCATTTCATGCGTGAGGGCATAAGGATTGTTGGGTCATCATGGCCAGCCGCAGAATATGTCCTTTGGCGATGTATACCAGTGGTAATTGGCTCATTGATTGAATCACCAGATGAGGGAGAATGCGGAACAGCAGAATGTGCCATGTTGTCGCCAACAGTAGTCAGACTATGAGAAAGTGATGTGCTGTCGACTGGAAACGTGCCGAGTGGTGAGCGTGCACAAGCAATGTTTCCCATTGCCTGAGAACCACATGCAGAAGGGGCTCGTGATCCGCCAAGTTGACTCCTGCTGGACGTTGAAACACTTCTTCCTCGAGACTGCAGCAAGTTGATATCTGGCATCAACAGACCATCATTTCCTGAACTTTGGGCCTGTGAATTACCTGAAGTCTTTGAACCTCGAGAACACACAGGAAAACACGAAATCATGATGTCAAAAGTGAGGAAAATGCACGAGACCTGGTGTTGCCCAAGGTTGATGACGACAGACAAATGGACAGAAAGTCAGAATCCAGTCAAATCACATTGAACTTCACTTAACGTAAATTTGGTAAATTTGGGGCACACAATGAAACCAAGAAACAGACGAAGTGCTCTCAAGAGCAGCAGAGAAGATAAATTGAATAGCATTAAGTATACAAGTGGTATCAAGGGTAAAACAGTAGCAGGGAAAGATAGTATGGGGACATGTTGGATAAAAAACAAGCAGATGCGGTCGCTAATCATTTCTACATCCCATATCAAAACTTACCTTGACCGTGGTGTTCTTGAACTGATAGTTGCCAGCATTGGCAACCAAGCCTTGCATCTTTTTAAGGCCCAGCCAGTGGACCAGTGTGACAGAAACGCCCTTGAAAAAACTTTTCAATTGGCAGAACTGTGGGGAATCTGCATGGAGGTCCAGTGCACATGCTCTAGAACAGCGAGAGCGGCGATCTGAAAGTTACCCTGCTTGAACCTCCAGCGCACAACATTGGTTTGCTCTAGAACAGCGAGAGCGGCGGTCTGGAAGTTACCCTGCTTGAACCTGAGATTTATTTGAGTGTTAATGTATAGTAATCAAGGTAGGCTTGCTTATATGGCTGCTGTTGTAAGCCTGGATGAGGAAACTCTTCAATTCTCCTTGTCTCTCTAAGAGAAACCAGGAGGCAGGAAGTAGGGGTTTGGGATACTTTGGAACTGCAGTTCACCAGGAAGGATATGCAGTGCCATGCGAATGTTTGAACCTGATGCTGTGGGAGCCGACTGTGCATGGGTGGGGCGTGTGTCTGCACTTGGATGATAGCCCGAGTAAAGATGCAGGTTCAGTGGCACTGGTGGTGGATGAAGGTATGGCTATGGCAGATGGAGGTACATTTGTGACGGAGGAATGTATAGTTGCAGTGGAGGAAGGTATGGTTGTGGCGGAGGAACATATTGTTGTGGTGGATGAGGCAGAGAGTGGTGGAAGGATTGGGGTGGAGGAGGGTAGAAGCCTGAGCCCATTGGCGGCACGAAGTGACCCTGGCCATGCTGATCAAAAGCAGCAGCATTAGATTGAACCATGGAATTCTGCTGAGTGACTGGTGTCTCATGTGCAGACGATCTGTGAACAGTTTGACGAGCGTGAGATGGTGCAGCCTTCTTGCCCGTGTGCTGGAGCTGCTTGCTCTTGCTTTCGGTTTGGCGGTGGTCCTCGGTTTGGCGGAAGGTTTATTGAAAGCAGGAACTGGTACCAATGAATGCTGAACATTATTCTTGGTGCTTTCGGCTTCTTGAGGAGTATCGCCAGATTTCTTCAAAGCTTTCTTCTCCTTCATATGTTATACAGCTGTGGCCCAAACTTCTGCCACATTTGTAACTCTCAGTGGCATTTCGCGAAGCGTTTCCGGAACAACAAGATGGATATGCGCATAGTTATGAAGAGAGTAGGTGTTGACAAGAAAGTGCGGAGTGGACTTATGGTGAATGGTGGGTTTCATCCGGGAAGTTTCAATCCGTTCTTGACAGACACGCTGTTAGAGGGTGTCCATACATTGCGAATTGATACAGTTGTGCTGGAGATTGACAATGCATATGATATCCTGTTGGATAATGATCAGAATGATTCACGCATTTGTAAAAAAGACTCACTGATGCCGTTACAACTACTTCATCATCCATAAGATTCAGATGCGGGAGATGGACAGAGGCATGTAATGTATCCAGAAACGAAAAGAGCTGTAGTGCGACATGAATCACTGTTTCATGGTCCTCAGATGATATGAGAATCTCGCAAATCTGTCCAATGCCCACCTAGTAGTATCTCATGAATCAACAGCCACGAAAAGTCAGGAAATTACTCACCTGCCCATTCGCCCCTTGACAAAAGATAACGTGGCTATTTAAATGAGCGATGTCACCCTCACTCGCCACAACTGATTTGCCACAATAGTAAATGATGCCAGGCTGTGTGGTCTTCAAGGTCTTCGCACAATGAGTGTTCTTCCAGGCCACCACATCATTCCTTGTTGTTTTTCCATTCGTGCCAGAAGTCTATTGAGCCTTTCCAGAGCCTACAAGAAATATGAGTGAGGATAAAGCAAGGCACAATGCGCTTAAATACCAGGTACTGCAGGGATTTGAACAAAATGGGACAACCCAAGAAGTCGGGCTTGCTCTGGGTGATCGTCCAGGTACTCAAGGACCACTTGACCTCCCCGAACCCATTTTGCTACTTTATGGTCGTACCAATATCTGCTGGTGGCAACATGCTTGACGATGTCTTGGTGAGTGAAGGTTCTGCAGCTGTCACAGCTCAGCGCTTGATGATTGCTGTATATGCATGACAAACGGAAAACATGATTAAACGACTCATATCTTTCTGTTAAAAATACGATTGCAGGCCCAAACTGACGGATGTAAGCTGGGAGGTGGATCAAGAAGTGAAATTTGGGTTTGCTGATAATGATGCTGGGGGAACATTGTGCCGTGACATTAAGGAAATCCTCAATCATTCGAGATAACATTGCCTGAAAGACTCAGTGTGAGACCTAGAATCTACACTTGCATATGAACTTACAAGATAAGCTTCCATATTCAATATGTTGGTGTGCCATATGAGCACAACGAGTTCTCCGATGATAGTCCACGCATTGAGAACAGTTGAGGGCACGAGGTCATAAATTAAGAACGGCATCACTTGCGCCAAGCTCTTGAAATGTTTTCTGATCAGGCTGCCTTTATAATGGCAGATGTAGTCCGCACCCAAGCATGGAGCATTCAGTCCATCAGTATCAACGGAATGGAGATGGGTCTGAAAGACATCCATAAGCTTCGCTTTTTCGAGCAAAAATACCGTTTGTCCCCAGAAGTACTTGACAACACCAAGTAGCACTGTATGCAGGATTTCTGTTGGCTTGTCCATGTGCATATTGAGGCCTGTCAGGAGTGTTAACGAGAGGGTCAACATCATGGAAAGAAACTGACCATCCATCCCCAACAATGGATTGATGGTATCGTCAACTGTGTTGCCTCGCAGAAGTTTCTCAAATTCTTTCTCCAGTGCAGCCGTGACGTCAGCTTCAGACATTGCTTGAGTACCAGCCACGTGCTTTCGAAGCTTCTTTCCAAGTTCGACGAGGGTATTGATGATAGAGATAGAGGCTGAATCACGAATGCCCGTCGACGACACTGAATTCTTGATTTTCTCCATCACACTGGACTTCAACGCCATCTCAAACTGCTGTTGGATGTTTGTTGCAGTGCCTTCTGGTGTTCATAGATTTCCCGACTACAAGCACGTCATCAGGTGTTAAAGTTTGATTCAAATATGTGCTTACTGTGAACAGGCTACTGTAACCATCACCAGATGCCTTGAATTCTTTTGTTCCACCAATGTCACACGTCCAACAGAAATAGTTACAGTTTAACCCTGCATGACTGCACTCCTCTGCCTGCATAGGATTGTCCCCAGCAAGGAAAAGCCTGCACGGAATCAGCAAAACTTCTTCATTGTCTTTGCAGTCCCTCGTGACGACACCAGACATGGCTGCATCACTATAGGTCATGTTAGAACTTCAATTTGAGTGAGTCAACAAACCAACGGACGAAATTGATTGTTTCATTGCCCGCATGAGTTCCATGGGAGCAGCATGCGGCAAAGATGTGACGAAGCACACAAAAAATTCTTTCTCCAGCATCTCACGTGGTAAATTTGCGTTCGACATATAAATTGCGTGGTGTTTATTCCACTGCTTGGATATGTTACCGGAAACATTGTCCATGAATATGATAAGGGGGACTGTATATACCATGCGACCATTCGCTTTTTTGCGCATTGGACTTGGTGAAAGTGACGCATATTTGGTTGATGAGGCTGTTATCGTGTGAGTCCTGCAACTGCTCACACAAATGGATGCATAACACACCTGTAAGCCCACAATTGAGTTCGCCCTGTGTTGCAGCTATGTCTTCAAATGACCGCATAAACACAGACGTAGGAATGATCTCTTGTTCATCATGAACAATGAATCCGGCCTGTTTTTCGAGTAGTTAGAATATTATATGTCATGATAGATGCACAGCGACCATGTACCTCCGTTCGTTTGACTGCCCGACCAAGTGCATATAAGGGCTTCATGTCCACATGCTCACGGGGTTCAGTGTCATCGGAATCTGAGTCTGCAGGAGGTGAGGCGTAAAAAAAGCGCTCTGGAATGAAGTAGTCTCCAGAGTCATCCTGTAGTAGTTCATCTGTAAAATAAATTGTTCCATCCACTCGAACCGCCGGCAGTGACAGAAGATCAAACAACATCTTCTTCCTGTTGAAGACTTGCGACATCCCCTCACCACCATCCTCAGGGTAGTCTTTCATTGTGAACCGAGTCAGTGGATTTGCATAGTCCTAAATTTAGTGTCACCACTGCACTCGTGTGAGAGACGAGTTGGACGCACCTTTGCGATTGCTTCTGCGATGTTGTTGATATAAAATACATCACCAGAGCGAGATGTGGCTTGCTGAGTCAGATTGCCGACAAGATTATCCAGGTATGTGTGGCACTTCTTCATCGAACCCAGTGAGGGGACATTTCGAGTGCCAAGATCTCTCACCCAATTGAGTATGGCTTTTTTCTGAGTCTCAGAGAACGGGAGACACAGAGAGCTGAAAAGAAGGGATGTGATGAAGTGCTTGACAGGGATATAAGTATTAGGTTGTGATGTGGATACAACAAGAAACATACCGCTTTCGATGGCCACGGATATGTTGGGTTATTCATCGAGACCATGTCAAAGTTCGCACTTGCCTTATCATAGATATCATCTGGTGATGTTACTGAATGACCCCACAGAATGAACAATGATGTTACTTACCAGGGAGCTCAACCCCAAAATTGGGAGCGCTGTCGTCAAAGAGCTCACACTCCTCATCAGAGGACTGGGAAAGTGGAGTTGAGAATGGTAATTCACCCAATGCAAGGGTTGCTTGAAGTTCGGCAAATAAGTCCGGACATCCTCCTTCAAATTCAAAAGTGCGATGGCCAATTATCTTTTTCAAGAGCTCCGATAATCTAACATCCAAGTCAGAGTCCACATTATCTGACACTGTAACAGATGCTGCAGGTGGTACACCAGACTGCGCGCAAGCAAGCAGCACATCAGAAGTGTCGTCCATATCCATGAAAGAGTCATCAGCATCAAAAGAGATATCGATTTCGGCAGCAGGTGGTGGTGATCCGGACTCCATGTGAACGCCCTGGACAGAATGTGGAAGCCTCATCCCCATCTGTTGCTCCATGAAGTATCTAGCATGACGAAAATGAACTCCTTGTAGAGTGTGCTTCTTGGTATGTCGCAGCTCCATTGTACGATAGATACCATTTTTCCGAGGGCACACTGTGCAGAGGACGCGCTTTTGAGTAGTATTGCAGAATTGCAGAACTGTGGCCACTAAATCAGTACGCATAGAAATCATGAATGTATAAGATGAACGGGGAAAAACCTACCAGCGCCATCAACAAGATCAGCTGAATTCATGTCAGGTCAATAAGGCACTTGATTGTGATTTGACTTGACAATTTCCGTGGTGAAGCTCTGGTCACGTGACTCTTGACTGTTGAAATCAACAAGTCCGACGTTCTCATGTCCTTGCTCATTGTTGTCGTTGTTGTCGTCTTCATTCAACCAACTACCAACCAATGCAGTCTGGACTACTCACAAATGTTGTTACCATTTATCCAGATATTCAACACCTGGATGTCAGCACAGGCCCACTGCAGTCTGTGCTCCTTACTATATGTTTTTCGGGTAGACTCCCAAGGCCGATTATTGAAAGGAATATTGTGAGCTCTTGCCGACCACCATCAGAACCATTTTTGATGATTGGTGTATAACAGCCTATCCAGATCACAATCTCTGTTGCAGAGGAATATGGGACCTTTACCTCGCCAGTTGTGGAAATGGATCTCTGCTCCAGTGCTGGAGATTTGATGCACTCAGATAGCGCTGTGAGTCTACAGTCTTCGCAATTTCTTTTGAAAACTTACATTGCGCAGTCAGTCTGCAGTCATGGTCATGATGATTTTCCTGTGCTCCCAGATGACATTTGTATCCCATTCCTGCCCCTTCAACACTTCGACTACTCTGACCAGGCTAAATGGGCCTCACTGACGAAGGATATTGAAGGATGGCTTGTTGCTCAGGTAAATTGCCAGACGCAGCTGTGGACATGGGGACGTGATGTGTTTTGGCTTGCTTTCATTGCGGCATGTCCATCATTCCCAATGGGCTCGTGGCCAAAGTGGGATCCCCGAATTCCTTTGGAGGGTACATTCATTGAGCAATGGTTAGAACGGTCGGGTGATGTCGTTAGGACGGAGGATCAACACACTATAAATGTATTGGCCGACATTTGGGCTGAGTTTTGCAAACATGCCGCCCTCTTCTTTCCTTATCCTCTTGTTGCTTCTGATTGACTCCGAAATGCTTTTCCTCCTGCGGTAACAAATATTTTACTCTGTTAGATAGCTATCAGTGCATACTTCATGTGTATACTACAGTGCTGTGCTTATCTGCAATGCATACCTTGTTGAACCCTTTTGATTGGCCCGAACACACCGCCAGGACACTTCAAAGAGATTTATTCGACCATTCATGGCACGCAGAGGAATTAATGGTGAGTGCCATATATAGAGGTCACTCAGATATTGGTACGAGCTCTGTCATAGGTCTGCCACAGGTATGCCGCCTGACCTGTGCTACATGACTCATTCCGATGTGCCTGATGTGTGCAACTTCCAGGTCAGGACAAGCCCAGAATTGGGCAGCGATATAGCAATAATCAAGGTATTGCCCAGGATTGGGACAAAAGCTTTAAAAAGGACCAGATCCATGAACTTTACAGAATCAATTTATTATTTATGGGCCCAAGTCTATATTCGAACTCATATCCACCTGGTTGCCAGACCTATTAAATCCTTTTCGCGCTAGCTCAGTTTCACCCAAAGTGGCAGTTGGCAGTGTAGTGGTAGTGGTGCTGTGTATCTTAGGCTTCACAAGCCCAAGGTCATGGGTTCAATTCCTACCATTGGCAAATTATAAATCGTGAGGTAAGGTCATGACGCATCACCTGATGTGATGGGTGACATGTCACAACGTCACACTTTTTTTTTTTCGAGCAAGAATTTCAGCACATCATTTCAGAGTATATTTTCAGAGTAAAAAACGGCAATTTCAGCACCTCGGTTTCAGTGCATCATGCTATGAATTTCATGAAGTTATAATCTGATTTCACCCACTGAATTTCATTGGATCTACTACCCACAGTGGTCATGTCACTACAGTCCCCTGTGATGTTGTTAATAACCACTATTCGTGATGAGATCAAGAAGGCGACTGACTAGTTTGCGCGGGGCAATTAGAATGTTGGATGGTTGAAGTTATTGATGGTGTCTGACGATAGAATCAGATTGAACGGCGATAGCACATAACTGTTAGATATCGACGTGCATGTTCACTACCATGCAAGAGACAAAGTGACCCGGCGATTCGCCTCGTCACGACCGCTTCATTTCCATGGCCTATAATATGGTTAATCCTCCAGGAGTATCGGACGACTACATCCTTACGGTGGTTGTATTTGTCCATTCAAGGGTCCAGATCTATACCCACAACCCACCCAGTCGACTCGTCTGACGTACTGGCCTAGTCCATATCGCAAGGCAAGGTACCAAATGAACAGTCAGGTAAATCCCGATTGTCCGTTTCGTACCTCACCTTGACTCCTGGATGATGTTGTGAATGGGAAGAGTGCGGCTGCCGGAAGTGAGAGGTCTGCTGGTCGAGAATATCGTAGATCATCGTCTGTGTTACTCCTCCGAGACTCGAATTGACCTCAAACTTACTCGTACATCTTTAAGTTTTCATGAACACCAGACAGAAACGTGTACTAGCATATTTGATGGGAGATGGGGCGATAAGATGTGATGGTGTGATGAAGGAACGAGGACAGTAAGAAATGGTGTTCGAATTCAGGGACGACGGAGGTGGTGTGGAAACAAGCAATCTGATTAGCTATACTGGTCAAATGAGCTGGCACACGTCGTTGACGTGATGCCGCATGTCAGTGAAGCGTGTATGGAAGCACGACAGAGAAGGAGTTGATTGTGCATTGCTGAAGGGCGAATTAATCAGATTATCGCAAGGATCGGTTATTCGGTAGTCTGGTATTCGGGCAGGAGGCGGTAAACGGTTATTCGGGTGTCTGGGGAGGCAGGTATTCGGTCCTAGGTAAGAACTGCACTGGTATTCGGAGAAATATCAATTAAATATTGTGATACGATTAAATGGTTCGATTACAGTAGTGGTTCGAGTGTGGCTGTGCATAATTTAGTATCGTGAGAATATTGGGGGGCATAGATAAAATACCATCTCGATCAAAAAATACAGCAAGCTATCTCCTTCTCCCAAACAATGTCTTCAAAAGGTTCAGTTTCACTTTTTACAATAGAAATTCAGAAGACTGACTCTTGATAACTAGCAATCCGTGAATACGACGCAAAGTTGTTGCTAGCCTATTGGCTTCAACGCGCTCCATCACCAAACCCAAACTTTGCTCCTTCACCTTCTTCTACTCTCCAGTTCCCAGCACCACGCGTAGCTCAGATCCTATGGGACCCTCAATCTGACTCGATCACCCCAGACACCCATCTCCCATCTTGGGTTTCTACTACAAAGCTCGTCGCAAAGCCAGATCAGCTCATCAAGCGTAGAGGCAAGGCTGGCTTACTCGCTCTTAACAAAGACTGGCAAGACGCGAAGAAATGGATTCAAGACAGAGCAGGAAAACCACAGAGGGTCAGTGTTTTTCTTTTGACGCGACTTTTTATCTCATCTAATCTCGGTCCCTTTAAAGGTCGAATCCGTCACCGGAACTCTCAGCTCTTTCATCGTAGAACCTTTCCTCCCTCATCCATCAGACTCTGAATATTACATCTGCATCACCTCCGCTCGTCACGCAGACACACTCCTCTTCACCACTTCAGGTGGTGTTGACGTCGGCGATGTCGACGCAAAGGCTCTCAAACTCGATATTCCTGTCATCGGCGCTTTCCCATCACGTGCTGACCTCCAAAACACCCTCCTCCGCGACGTCCCAGCGCACAAGAAAGAAGTCCTCACTGACTTCCTCGTCAGACTCTACTCTGTCTACGTAGACCTTCACTTTGCTTACCTCGAGATCAACCCCTTGGTCGTCCTCGATGACGGTGCAATCCACTACCTCGATATGGCTGCAAAGCTCGACCAGACCGCTGAGAGCATCTGCGGCCCAAAGTGGGCTGTCGCAAGAGATTTGACTGTCTACGAGACTGGTCCAGCTGCAACTACCACTGGCTCAAAGATAAACGCTGACCGTGGCCCACCCATGGTCTGGCCCGCTCCTTTTGGTAGAGATCTCACAAAGGAAGAAGGTACGATCCTTCTTATTTCTCATGGCGTCATACTCATTATAAATAGCATACATCCAAAAACTCGACGCTTCTACCGGTGCTTCTCTTAAGCTCACCGTCCTCAACCCAACCGGTCGTGTATGGACAATGGTCGCAGGTGGTGGTGCTTCCGTCGTCTACAGCGACGCCATCGCCGCAGCCGGCTTCGCTCACGAACTCGCCAACTACGGTGAATACTCTGGTGCCCCAAGCGAGGGTCAGACTTTCGAATATGCCAAGACAATCCGTAAGTCCTCTTCATTCCCATAGAACCAATCTTCTGATATCGCTGCAGTTGACCTCCTCACTCGCCCGCCCCCACGTGCTGATGGCAAGATCCTCATCATCGGTGGTGGTATCGCCAACTTCACAAACGTCGCTGCCACTTTTAAGGGCATCATCCGTGCACTCACCATGTTCAAAGCCCAGCTCATCGCTCACCAAGCAAAGATCTACGTCCGTCGTGGTGGGCCCAACTGGCAAGAAGGCCTCAAAGCCATGCGTTTACTCGGTACGTGTGTCATCTCACTAAAAATCAACGTAATGTACTGACTACCCATAGGTGAATCGCTCGGCGTCCCAATCCGCGTCTTCGGCCCCGATACCCACATCACCGAAATCGTCCCTCTCGCACTCGGTCTCAAATCAACAACCTCAAGCACCGCACCCGTCAGCATCCCAGCCACTGCCCCAGGTTCACCCAAGGCCGCACCCGTCACTTCTGAGCCAGGTACAGGCGACGTCGGTGCCATCCACGCAGATGGGGAACGCACCCAGCCCGATGACGTCGTCGTTCGTTTCGATACTGTTGATGACAAGGCTGCGAGGCCTGCATACAGACCCTTTGACGAGGACACGCGCAGCTTTGTTTATGGCTTGCAGCCCCGTGCTATCCAAGGCATGTTGGACTTTGATTACAGTTGCAAACGGTCCCGTCCCTCGGTCGCTGCTATGATCTACCCTTTCGGAGGTCACCACATCCAGAAATTCTACTGGGGGACGCGCGAGACCCTTCTCCCTGTATACACATCCCTCGAAGAAGCTGTGAAGAAACACCCTGATGTTGACGTCGTTGTCAACTTCGCGTCCAGCCGGAGTGTCTACAGCAGTACAATGGAGTGTTTGGGCTATCCAAGCATCCGTGCTATTGCCTTGATTGCTGAGGGTGTTCCTGAAAGACAGGCACGCGAAATTTTGTGGAAGGCTGAGGAGAAGGGTGTTTTGATCATTGGCCCTGCTACTGTTGGTGGCATCAAGCCTGGCTGTTTCAGGATCGGAAACTCTGGAGGGTTTGTCTTCGTTTTTTTGTCATCGAATTGACGTTGACATATTATTTTAAAGCATGATGGACAACATCATCGCCTCCAAGCTCTACCGCCCCGGCAGCGTAGGCTACGTCTCTAAATCTGGAGGCATGTCCAACGAACTCAACAACATCCTCTCATTGGTCACAAACGGTACCTACGAAGGTATCGCCATCGGTGGAGACCGTTACCCAGGAAGCACATTCATCGACCATCTCCTCCGCTACGAAGCCGATCCCGCTTGCAAAATGCTCGTTCTCCTCGGTGAAGTCGGTGGTGTAGAAGAATACCGTGTCATCGAAGCCGTCAAGCGCGGACAGATCAAGAAACCTATCGTTGCTTGGGCCATCGGTACTTGCGCCAGCATGTTTACCACAGAAGTCCAATTCGGTCATGCGGGTAGTATGGCGAACAGCGATGCTGAGACTGCAGACGCCAAGAACCGCGCTATGCGTGAAGCCGGTTTCATCGTTCCCACCACATTCGAGCTCCTCCCCCAAGCCCTACAAGCCACCTACGAGAAGCTCGTGAAAGAAGGCGCTATAGTCCCTTCGCAGGAGGTAGAGCCGCCTGTCATCCCCATGGACTACAAATGGGCGCAAGAACTGGGTCTCATCCGTAAACCCGCAGCATTCATCAGTACCATCTCTGACGAGCGTGGCCAAGAGCTCCTCTACGCCGGGATGCGCATAAGCGACGTCTTCAAAGAAGACATCGGACTCGGAGGTGTCGTTTCCCTCCTCTGGTTCAAACGCCGGCTTCCCAGCTGGGCCACCAAATTCATCGAGATGGTGTTGATGTTGACTGCAGACCACGGCCCGGCTGTGAGTGGTGCGATGAACACGATTGTTGCTACGAGGGCGGGTAAGGATTTGATATCGAGTTTGGCGAGTGGGCTTTTGACGATTGGGAGTCGATTTGGGGGGGCGCTTGATGAGGCTGCTGGGATGTTCAGTGGGGCCAGGGATATGGGGTTGACGCCTAGAGAGTTTGTGGATAATTCGCGGAAGGCTAACAAGCTTAGTGAGTCTCCCTCCTCTTTCTCCTCCTTTCCGCTTTGCGCGTGTTGGGATGCATGAACTGGGCTGACGTGATATGACAGTCTCTGGTATTGGCCACAAGATCAAGTCGGTCAACAACCCTGATCTGAGAGTCGAGCTCGTGAAGGAGTATGTGAGGAAGAACTTCCCGAGCCACTCGTTGCTTGATTATGCGCTCGCTGTCGAGAAGGTGACTACGTCCAAGAAAGATACCGTGAGTCTCCTTTCCTTCTCTTCATCCGCCGAAACCAAACTAACACCTCCCCCCCCCAGCTCATTCTCAACGTCGACGGCTGCATCGCAGTCTGCTTCGTCGACCTCCTCCGCGACTCCGGCGCCTTCACACCCGAAGAAGCCGATGAATATATCAAAATCGGAACTCTCAACGGCTTGTTTGTTCTCGGTCGCAGCATCGGTTTCATTGGCCACCATCTCGACCAGAAGAGGTTGAGGGCTCCGCTTTACAGGCATCCTGCGGATGATATCTTCATCAATATTGCGGATTTGAGTCAGCCTCGGGTTTTGGGGAAGATGTTGTGAGCGCGCGCGCGCGTTGACTTGACTCTCACCCAGACGTGAGCTGTCCGGGATGGTATCATTGTAAAAGAATGACTAATGCATAATACGAATCGCATCATACGACTGTTGACTGTTTTTGTTTTCAATTCTTCTGATTGTTGTCGTACTCATTGACTTGACCTTGGGGATAGAATGTCTAGAATTCGTACTTGTACGTGCATGTAACAACGCATTTTCATCGCTGCAATCGGTTTGTGATCATCGGGTTTGTGAATTCGGGTTTGTTTGTTTGTGTAGTCAGCATGGAAGGCAGGTTTGTCCCGCCATGTTCATGTTGGGCTTTGTCCAACGCAAGAATTATTTGTCTTCAAATCTCTGCAGACTCTAGAGGACAAGCTATCCATGTTCTGATTCATTCCATTATGGAGGCGTTTGTCTCGCCGTTAGATACAGACACCTTCATAATGACATGAAAGTCAAGTGACGAGTCTTCCATTCCGTGAGGTGAGTTGCTGTGGTTCAATTGCGTTGCGTGTTGGATATTGCTCGAGGCTTGAGTCGTGTCATGTCGATCCCCAGTGTCTACAGGTCTTTATCGAACAGCGATCCGAGAGAGGATACATAACTACAACTGGGTCTGGGTCTGCGAACGGATGCTGCGTCACACAAGACCTTCGAAGGTGCACCGTGATAGGATCGAGAACAGCGGGTGTTTCCAGACATCACGTCGACGTGACTCCTTGTCGTATGGAAGACGTAAGTTGCTCGTCATCACAAGTATTTACCGGTCTGTGAGGCTGATACCCTTGGACTTAACACGCAGGGATACGACATTGCCCCTCCTACCGAGGAAGAAGTGGCCGCAGCTATGCAACGTACAAGTAGCAACGAAGCCGATAGTTCAACGCATTCAGGTCAACCTGCAGCGGAGGCACAAGTATCTGAAAGACTATCAACACAAACACGAGGCTCAACTGGCGTGGTTGCTATATGGGAAGCTGCTGCGGACTTACTTTTCTTTGGTTGTCCGAGTCGCCGTCCCACTTCGCATGGTCGTGAGGTCGATTACTGAAACTGTCTCTTTCGCTCGATGATCTTCTCTTCCTCTCTCACGTGCTTTGACAGACTACCTCGCACTCCAGCCATATACCTTGTCTAGATGAAAGCCCTGACTCATATGTCATTTTCTCTGCTGCTAGGGAGCCGCTATGATTGCTCTCACTCATATTGATACCAAGGCCTTGTTTAACTTCATACTGCCATGCCAGTGCAGTCTTCCATTTCGTGAGGTAAGTAAGTCATTTGATTGCCCGTGTCAAATGTATGACGCCTCAACAGGTCTTTGAGTTGTCTCCATCACACTGCTGTGTCAAAAAGAGGCTCTGAACGCAGATTGTGCTCGGAATCGAGAGAAGCCTACGTTGATCTAGGCACGCGATGTCTAATCGCCCCTGACGGTTATTGCTCTAGCCTGTACTCTAGACCGCAATCTAAGATAGCGTGAACAGGGACACTACTACGACTTGGTCTGTGAGGAAAAAGGCGAGTTGCGCAAGCCCTGGTGTCATCTGGCGCTACAGCAGTTCTGTTCAAACGTGAAAACTTGTAGGAAGCACAGTCGGAGGTCTTACATGTGACCGCCGTACTTGGAGCGTACCCACTCAAAGACATCGCAGTGTCCCAAATTCCAAATCTTGACGTTCTTTGACGGTGATTTGACGGCGATGACGAAATGAACCGCCTCAAATTGTTCCGAAGCGAAGTTGCCTGCCATCGATGGCAACACTGCCATCAACATCCGGTTGAAAGGGGTACCTGCGAAGAAATATGCGCAACTGACTGCCCAGTAAGTCTCTTCATCTTCATATCTTCTTGGCCCTGATGGTCGATTCTGCTCGTTATCGAGCTGTGCAGTCTGTAAAGCACAGCGCCAATTTCAGAACTCTCAATTAGCATCACGCTCCTTGAAGTGGCCGAGGCAAGTACATCAGCAAACCGCAAAAACGCAAAACGAGAAGCGATGTAAGACTTACTGACAGCAACGGATATACCTCTGACAAGCGCGAAGTACCCGCCCACCTACGGTGCACAACGCCGTCAGGACGCCCTTTGGGAAGGTGAGCAACCGAATTGTGACGACTATTAAATGACTCAGCAAGAAGTAGGCGGAAATGAAGTACTTCCTCCTCGGTGGCTGATGTATGACGTCCCGGGTGGTGAAACACTACATCAAGACAACGCACTCATAATGGCTTCATGGAACAGGCCTTTACCAGGAGTGCGACTAGGTTAGTGAAGAATATGCCGGTAGTGGCGGGTAACTCACGGTTCGCCATTAGATTTTCCTGTGCAGCTCGTTCCCCTTGTCCCTCTACTCTGCTCGCAGGCCCATCGTCTCCCCTTCGTTGGCGCAGGTTGTTTGGGTCCCTGCGCTTCAGCGCCCGACCTGTAATTTCAAATGTGCGATACTGTACGAGCCCCGGCGTTCGAATTCTCCTACGAGAATTTCCATACATCCCCTCGAGGTTGCTCGTCGTTGGAATATTCGCCCATTTGTGATATCATTGAAATAAATTTGCAGAGATACGGCATTGCCCTTCCCAACGAGGCAGAAGTGGCTGCAGCCATGCAACGAGCAAGCGGCAATGGCTGACAGTTCAACGCATTCGGGTCAACTTGCAGCAAGGGCACAAGGGTCCGAAAGACCGCAAGCACAAACACAAGACTCCGCTGGTAGGGCCGGAGAAATTTCCTATGAAGTGAGCTGCTGCAGATTTTTCTTTGGTCGTCGTCGTCCCACTTCGCATTAGTCATGAGGTCAACCGCTAAAGTTGTCTCTTTCACTTAATGATTTTCTCTCTCGTGAGCTTTTCTATCTCGCCATGGACCTCGGGCCATCCTGTACGTACATCGTATCTTTGTCCGGACTTTGTTTTGGTTGTGCCTAGACTATATAAGCTCCACGAGAAGCAGCGCTGGAAGTGTGAATCGGAAAGAGGATGACGAGTGGATTCTGCTGACAAGTATGAGGTAGTTGTACTTCTACGACTACCGACTTTCCCTGTACCGTTTTATGCTGTTTTAAGGACATAGCCTCGACCTGTGCTAGAGTTTACTCTGTACAGGCGTTTTATCGTCATGAGACTGGCCCAGATAAAACAGCGTCGCATCCTTGAGCTCACGTATCCACTCCCGTATGGTCTCGTCGTCGAAAACGCGCTGATCATAGGAGAAAAAATATTGCAACCGCCGGCGCCAAGACGCCGCAAGATAGAGCTCCGCAGGGTGCGAATGAAGATAAGCGCGCACGTACTCGACATGGAGTCGCGGAGTTTTGGCGTCCTTGAGAGCATCACCAGGGGGAGACCACGCTGGATAACCGGCACGATTAGGGTGGGGCGTCCTGCACAGGGGTGACAGCTCGTGATCAGCATGTAGAGGATAGTCCAAGGGTATCACGTTATCAATCTGGAAATGTTCAGTTGGTTGAATCTAGATTATGAAAGCCACTGACGTTGCCTAGGGTGGATCCCATCTGCGTGACAATCGGGTTCAAAGACTGGACGGGTCTCACACTTTCATGCCCATCGTCTGGGAGAACGCTATCTTTCGTCTCTAGCCACTTCAGAGCAACTGCCTTCCTTAAAGCAACACGATTGTGTCCAGCGGTACATATATCAGCGAACCGCGGGTGGTTAAACATCTTCTGGGCTTGTGCCTTCACATTAGCGCACCGGAGAAGAAACCGGTCAAAAGACATGAGCGCCGGGAAGTCCGGTGCCCCATCGACAAGTTCCAGCTTGCTAGCATGCCCCTTGGACATCTCGCCAAGGGGCATGAACGGAAGCGTGTACCAGAAGAAGCTGATATTGATACCGATATCGCCTGAGCCGCCCGTCTCTGCCCACTCCTTGTCTTGGTATGGGCGCAAGTTCAACATCCCGAAGATGTGCATGGGTTGGCGCTTCCTGTACTCCCATTCTTCTTCCGAGATCTGGCCCCTCAGGTACCGTCGACATATAACGCGTGCCAAGGCCACTTGGCTGAGAGCATAGTACGCAGCGTTCATGGTGATTTTATGGCGACGGCAATTGGAGAGAATGATTGTTGACACTTTGGTAGAAAAAGCAGTGATGTGGCTGCGTGGTTTAGCGGGAGTAAGAGGTGTGGATTCCCTGAAGTTTCCGGGGAGTGTGTGGCCACCCTGCCCCGACGCTTCAGCTCTACTACGATACCACGAACTGAGCAACTGGAATGCTGACCTTGAATTTGGATGACCACACCGTGAACAATGCATAGCCTAAAGCCCGCCTCCACCGTCGTTTGACAAGCGGAATATCCCCATGACCCAAACGGCTCTCTAAAGGCTGATACATATGCACCCTTTCGCCCAGAGGAATGTACGGCGGTTCAATCCGAGATGCCAGCGTGTCTATGAACGTCCTAAGCACAGTGGTCATAGACGGTGAATCCGCGACGCAGTGAGCGACCATGAATAGGATGTGGAAATGGCCACTCTTGTCCGTTCGGCGCAAAATATAGACACGAGCAAGTAACTGGGATGAAAGAAGTCGCGGGCCATCCATGATGTCGTTTATGAAGCATTCGGTGTCGTGAAGGGAGTTGACCTCCTTGAATATGACATCATCAGGTCCAAGATTTGTGACCGCTTCCTCGCGCAGAATGAAGCGTAAACCAGACTCGTGCTCTAGCACTTCAGCCGCAATGAGGGGAAATCGTCTTTTGACAGACACCCAGGAGCGCGTGACATTCGGTTGTGAATAAATGTCTTGGTCATTTGTTTGTATGGTGCGAAGGTGCACATGCACCGTGGAATCTGCTGTGCCGTTAAAAACGCTATCCCAATAGAAGCATGATTCGGTGATTCCGAGTGGGCGATAGAAAACACGTCGACCTGGGGTAGAATCTAATGACGTCCAAGGAGATGATATCATAGCGAAGCTGACAGTGGGTCTAGAGCGGGGGGAGGGGACCCTACGGCGGGTGACGACGAGTTTTAGCTCAGAGTGATCAGGCGTATTATAAGTTATTTTTAAGCGATAAAGCCAACACAAAGGAACTTCACCAGATTGTCGGTGATGAACTCGCCACAGACAAGGATTTTCAGATCCCAATTTGTTATTCTCCATTGCGTGGTGGGTTGGTTGTTGGTGGGAACGTCTCACTCGGTCCTGCTGTCATGTCGCTAGGTTTTGCTGTCATATCGCCAGGGTTCTGCTGTCAGTACTAGATAATGGCATGCCGTCCCAGGAGCCACCTGTCGATGAGGACGTACGATCAACAAATGTGGCTGAGTCTGTCCTGTTGTAGAGAAGTTCTTGTCATTGAGCGTGTACAAGCCATTGGGTGGGGTTCTGGGAGCCATATGTCTGATGCAAGAGATATTGATTGGGCCACGCACACGGGGAGGACTATTGTTCCTTCATTACATTAAACCATCATGATGTTCAATGTTCAAGTTGAGTAACCCGGGAATCCATATTTGTAAATGATTCGCGAAGTTCCGCGCAGTTCGTCTTCATGACTCTCGCAGTGTCGTTTCGTCTGTAATGTTTTTATCATCTAGCTTGCGAGAGGGTTCGCGCGCGAATATCTCAAACGGAGTCTTCCTGCCGGTGTATAAGACGAATTTAAACATATGAGAGAGCTATTTAGTATAGAGCGATCGCTGTACTTTCAGAATCGAGTGGAGTTATATGGCCCCGGTTCCTCTCACTGTTGTGTAGCCCTGAGTGGCTGCAACGCATCGTCGGGGATACGTGCTAATGAAGTTTCCAGCCGCTATGAGTAGAATGGAGGAAGGTTAGCAACCCGTAAACGTCGTTGTCAAGCGGGCTTCGTTGTCATCGGTTGAACGATCACTAGTCGGCTGCCTTCTCACTGTTATCAACGTGGCGTACGGCGATTCTGATGGCTTGAGTGATTTATCACTCGCGTACACAAGATGTGCGGGAAACTACAGTCCGTGACGTCGGCCTAGGGAGAGTTCCATCGAAGAAACCCGAAACCCTGCCATCTCAATTCTCGACGAGCATCTGTACTCTCTCTGCCAGGGAGCGTAAAGTTTATCCAAGATCCAGAACAAGAATCTATCAGCATCCGCGATCACCATATAGCAGAAAAGTTGACATAAGGAAGAAAATACAATAGATCGCAACCCAGCAAACAGATGAGTTACCTCACCCATGGATGAGAATCCCTCTACAAGGCTTCCAAACACGCTCTTTAATGCCTGATCTCCTTCCAATACGGCCCTCGCCTCCTCCCAAGTCATTGGCATCCGCCGCCTCCCTTTCTGCCTCTATCATCTGTGCGCGGGCGTCGCACAATCTTGCTCAACTAGTGGTGTTTAGGATCGGATACCAAGGAGCCCGGCACCAAAGAGGCTGGAGAGAACCAGGTAGGGGAAAGACGTCGTCTATACATCTGATTTCGAAGTGGTTCGAGTGGTCGCGAGGGATACAGTCATTGGTTCTACACGCCCAGGAGGAACACAAAAGCGCACGTATGGGGAGCGTGAAGGCACAGAAGGTAGCTGGGATGCGGTTGAATAAACCAGCTAGGAAAATGCGTTCGCGAAGGGTGAGAAGATTGGCTGATGCCTGGTTCTTGTCACTCGCTTGCGGCTGGCTATATGAGAGCGTAAATCAGAAAATGTGAAGGCAGAGTGTGAACATGTAGGCAAGAGAAAACAGAGAGACGATCAGCTGCGGAAATAGCACGTACAATTATCCAATTATAACCTTGGTACAAATATCGCACGAAGTTCGTGTCTGCTTGCGACGTGGTGATAGTCTCTCGTGTGTGTACGAGCGCATCAACAGCTTCGAGAGGTAGGAGTGAACCCGTCACGATCTCGTACTGTGTTGCAGCACGCAGTTAGCACACCAGAAATCACAAACAAGAGGTTGGGATCACCAACCTGCCCTGAGGCTGCTTCGGAATGATCACCATTAGTTCGATCCCACTATCAGTGAGTCCGTGTACGATCTTCTCCCGGCTCCATCACTTCTGCCTCCTTGGTTCCGGAAGTTAGCGTTCACGCGGTGTTCTACCCGTGTAGATTGACCGCCTCGATTGGGTTCATTTTTTTGAGGATGAATTCGGTCAAATCCAACTAGAAACACGGCATTGTGAGACTGAGCGGTGCTGAAGTCTGGACCAAGTGAGTTCACATAATATTCAAAGAGTGATAACCTGATGGATGACAACTCTACCGCATACAGGTACCCCGCTACCGCCCCAAACCCAGACGCGATCCTGATACCTGCAATGCCGAAGAGGCATTGGACAATGGTTATACCCGGTCTCGAGGAAGCGAGTCGGAGACTCGGAGGCGCTGCCAGTGGTTGTCCGAAGTTGTGATAACCGATAGTACTACTGGGAGGGTACAGGCTAATTTCCTTTTTTGTCACACGACCGCAGCATTTCCGACTGACACTAGAACGTTTCTTTTGCACAGCCAACATACAGCTGCATCTTGATTGCGCACCGCGAGAGCTCTTGAGTCTTACACGGTTTCTTGAGGAGCATCCTTCCCTCCGTATGAAGCACTCTCTCAGAAAGCTCCGACTCCGAGCATGGCAAAAACAGGTATACGACTTCATTGAAAGTGACGTCCCGAGTGATGGCAGGTGATGGCCGAACGGAACACGCGTCAAAGAGCGCCTAATTGCGGTTCAGATTATGAGACGATAAGCTTTGTGCCTCTCTAATTGGTCATGGAACCTGTGTTTTGCCGGAGATCACCTCCGGCGAAATACAGTAGTGGTCCACTGGACTTGGTGACGTGAAACACGGCCTCTCATGGGAGCTCAATAATAGCCAAGCGCCTGAGTCCAAGTCTGAGTTCAACGACGTCTTACCGTCTTTTGACACCCTTCACACTGCTACTCACAGTATCACAATGGTGGAAGCATATGAGCTTCAAGAGCACAGACGACATGACGCGGCTCACTTAGAGGCACTACAAGTCAGCTCGAGTGGTCATCTTCCACTGGATGTTACTTCCATGGATCTTGTGAAACGAAGGCTCAAGCAACGTCATATCCAGATGTAAGTCTGTGATCGATACACAAGCTTTCCTACTTATTTTGTTGGCTCTCATTCACTCATGACAGGATAGCTGCAAGTCCCTGAATGTCTAGCTGTCGCACTCCTCTGACCATTTCCCCCAAGATCGCTGGCACCTTGGGTACGGGACTATTTCTAGGCACCGGGGAAGCCATCGGCACAGCTGGGCCACTTGGTGCCTTGATTGCATTTGCCCTTGTTGGTTCCGTAGCGTATTCGTAAGTCTGCATTTCGTGCGAGTTACGCCTGCTCAATTCAGCAAGGTCATTATGCTCAGTCGGGGAGATGACCTCCCTCGCCCCGATCTCAGGATCATTTCCCCACTTCGGTTTGTACATCTCCTTTTGAGACTGAAAAGATGACGACTTTACACCTTGTCATATAGCCTCTCGCTGGGTAGATCCCGCATTAGGATTTGCAGTGAGTGACCTATGATCCTGCCTCCGACCAACCTTACATATTCTCTAGGTTGGTTGGGTACGTTTTTACTTGTTCATTAAATTCGAACATGGCTAATCGAGTGTCACTTGTTAGAACTATTTTCTCGTGAGGTTCCATTTTCTGTCTGTCAAAACTGTGCCTTATCATGATTACTCTTCTATTAGACTAATGCGTAGGTGTATACGGTTGATCACAACGACGCAGTGGTTCACATCAGTAATTATTTTCAGGCTCTACGTCCCTGTGGAAATATCTGGAGCACAAATCTTGATCACCTTATGGGATGTGAGTTTCCTGAGCTATACACATTCCTGCTGTGTCCTAAATGTCGGAATCTCGTCTAGTCACATCATGCTGCATCTTATATTGTAGCTGTCTGTATTTTGATATGCGCCACGAATATCTTCGGTGTAGTGTGAGTCTTCGAAGCAGGTTATGCACATGTACTCATTCCTAATTTTTAGATACTTCGGAGAAAGTACGTCCGTTATTATCTCCAACATACATGCTCATTGCTAAAAAGTGATTGTGAACAGCTGAATTTGCGTTCTCCATCATAAAATGTATGTTGGTCTTCTGTTAATGTACACAAAACTCAATGTCTCCATTAGTGATAATGATCACTGGTCTTATCATTGTTGGCCTCGTCATTGACCTTGGCGGAGCACCAAATCACCAGCGACTGGGTTTTCAAGTATGTCTTGTTTTACCAACGGAATGATTGGCTAATCATTCAAAGTACTGGAATAACCCGGGTCTCTTTGCTGGACCTGGACTTGAACCTCGGCATCATGCACTTGATCACGTCCTCGGAGTCTTGAGTGTCATCGCTCAAACCGCGTTTTCTTACCAAGGAATGGAGATAGTGGCTGTGTATGTCCAACTATGTCGCACCTCATTCTAGGCTAGTATGTAATTACTAATGATCCGATAGTGCCGCTTCTGAAACGGAGAACCCGCGAAGGAATATCGCTAAAGCTGTTCGCAGAGTGTTCTATCGAATCCTTATTTTCTACGTTGAGTATCATAGTATCTCACGATGATTGATGTCTCACAGCTCAGCAGATTCTCGGTGTTTTCGTCGCAGGGCTCATCGTACCTTCAAATGACCCTGACCTGTTAATGGGAAGCGGCACCTCTGCACAGTCGCCATTCGTGATTGCGATGCAGAAGTCAGGAATAAGAGGTATGTACTCAATTCTCCACATAAGTTACGTCTCATTTTCCTCCCTGTCATGCAGTGTTGCCTGCTGTAGTTAATGCAGGCTTCATAACCAGCGCATTCTCCGCAGGCAACTCGTTCCTTTTCTGCTCTTCGCGCATTCTCTATGGTTTAGCACTTCGCAAACAAGCACCCCATTTCCTCACTATCTGTACGAAGAAGGGCTTGCCTATTGTAGCAGTTCTCTGTTCGGTAAGCATGGATGCTTCTCTATTTAGTCCCAAGTATCACGGACGCTGATGCGGGATCAAAAGAGTGTCTTTGCCTTTTTGTCTCTCATGAGTATCTCGTCGGGTGCAGAAACTGTATTCAAGTGAATTCCATGGATCGTCTTGTGTTCACAATTTGGCTCATGTCGTGTCTCAGCTGGCTTGTGCATCTCAGTGCAATGGGCGGTTTTTTCGGTTGGCTTTCGATTAATATAACTTACATTTTCTTCTGTGAGTACCAGACATATTTATGGATCATCGACAGACTAATGGATTGACCAGATCGCGGGCTAAAATACCAAGGCATTGACCGCAGGAAACTTCATTACTGGAATCCCCTACAGGTCAGGCACGATCACCAAAACGCATTTGACAATCGCTGACATTTGTCTGTAGCCGTGGCTCTCCATCTGGGGCTTAATCTGGTGCATAATATTTATCCTAATAAATGGGTATAGCGTATTTTGGGATTTTGATATCCCAAACTTCTTGACATCATGTAGGCCGGTCCTTGTCTACTGATAATGTCTGACCAGTTGTCACAGATGTGAATATCCCGCTATTCATTGGATTATTTCTCTTCTGGAAGATTACACAACACACGGCGGTTTGGAAACCAGATGAGATGGACTTCACGACAGTACGTGTTTGACACATCGGCTTAACTTAGACTCGGGCTTACCTGTATCAATCAGGGTATTCCTACCTGTGAAGAAACCGAAGCTCCTGAGATCCCTCCGGAAGGTTTCTGGCAACACGTTGCTGCCGTGCTTTTTTGACTGGAACTGCATCTGCGAGCATGTAGTAAGAATGAACGACTCTTCGGTTTGTATAAGGGGAAACTAAAGCACGTTGACTACTTATTTATCCATTCTTAGACAATACTTTGGAAGATACCCTGTAATGTAGTAATTTTCTCCAGGTATCGAGCCCGTCTGTCTGCCGATACTCGCAAAAGAGTAGTTTGATTGGATTCTGTTTCAATATTGTTAGTATGATATTCCCGGAGCTCAAGCGCTGATCTCTGTACGGATATTCTGCAAAGTGGGTGTACTTTCGCCAACACGAATGGGGTGTCATTCAATGGATCATACTCATATTACGGGGTGGGACAGAAGTCACTTTGTTCCAGGAGAGAATCGTGGTTGTAAGGAGGCGACGATGACAAGCTTTTGAAGCGTGTGCTCGATGTCTCAGACTATTATCGTGCTTCAGTACGCCCATCTAAAATTAAGACGAACGAGAATACACATACGAGTTAAACGGGTTCCATCAAATCCACCTTGTAGGGCAGTACTTGGACTGAATAGATTCCAACAGTTTTGCCCATACTTAGACGAAGAGTCCTGACTACTGGTTTATCTGGACTCTCAACCATAGTAAGGGCCCTTACGAGAGCCGGCGGACACCCCAGGTAATATGCCCAAGTGAAATGCTTTTTGAGCTGTCATAACCTCGAATGCGACTGGAAAACCCGTTGTATCGATCTGCAGCACAAGGATCGGAAGCCAGGATGTTGTTTCCGAGCGGCCAAGGTAAGTTTCTCGATATCGTTGCGATATTCAATAAAGTTACAGTAGAACTCCTCGAGCATGGCAAGCCACTGGCAGGCTTCGCCGCATATCACGAGAGTCCAAGCAACCTATTTCGCATTAGGTGCAGTACAGAGGCCAAAATTCACCGTAACCGACCTAAGGATGCTCGAAGAGGACCACACCAATGCGTATGATCCTTCCAGTCTGCAACCTGGCACCTTTTAGAACCATAATGCGCAACAGTACAAGCAGAGCATCGATAACTAGGATGAGTGGATGTGTCCAGATCGTCTGTTACCCGCGGGCACTGTGTGTCTATCAACAAACACCATTTGATGCAATGGACAGTCTTGACTTACGTTGTTGCTTCTGCATCGCCGGGCGAAAAAGGGCTCGCGACGTACGTTTGTTTTCAGCTGAAGTGCCAAAAGTGGGAGAGCAGTGTCGACTACCATATACCATTTACTCTTTATCAATGGATCGCCAGGATAATTCGGATCGGGGTCAATGCGCATGAGTTCTTGGTTGTGTTGGAGCCTCTTCATGATAGTCAGGGAACCGAAAAACTGGGGAAGAATGGAAAGAGTTTCGACAAGCTGGTTCCACGAGAGGCTGTTCCGTGCCATGATTACGGTAAGGAATGTTGATAGCTCGATTTATTGATTCGAGAAGGTCAGTTTTAAGTGCTTCATCCAATGCTGAAACGCTATTATCCGCGTGATATAACACGAAGTTGACGTAGCGGAAACAGGCTCGGATGAGACTCCTCCTCTTCTCGAGTTCAACTCGAGGTAACTGTTGAGTCGGATGGTAGTGGATCGAGTCACTCACAAATTTCGGCCATATACAGGAAATAGCGATGGCGACTGTGTGCATGGACCCCATCTCGAGTAGTAACTCACGACATGAGTTACTAATCTCGCTGATGAGGAAAATGAATTCGATGGCGTGCGAAAAGCCTATTACCATCGAGATGCAGTATTCATCTGCATGGACATCTTGCGGCTGTGACTTATTGGGGGACAATAATGAAACAAGGGACTGTAACTCCCTTGTCATACGTCGAACATATTTGAGAGCCATAGAAACGAAAGTTGTTGCGCCCCCCGCCAAACGCATAAGGGATGGAAGCAATGAGCGGTCATGTAGCGCAGCAACAGCGACCCCAGCCAGTGATGACCGAAGCGTGCCCATGACATGGTATGTCTTGAATACAGGACTGACGGCTTCTACCTTGCGATCACTCGGCATGGTTCCAATCATTATCCATAGCTGGACAAAATAGTTCTGGATTGCGGGAGTGGTCCTGAAAAGTCGTCGCCCATCTGATGAGAATTCGCAGATGGTTCTAAGCGTCTGGATACAAATCTTGACAGCGTCAAACATAGTGAGTTTGAATGAAGCATCCATCGACGGGTTTCTCCAGGCTGCAGACAGCTGGTGTGCAAAAAACTGCATCCATGGGAATAGCATATCCCACTTGGAGGTCACAAAACGGGTGACGATGGGATCCGCGTCCGCCTCATCATCACCGGCATCACCACTGACTATCATGACCCCAAGGAAAGCTTCCTTAGCCAGCAGGATGTTTGTGATGTGTTCAACGTCGGAGCCTGCCATGGTAACTTCAGGTATGCGAGAAGCGTCCAGGAGAGCATGAAACACCGGGATCAAATGAATTCTGTGTTCGCGTGAAGGAGGCAGGTTTTTGACGACTAGGCGGAGGTCCGCTACGCTTCCATGTAGGGCTCGTATGGCACATTGCTAAAAATGAGATGTGTTGGGGGCTACGTGTGACTCGGAGGCTGTGATTACAATCCAAAACCGCACCTGAGTATTACGGGGTAGGGCTTTCAGCGCATTCATTTCTCGAGTGGATATTTTGGACACCATGACCTGTGCTGCTGCCACTGGTGACTGCTTTAGACAATGATCCAGCGTCAATTTTGGGATACGAATCTAAGCCGATCACGACTCCGTCACTCCGAACAAACAAATTGATGGTCCCGCACAGGATTAGAATCGCCGCCTCATGCGGGCAACGTATATATATTCAATAAGTTAAAGTTCATCATGATAATAGTACTCTCGTCCACGGTGCCATGGATAACCCGAACAAGAACTGATACTAGTGCTACTATCGATATGGACGTCCGGAAGAACAATCATACTCTCACTATTCTGTTTTGGAGAATAAGTAAAAGTTGCATGTTGACACAATCTGATTGCCGACTTCATGAGCTGTCCTGTACTTGCAAATCGTGATTATTAGCATTATCTTGGCCCGACAATCTTCACGACTGTAAGTAGCAACGCGGGGAGACTATACACGGACGAGAGTTTGAGTATATCATTGGTCCGTGCAACCAGACTGGCCATCCCCAAGAAGTTATTCGACCCATCCACCAAGTTCGACTACGAACCCGACAGCAACCTTTGCGAACTCGAGAGCATGCTGTTTGTATTCCATCGTCAGTGATTCTCAACGTAATGTAGATCAGGTCAAAAATCGCACCTCAAATGAAAACTCGCCATCGGCAAGGTCCATCCGGTCTTCCTGACGTGTGGATGTACGGGTTGAATGTCTTGAATGGATCACCCTCTGCGGCAAATATGGCAGGGAATCCTGCTCGGTGCCATGACATGTGGTCTGAGCCCTGCACCAGCACTTTGCGCAATAGGTTCAGTAAGAAAGACCTGCGAGACCTGTGGTACCGCAACTTACAAAAGTTTTGCACCGCCCACCACAGACGTAGAGTACTTCTTCTGCAAGCGCCATTGTCCAGTTCGTCAGATTCGAATCAACGTCCGTCGTGATAAAAGTCACAACGGGAACTTCTCCCTTTGGTACGTATGCAGTCATGTCCTAGTACTCAGTCGTTTCTCAGCTCACAATGATAGGATCACTAGCATGCTCACAAACTGGATCATGGCGCCCACTTCCTTCTTCAACTGCTTATACTCAGATACGACTTCCTGACTTCCTAGTAAGCCACCCTCTTCTGCGGCATACCAGTGGAACTCGACCGGGCGTTCTGGTACGAACTCAGCTTGAACAAGAGCTCTGAAGGCCTCGAGGATCGTGACCGTTCCTGAGCCATCATCATCCGCTCCGGGCGCAGGGAGTAAGGGGAAACGATAATTTGCGGAGTCCTGGTGAGCGCCAACGATGATGCGCGGAAGGGCTATGGTTGGATTGGGAGAAGAGCGTCCAAAGAACGGCTCAAAGCGGGCAATGACGCTGGGCTGGGGGAACGTGTGAGTGAATGTCTCGACTGAGAGACGGACACCGGGAGGAGCAGCAGAGACAATCTGCACAAGTGGATTAGATACTCAAGTCCGAAGAATTTCATTTGATAACACTGACCTCCAGGATCTGATTGTATAACCAGCGTGAACTCTTGACACCAAACTCCGAGCGATAATACCGGTTGTGGAAGGAGGTTAAGTTGCCCAGGTTGTTCTTCATCTCGTCCTTGCTCAGAAGCTTGGTGACGGACTTCACCCTGTCTTGATATTGTAGTCTAGGCCATGCTATTGACCACTTAGATTGAATAAGTAGCAAGGGAAGTACGAGGCGCACGAACTTGACTCAGCAGACTCGGAACTTGTTTGCAAATCCTGGTGATCGGTGAGGTCGATGAACCCGAGGCCCTGCTGCCGAAGGCGTAGTTTGTCGCCTTCGGTCATCCATGTGACTGCCTCAGTACCAAAGATTTGCAACAGCCGTGGAGCATCGAGTTCTGACGCATTTTCGGGATCCAGAAGACGCATAACGCGTACAGGATCATCATCGTATGTATCAAGCAGCTTCTCGATGATAGCGTCACGGTCGGTCAGAGCATCGACTGTGGGTCTGCCGAGTACTTCCTGAGGTGGCTGATCGAGGACGGCAGCAGATACAAAGAGAACAGAAAGAAGCGCATATAGTGCGGTGAATGTCCTCATTGTCTACAGCTTGATGAAGAGGTTTCAATCAGAACCGGAAGCTTCCTGCAGGAAATGGTGGTAGCCTAGTTGAACGAAGTATAATTCAAGGTTCTGAATTCGAGACTAGTCACGATGAACGGCCCACAGTGGTCCAATAATATGCGCCAATCATATGCATGTTCTATTGTTACATTTTGAGATGCAAGCGAGGAGGCAGCACGCTGCACGGTCCGTCACAGCCGTCGTTCTTCGCACCACTGCCAGATCGCGCACATGACCCGCAATCTAGAGGATACCTATCCTTCCATCGTGAAAATTCAGGCCGCCTCCGCATGGCGCATAAAGGACCAAGTACACGCTGAATTGATCCTTGACCATGACAATCAAATATTGATATCGTGCGCTGTGAACAGCCTACTAGTGCTTTAAAAGTTTAAATTCCATGTCGGCCTATCAGCAATGCCAAGTTCCATGAACGTGAATCATACGCAGACCAGCCAGCTCCGTCACATCAGCACCAACGGCGAGAAAACTCCGCAGCCTCGTTATATATGGCGACCTATGATGCTAGTGCTTCGTTGTCCAGCAAAAATATACAGTCGAGGTGATCTCATAGCGCTGAACACTACAGCACTGAATATTACCAGCTTGGCACTCAGTGCTGGTAAGAGCTAGGGCCACAAGGGAGAAAACAGTAAGAAGGCGAGCATGCCGCTGAACTTGGAATGGAGGTTCCATGGGATGGACTGTTGAAGAACTGGGCTCAGCAATGAGCCGCATGCGGACTCTCGACAGTCACAGCCATTGTCCTCCAAAAGATGATTCCGCACTCAACTCGTTGCGTTGTTGGTCTGGACGCCCACGAATGCTTGGACCCGTTAAAATACTCGGCTCGACGACCTAAATGAACTGTATACCTGTAACTGCCTGCGCGGATCTTATTGAGTATACGTCTCCCACTGACTTGACACATAATCGCAGGACACAGCTGTCATGAGGCCACTGAGCCACGCCCGCAACGATGTTCTCGGTCCAAGACACACGAAAGTTCCAGGTGCCTATGTAGTCTTCTAGTAGCAGTACATTGGGTTGTGGTTGGTCCGTTCGCAAACTCGAATTGTCGGATTTTAAGTAGCGATCACAGCCTATCGCTTTCTTTTCTCCAGTCTACGTCGCGACCAAACGAGGATTCTGTAGTCACCATGGCTGATTGTCAATTTTCAACGAGTGTTTGAGATACGTAACTGTGACCATGTCAGTTCCCACTGTTTCTTCACAAGTCGCCGTTATTAACGGCGCTGTGCTGAAGAACATCAGCTGCAAGTAGGTCCATCAAAGCTGTCGAGATGCATGTGTCGAACATTCCATTCTAGGAGTTGTTTGGCTTTGTTAAATTCGAAAGGTTTTGAATTGCATCATCAATTCGCTTCAACCCTACTATGTAGGTAACGGAAAATTATTGATGACCATGACCCTGTGCTTCTGGCGTGATCCTACTAGCGCGCATCACTGCTTATGTGATGTCATATAGCACAAATTCATCGTAACCCCGTGGATCATTTTTTCTAGCCTGAGGTAGGCATCCTCGGAAAATGACTTTAGTTGATGCTAAGTACAATTTGACAAGATATGCAACCGAAGTATGCAGGTTCGCTAAGGAAGAACTGTATCTGATAGAGCATGTGTCACTGAAACCAACGCGCTTTCTCGGCACAAGATAACTCGGCCTACTACCAGGGTTGAACGGAGCGTAAATATTACGAGCACGGGACAACATTATGCAGACTAGTGCGTTCTCGGTGGTGACCATAACAACACTTACGCAAAACGCCCTCTTCTGAACCTTTTGACATAGTTTGATACTACTTAGTTTCTAGAAGCCAGTTATGTACGAATGCTCTATGTAATACCAACCACATATTTTGATATCACAATTAATAGGCCGCGTCGCATCCCCATTTGGTCCACATACAATCGGCAGACTCCACACCAACGAGCATTGCAAAAAACAAAACAATTGAGCACGGATCGTCCATATACTATCCTGAAATTTACCTCTTGGTGAAATCAATCAAGAATCTTATGAGCCCAAAAGAAACGCAAACAGCGAGCGTGTGATTAGGATGAAGTACTATGACCGACAACGAGACATTGGTATCAAATGAGCGACCTTCCAACCCCACATCAATAAGACCTCGTGTCCATCACCTGCCCACCAAGGGCATACTGGGTATCTAAGCGCCAACGTTGATAGGAGTGCAGCCAATGTTAACAAGACCGTTCTAAAGTACGATGATTACTTTAAGAGGCAACTTTAAACTGTATCACAGAAGCACTTACATATTTGTTGCCGCTGCAGCACAGAGGCTGCTGGTTAGCCTGGCAGGAAGAGCTGGTGCCGACAACAGTAACACCGCTGCAGCCCAAGCCAACGAGCGCAGTAACATCAGCGACAACGGGTACGAGACCCAGAATCTTGGAGGCAGAGTTCCAGTTGCTGGTCTACGGGCATTCGTCTGAATCAGCATCATGTTTCACTGGAAAAAATACATTCACATACGGAGGTAGAACTGTTGCAGCACGAGATGCTACCGGTGTTGCACTGGCCATCGGCAACAGCGAAGGCAACGAGGGAGGCGACAGCGAGGAGACGAGCGAACATCTTTGGGATAAAAGAGGTTGAAGGGGATTGGTTGAGAGGTGCTAGGGTTGTTGAGAGAGCGATAAAGGAATGATAAAAAGTGGTCTCCAGTGCCCGTATTTTATACGCTAGAAGGGAGCTCAGCCTGAATTTATTTGGGTATAGTTACTTTACGTTTAGATGCGCACTTTTAATGCTTGAAATTGTAGAACGTAAAACGCCGAGACGCGTACTAGCACGTGCCTTGATTTCTGGCTTTTATTGTGAGCGTTGATTTATTGATTGAGGGTCTATCAGGGTCCGTCTTGGTCTGGGCTCGACAACGATTGGCGGAAAACGACCATGCGTCCCCGGCAATTTTTTTCGTTACGTGCAATTAGAAATTTTTGAGAAGACGACACTGTAGTGCCGACATGATTGAGGACTCCAAGGTGCAGGGTCAGTGTGAAGCATGACGCTAACTCAACCAGTTAGGTCACTGATGCTGACAGTCACTCAAATTTGAACAGTTTTGGTCTGAGGAATGTCGTTGTGGATATGCAGATCTCGCGATGGATTGCCAGCTATCGCCTAGTCTCCCGTACTGCTTGGAGATTAGTACGGCAAATAGAGGCGGGCCATTGTGCATGCAGGAGCGTTCACGGAGAAGATTGTCGAGGCTCTCGAGATCGTGCAGGAGGATGTATCATATGGTCGCCTTCGCAAGCCCTCGCAGTATGGAGTTCAGATGCCCTGTAACACTAGTGACTCCCGCGAACTTATGGACATTGAACAACTTGAATGACATCGCTTACTGCTCCTTATGTATGCTTAGCAAGATGGCGGGAGGTCAAGACCAACAACTTCATGGGGATGCAATTTTCCATCAGAATGCACTAGCCATTGGAGGAGTGTAAGAACACATTTTTTGATGCTAAACGCTGATTCGACGACGTATCGGGCATTATTTTCCGAAACAGCTGTTCCGAATACAAGTAAAACACACACTGGTGAGAAGTTTGAGGTCGATACTTCACTGGCACAACCTGCAATTACGAAGAAGGGGCAATTACATGGGTTTCGCATGCACATCAAGACCTAGTTTGAAATGTACATGTGGTCGACACGATGGATGTTGTGCCGAGAAAGTTAAATTGAGTAAATTTTAAAGCGAAGAGCACGGTGGTTGAAGAGATGGCGCTGCTGTGCTCGAGTACGCCAGATTCGGAAGTAGACTCCAATCATAAAAGTATCCTTCTTTGAAATTATGATCCGGATTCCGGAGTAAACAGATAAGATCAATCAATGTTCGATAGAATATTGATCATTTATTGGTTTGATTTTGTTGAACGTTGAACACAACGTCGAGCTTTCAAATTTAAACGTCCAAAGCTTCACATGTAAATGTATCATTTCGCGTGTGACGTGCACCAAATTTTTCTGGGCTAATACTTAGAATTGGAGTGCTACATACATTCATTTTGGGCCAAATGAACGTCGTAGACGCATTTTTGTGGCGGTATTCACACGTAGTCTGAGAGAAGATGAGATGGAGAGAAAGTAATATTCATCAGCTAAGATATGTGAAATGCGCGAAGTGTTGTAGAGATACAACTGAAGAGAAAGGTGTATATAGTGAATAGCGAGTAAATATTACTTACGGAGAGATGAGATGAGACGTAGTGTGTTGAGAACGAATCAAAGGGAGGTTGTTTGGTTTTAATTCGTTTTGTGTGTGGGAAGGTCTGGCTTTGCCAGACCAGTGCAGGAAGGCAGGGATCTGGGCGAGGCGCGTGGATCCCGCAAAGTCCAAAAGAAGCAGCTTGTGCTCGGAGGGATTTGGGATCGACAAAGACAAGACAAAGACAAACCTTCGGAGCGTCTTGAGTCCGGAAGGGTCCGAAAGGAAACACTAATCCAGACCAAAACACACAGGGAGGTGCATGCGTGCGGAAAAAATGGGAGAGCGAAGGGCAAAGGAGATGAGCGCAGAGAAGAAGAGGATAGCGGCGCTGATTTTCAAGTCGAGTCCTTTTAACCGGGGCGACTCGGACGTGTGCTTCAGTAGAACAGAAGGACACATATGGCGAATATTGCGTCAACTGCTCGCTATCCACTTGAAACGGCCACGTGCTTTGTTTTTGGGGGAAATGCAGACCAGAGCCAGCTCCAGTTTGTAAACAAAAATGATTCAAATTGGCCAGTCATTGACAAAGATCCGACCGTACGTTGACGTGGCAGTTGGATCCGGAGCTCATCTTTATAAGTTACGCTGTGGACTCATCCTCTCTCAACAACACAAATCCACAGAACTTCCGTACTGCTCCAGTTAGCCATCGGTTGGTGGTAGATTCGATAGACAGAACACCAAACGACATGTCTGGACAACCCCTAGAATCGTTTTCGCAGCATTTGTCTGTGCCTGGGACAATGGATAGTCGGGTGCCTGCGCATGACAGCTACGACGGGGCGACGTTGGTGAATGAAACAAGTGAGTTTTCGGTTTCGGTTTTATTTGAGATCGGATGTGGGAGGTTGTGGATCGGAAGAAAGATAAACGCCTGGCAGGAAAGATAAACATAACTCTGATAAGGGCTATAGCCTATCACACAGCCCCGCATTATTTCTTCAGTTCTCGCCCGTCACTTCCTCTGGGGTTCTCTTCTTATCTCCCAGGGGCTAGCGCTGTCTTTCGGCTATTACCTGTCACTGATCTGCAGGTTCCGACCTCGTGCACAGCTATAGCTTTAACCTAGCTATTGCCCCTGCCGCCATTTCTGGCTGTCTCTAGTTTCACTTTACTCCCTTTCATCTTTCCATCACCATCGTTTTCTTACTCCCAGAAGCTTATCCCTGCTCATGGCAGATTCAATCGACAACGAGAGCAGGTCCGTGTCGCGGGGACGCGATTCGTTTGTGAGTGCACTCTCATTTGCCAAGGACATCTCATAATAATTTCGTGTGTTAGCATTCTTCAGGTAGAGGTGGTATAGGCAACATTCGGCGCTCTTCCATCTCAAGCGATCCTCGCCCTACTGATAGTCCCGATGATTTTGCTTCGACCCGTGGGCGGGAGCAAGCCGTGCACCCTGACAGGGTATGTTGTACATTTCTCTCTCTAGGGTTCTTACTTAGGTGGCTCTTGGCAGATGTTCTCGGTGGGCAGGGGTGGAGCGGGTAACATTCGCACTCCCTCTCAGGATGTGGGAAAAGATCACCCCCAGACTGTAACTATCCTCAACGAGCACGCTGCGGTACAGGCAGAATACGAACAGCAGGTCAAGAAGCACCACGCTGAATCCAACCCGATCGTATGTCCATCTGATGTCATATCCCGCAACATTAATACAAGCCCGATACATATTAGCATTCCTCTGGAAGAGGCGGTATTGGTAACATATCGGGCTCGCGCTCTCGCTCTCGTGGTCCTGTATTTCACTCCACAGGACGAGGCGGTGCAGGGAATCTTCAATATGGAGCTGCCACCGTCGACGCCATGGACGAAGAAGAAAGAAGGAGGCATGTTCATGCTCAAGCGAGGTATACATGCTGCTTTCGCTGCGGTGTTGAAATTACAAACTCATGATCATCCTATCTCAGACACTCGGTTGGCCGAGGCGGAGCTGCAAACCTTACGGATGTGCACTCGCCTGATATTGAACGTGTAATCCATCATCAGAGCGAATTTGAGTCCTCTGGGCGCGGCGGAGCTGGGAATATACGCTCCCGCTCCGCGTCGCGCGACCCAAGTGGAAGGGCTCCTTCCCGCGATCCCAAGGAGAAACACGGCATCGCCGCTCTTTGGAGCAAGGTATCTCACCCCTCCAACCCCGGCTCTGGCTCTGGGGATGCTGCGTCCCGGGAAGAATGACTTCTGCTTGAGCGTCTCCGCCCCGTCCCCCGTTTTCCTTCTTCCCCGTCCTCATCCCCAGTTCCTTACACTCTCATGCGGAGGCGCTCAAATCTTGTTGACATCCCGTCGTCGCGGCGAAACGCACGTCATTTCTCGTATCCGTCCTATTCTAGTTCGTCATCTGACAATGCTCCGAGCGCTGGCTCTCTTCCAGTTGTATTAGAGGATCATGAGTATGTGTCTTTCTTGGAACTTTAATCCTTTTTTGGTCCTCCGCTTTTTTTGTCTCATCCTATTGGCTCTTCTCTCTTTCTGCCTGACTGTTATTTGTCTTTGCATTTTTATTTCTGCTCAGGTTTCATGCTGTACCGGAACGTTATCATACCCATTGACATGCTGTATATTCTCACACTCTTTTGCATCCCGCGCGTCTCTGTTCTCATCTTTATGTGGGCTGTTCCCATTATACAGCCTCTTTCCCTCCTTATCACCTTGCATCATGTTGCGCGTCTTTTCATAGATGTCTTCTTTCGTATGTCCTGTGCGCTAGACCATGACATGCTTCCGTCATATAACCCTCTTTGTCACCGGCGCTTGTTAATCATCCGCTTCTTCTGGCCGTTCCTCTCGAGATAACCCCATTCCGGTTCCGGTGATGGTGGCAAAACTCGTCAATGCCCTACCCGTCCCCTTTCCCATTCCATCTTACAAAGCTTTGAACCCAATCTAATTTTCCTGTCATGATCTTCCGCTGACGCGCATTGTTTTCCCTATTCTAGGCGCTGCATTCGACGTGATCGAAGGAGGCATTATCGCCGCAGATGGGGTGGAAGTCAGGTGTGGGTGTAACGCACGGGGTGAAATGAGAATAGTTTCAATGATATCTCTTCATGTTCTTGAGCTGGTTTTTGTTTATATTGTACTAACACCAGATGTCGACTGTAATCACGTCTGTCTTTGATCCATGTTACAACATGTATTCGTTTGCGAAATAATCCTGAAGTTTGTTGAACCGTAACATGCATGTGATGATGAATTGATGTGGAGATGATGGTCACATTATCTCAGTCTGTGAGAGCACCTCGTCGAAGTTCACCGAGTGCGTCCAAGCATTTTGTCACTTCTAAATAGACCATTTGAGGCCCCGAGATCGAGATCAGCGTGATAAGCAGCTCTCGTCCAATACCATCACAATACTTTACTTGCCCCAGGCAGCACTGGTTGGCTCTGACGCGGCTTACGGCAAGGTATTTATAAGTATAGATGAACTATTGTGGTGCAAGTTATGCACACGCCTTCGGACCCATGAGACATAGTAAGGAGATGGAAGATCCCTCATTCGCAGACTAGATTTGTCCAGAAAACCCTGGGTTCCACTGGGACCGATGACCGCAACATAGGGCCGCCTGATGTGGCGTATGATGTCGGAAATGACCAGGCGACGCAGCCCCAAACTCCGCTAGGACACTATCTCAGGACGTAAACAATGATATTCAGTCGACCTTGAATCAAGCTGTGTAGCCGTAAGATGACAGTGCATACAGCAAGTTGGAGGACAACGATCATTCAACTTTCCGCTGAAGCGCTGAAGAACTTTGGACAGCACATCGCCTTTTCTCGACAGGCACCCGCACGAATGGACTTGAGAGGTTCGTTGCACAGGAACTCGCAAGTTCTCAACGATATGAAGTGTAAACCCAGGCAAAGACTGCATGAGTGTGAGTTAAACGAGTTGTGAGAAACAGTTTCACTCGCATACGCAGCACTAACTTTTTGAGAGACACATTTCCTTCCGATTGGTGATCACCACTTCATCATGCCAGGGCTGAGTCTTTCAAATCGGTTGTGCTTTCACGGAGTTAAGTTTCAATACCGCTGACATCGTGGGCCTTGTGCGACAAGGGCTTCGATCCTAAAGATGATCTTCGATCACATACAGTTACCCCACACTTGGATCCAACCACGCCTCTCTACTGGAATGACAGTTAGGCAATAACGTCGCCTCTTTTTAATGGGTCTCACAGTATTATACATGCGGGTCGTCCCAAATGTCGGCCCCCCATTCCATCCGCGTCCAAGGGATGACATAAAAGGTATGAAGTTCCATAGTTATAGTTTGCATGTGATCCGTGCTCCGGTCATCCAGCCACAGGTCTGATGATCATAACCATAGACTGTCATGATTGGACCTCTTAGGAAAGAACACACCAGAGCCAAAATTGGCTAAATTTAGCGTCCAGTTGAGAGGGGTGAACGTCCCCTAATCCTGGGACGGAAGCTTCCGGTATATAGTTGTTCAATAGCGATGCCGTCGGTGGCGGTCGGTGGCTGCACGTGAGATATCTCCACGCAGAAGTCGACCCAGATCGCGTCGCGGGATGAGAAAAATGAGTTCTTCATGGCCAAGAAGGCTGGCAGGAGATTAACTTCTTTTCTAACGTGGTTAGAGCAATCGTAATGGAAAGACCCATTCAAGCTGACTCGTGTGCACAATACAATAATATCATCCTTGGCAAGAAGTTCCTTTATAAATAACTTCGCTAGCTGGGAAGGAAACCCATTGTCGGTTCAAAGATCTCAGTTAAACATACACAAGGATAATATTACAACGCAACACACCTGAAATACTGTGAGGTCGGCACGATTTGTCAACTGCTCTTGTAATGCAGGACACGTACACTGAGATGTGGAACTACCACGAGGGACCAGCGTTGCCGCTCCCCCGAATGAATTATGCGATCCTGTTGTTCTTTTGATGCGGGACTCTACTGCTCAAACTATATAACCATTATTGGTCAGTTGGCTGCTCCGGTAATGGTGTCGGCCTACCTCGTGCCCGAGCCTTGCCATTGGAAAGCACCATAAAGAAATTAATTATTGCTTTGGTACTATTTTGCTCACCCTAATCATATAGCGCCACTGAAAGGATGCAACTGCAAAACCTGCACTAAACGATGGTGTGAGACATAACCCAATATCATCTGACTTGTTCTCCACGAACTTACAAGATAGGTTTAAATCGATTAGTAACCACCACTAGACTAGGAGCATATAATGTCATGCACGCTGTTATAAGGACATATATTTGACTGCAGTAAGCGTCAGTGCCACATGAATTGTCGACCATCTGTCTAGAAAGGGGTTGTAGATCTACGCACCATTGCAGAACAGCATGTTTGAACGCCGGCTGTTCGTGATTTCGGCGAACTCCGTTCTCGAGAAGGTCTCGCTACGCTTGTCATCGTTGATCTAACAGAGGTCTAGAGAGGTCTAGGCGTGGTGTGATCGGACTTTGGAAGGTATCTAATGTGACCAGTAATTCGTCAGTACCATTTCTCGACGTGCGCAAGCTGTGCTTCCGAACCACGCTAAGGATGACAACACTACCGCTATCACACCCGCTAGCCAGAGGCATCAAGACAGCGCACAATTTCTGCACGAAGCACGGATACGCGGGCCACAAGGGCCATCCCTCATCACTGCACGAGCTGCTAAACGAGTTCAAGATCAACCAGGAAAAGATGGAAAAGATCACGCCGATCTGCCAGTTCCCCAAATGGATCCCAGACGTCACAACAAGCATAGCGCAGAAAGAGGAGGAGGCGGTTAAGGAGGAGGAGACAGCAGACGAAGATTTACGCGTTTATTCGGACGGGTCAGCGATAGACGGGGGAGTGGGAGCTGCAGCGGTCTTGATGAGAGGAGCCAAGATAGTCAGCGAGAAGAGGTTTCATTTGGGCAGCGACAAGGATCACACGGTATATGATGGAGAAGTGGTGGGGATGATACTGGCGGTGAAGTTGCTGAAGGAAGCAGGAGGGAGGGGAACTATGTCACTCGGGGTGGACAACCAGGCTGCAATCCGCTCCACGGGGGCCTTCCGCTCGCAACCCGGCCACTATCTGGTCGACAAGTTTCACGACGACCTTCGGGACCTTCTTCCAGACGATGATGACAGAAAGCTTAAGATTAGGTGGACTCCGGGCCACAAGGGGATAGCGGGTAATGAAGCAGCAGATAAGCAGGCGAAACGAGCAGCGAAAGGGGAGACTTCAAAGGGCAACGTACTCCCAAAATCACTGGCGCAGTGGGACAAGACTCCGTCAATTCTACCACGTAGCAAATCAGCGGCGAAGCAGGTATTCCACAGCGTGATCAAGGGCGAAGCCAATAAAACCACACTCCAATCCCCGCGCTGCCTCATACCCCATACCATCGACCCGTCAGCACCGTCAAAGGATTTCGCCAGCCTCATCGAAGACCTTCCACGCCGCCACAGCTCACTTCTGTTTCAGCTCAGAACCGGACACGTCCCTTTGAACAAACACCTACATCAAATTTCGAAGTCACCGACGGCTCAGTGTCTACAATGCAACGGGGGAGAAGAAACCGTTCATCATTTCCTCGTAGTTTGCCCAAACTACGCTCGTCAGAGAGACGTCCTGCGAGAAGAGGTTGGAACGAGACGCGCCAGTCAGCTCAAGTGCCTGCTGAACGAGAAGAGATACATCAGAGCCTTATTCAGATATATTGCACGCACCAGACGGTTGGAACAGGTCTTCGGGGACGTCACGCCCCCATCGAGGAAGAAGAAGAACAAGGCGTACGACGAATCCTCAAAGAGCGTATCATTTTATCAAACGCCTTTGGTTGGCATTTCCGTTCTCGCGCCTGCGGCTTAGCTTGAACCATTATTACTGTTACTCTAATTGATCATAAGCACACGAGCATATATAGGTTACATACGGACAATAAACAAGGATTTTTTAAAAATAAATAAATAAATTTCTCAACATCAAGAGAGAAAGAAAGCACAGCCGCCGTGACATGGCTCGTGAAATTTACAAACATCCAAACTGAAAGAACGTGCTATTAATCCAAAATACAATGAGTAAGCTTAACAAGTAACTGCGAGAACAATTTGCAAATGACGATGACCTACACCTTATTTGTGAGTCCTGGAGCGATATGTTCTAAGATCAAATGCACAAACCTCCGGGAGCGTCGTAACACTCTCAATCATACAACCTCCATCCTCGTACCCGCCTCCGCTTCCAGAACCTTTAGGTGCGTGAGACCGCATGCCCCATGGACCCAGTCGCGCACGAGGCGATACTTCCGCATTTCAGTACATCCAGGGACGTCACACCGTGGTTTCTCTTTTGGCAAGGGTGGAGGTGGAGGTGGGGCTAGCGAAGCGCTAGAAAGGACAGAGACGGGCACTCCGAATGTGAGGTTCATCTTGCCCTCAGCAACACTCTCCTTCGGCATGGGCGTGGAAGAATCCACCAGAGGTCGCGTGCTGGACACCCACCGCCAAGCAGTTGGTAGGATGACGTCCTTCTCTTCCTGCTCGACCTCACGCTCGCCTTCGGATGCACTTGCCTCTGCGGTGGATAGTGCACTGCGCTTGGCTTTGGACTTGGACTGCTTTTTGAGGAGGCGGTTGATAGTTTCTGCCTGCAGGGGGTGGATTTGTATGTGAAGGGGCACAATTAGTGGATATGCGGACGGAATGTCAGATATGCCGTTGGTGGTGCGTGAAATTAAGAAAAGCGTTCAGGTCCCTCCCACAAGGATAAACATGATCAACTAACCTTCTCGTCCTCAAGTTTTTTCTCAGTGAGATTGCGACGTTTCCGTGCTGTCTCTTCACGCCGAAGTGCGAGCTCGCTCTCTGTGAGTTGCTTCTTCTTTCGAGAGGATTCGCCAGTGGCTGTCAATGAAGGTTAGCAATCGGCATCCAGGAAAATGAAATGTGCGAAAAGCGGCAATATGTGAAGATACCAGCAACAACCCGTCAGATAAGTGACAAGGCTTAAGAACTCAAAGCGAGAATCAAGCAGTGGACAGCAAGAAAACATACATAGAGATACATGCGAAGAGCCCACGACGCTCGCAAGGACCGCCTGGCGGGAAGTCATGGGGCGCGTCGAGCCCACCGCCTCCTCTTCGTCATCTTCATCTTCGGACTCTACGTCAATATCTGCGCGTCACAAGCCCAAAAGTCAGTTGCACGCGCAAAGCAGAATGACGCAGAACACACCGCCAGAACGCCCACGTGATCCAGTATCTTCTGTGCTGGGTACGCTTGGTAGCTTGAGTTTGATCTTTAAGCGGGGCTGCTTGGGCGGAGACGGAGGAGGAGAAGCCTCCTCAGACTCTGGAGCATCCTGAGGACATGGAATTAGTACGGACATCCAGCAGTATGAGATCGACACACCTCTTGTTCAGGTTCTGGCTCGTCTTCTTCCTCATCCTCAGGCTCGAGTTTCTCATCCTCCCCTTCATTATCATCTTCCTGGAGTTTCTGATTCACCTCGTCGACCTCCATTTCCGCGTCAGAGCCTGAGTCCGACATTTGCATATCTGCTTGTAGTGTTAGTGAATAGGAACAGTATCATATTTAGCCGAGGTGTGGGAGCGGGGAAGCGGGGGAAAATGGTCGTGGATAACAGACCTGAACCGTTGTACTCGTCGTCATCATCGTTGGACACGCTTCTTACAACTCTCCTCCTTAGTTGTTGCATCGATTCAAGGAAAATTCAAACCCAGATAGACCTTAGCATCAATCTTACATATGACACGACGTTGGAATTTACACCTAGGACAGGACCGTCCGTGGTTAGGCTTTGTTGTTCATAGGAACTTGCCAGCACAGCGATAGAATATTTTGGTTATAGCCTCGACCGGATGCCTTAGGCCGTTACCAAAATGCAGGTGCTAGCTAATGAAAATATCGTTGACCATGACCTGCTCCACCGAATCACTTGTCTCGGAGTTCATCCATCCAGATCCCCGTATCTTTCGAAGGCCGATATGCGGCTGTTGATGTCTCAATGCGTCGTGCAGTACCACCCACTGCATTATTATGGTTGATTCATCTACGGCTTACTTCCCACTTGCATGCGCACTGGCACGATACCGCGTACTCATTGATTCCGTGCTGTATATTCCACTGACGAAATTTCGAAACTTCGTTACAGAATCATCGTGATAACTTGAGATGCAAACCCCAGTTGAGTCCAAGTCGGACTTTCCTTTACTCCTTTTCATGCAGGTCCTCGGGATCGCTATCTGAAGTGTTCTGCCTCTTACTCTGTGGCTACATTGCCTGCAACGTGCAGCAATGCATTGGTGCCATCATAGCGCATGCTCCTGTGATTCGGAAGGGATGAATTGGGCGTGAGCAACTGCTAAAACTTGAATCCGACCTGCGTGGTGTAGTGAGGAACGGCTGCATGCAAACAATCATAAGGGAATGGAAGACGCAGATTCCCATGCAACCTCACCTGGATAGGATTCAATTGATGAAATCCACCCCCTGCCTCACAGGATCAATCGAAGATTCTGGGTAGGACTGATCTTGCAACCGGGGCCGACCAACGCCACCAGACTAGATGATGAAATTCGGGCCCTAGACTAAGAGTTCGACCGAGACTGTCCTTCGACAACGCACTTCAGGCATGCTTTTCTACTTGTCTTCGATCACATGCGGCTTCCTGGCAGTTTAGCGAATATTCCTTCCACACAGCTCAGGCGCTTTGCAATTTTGGTTAACCGGTGAGTCCGGGGGCTTCTTACTAGCTATAGGCTACTATTTAAGCGCGACCGGTTCTTCTTAAACCTGCTAACCCTTCGAGTTAACGCAACGACGACCTCCATTACCATGGGTTCCTGCTTGTCATTCTTTCGAAAACCCAAGCAGACTGAAATTGTTAGGCATTGTTTCGGTCATTAGATTCGACCACTAACCTTGACGTTATACTTTGATCAACAGTCCGAAAATGGCGTCAATACGTCTGAAGATAAACCGACCGTCCCCACGGGGTCCACACCGTGAGCTTTCAACCGAAAATATGGAGAAATGGTCTTTCATGTTATAACAGCCTCCCCTTGACGATAAAGTCGGTGTCCGACACCACCAGTACTCTGCAGACGTATGTCCGGTCACATATCATGATTGGATAGCGCTGAAAATGCCAGGTACAGAGATGTGGCACGAAGTAATCCATCCGCATCGCAAGCTGAAAGGCAGCCCAATTCTTCGGTACCATCCAGCAGCGTGGATGGTTATTTCGCATCGTAAGTACTTCTCCCGCTTCCGGTTTATAAGGCACTGATGGGATAATAGCAGCGCGTCACAGTCAATGACCACTGCGATACATGAAGTGCGGCCGTGAGTTCAGCTTTCTTCATAGATTGCGGGCATCAGAACGTGAGACACAGAGTGGCCTTCGATACGGACCCATGCGCCATTCGGTGTACATCTATCAGGAAGCAGTCTGATTATCCTACGACATCTGGTGGCTTGGGTGATATCTGGAAGTGTACATTCACTCTTGATCCAGCAACCTCTATTGATGTACATATGTTGTTTCTCTGCAATTTTCCCGACTAATACCTTCTGGACAGGCCGCTGTCAAAGCTATCAGAATTGCAGATATACGCAATGAACAAGCCATTCAAAAAGCGACGAAGGTACGCGAACTTTAATTCTGCGCTGTAAGGTACATTGAATCTCGCTCGTAGAGACTTCGCCGCGAAGTAGCGGTGTGGATCAAATTGAAGCATGCGCATGTTCTCACTCTTCACGGCACGGTCTCAGGATTCGGACAATTGCCTGCCCTTGTTACTACATGGATGCATAATGGGGCACTTCATGGCTACTTGGGGCGCACGGTACTCACCATGGAACAGAAACTACGGCTGGTGAGATTAAGCTATCATGTGCAATATAAGACCTCACTCAACAGATGCCATTATCTAGCTCAAACAGGTCGTGGATGGTCTGGGATATCGTACGTAAACGCTGTTCTGAACATATCTTTTCTCTCTGACAACATCTCTAGTTCATGAACACGAAATAGCCCACGGGGACCTGACCAGTGTATGTACGCTTCAATACTTCTGAGTCCTTACTAACTCAATGGTTGAAGACAAATGTCATGATCGACAGTGATGGCAATGCGTTTCTAGCAGATTTTGGTCTCTCCGTGGCTCTCGCAGACGCCGACAAATCTTACTATAACTCGTATTCGAGTGGTGCCATCCGATGGTTAGCACCCGAATTGATGGGCAATCCGGAACCGGCAAGCATCGACGGCGATGCCACTGTCTGTGATGACGACTTCCCGAAACCGAACAGTCAGAGTGACATATTTTCACTCGGCTGCATCATGTTAGAGGTAAGTCGAATCTGCTAGATCTTGGTCGAGTTCACCTCAATCTTACATCGCGCAGGTCTTCTCGGGTAAACTTCCCTTCTGGTGGCTCGCAAAAGTTCAACACGTTTTCAGTGCCCAGTTGGGGCGCTCAGAGCCATATCAACCCGAATCCGGTGTGCCTCTTGACCCCCAACATTTGGAATTTATGAGGAAGTGTTGGTCCGCCAAGCCTGAATCTCGTCCTTCTATTGGGGACGCTGCTTCCTTTGTGAAACACGAGTTGGCCAAGGTGGACTCCAACTAACTGGGCCTCGACGTCCAAATTGCAATTTGGATCTGGATTGCAGGGATTGACCTATATCGATCAGGATGCTTCATTAACATGCTAGTGTATCATATCACCGTATTACGCACTACGTAGTTGTATGTACGCTAAAATATAATCACCAGGTATCCATCGTAGACCGTGATCACTCGGAGGTGAGGTGGACACAAGACAACTTGAAACTCCGACCGTTAACAACTTTCCTTTCACCATCACATTGACCACTTTCGCTTGTCAGCACCATGCCGGCCCAATACCACGCACTCTCAACCAACGATCCCACTGAAACGGAGACTGATTCACAACTGCAGTCTCAAATCAAGCAACTCCATGCAGACCCTCGTTTTAACCGCCCCGCACCTTCCCTCTGGAAGCGCATTGCACTCCTCCTTGCGGTTGCGTTCCTCTTCTGGCTTGCATTCCAGTTCCAACCCCGGAGATCCCAACCTAAGGTCGTCCATGCTGAAAGGTAAGTCGCCAGCTTGTGTAGTTTAATGGCGTTCGATGCTCTCTGTTCCTCGTTTACGCTCCGGTGAATGGTGCATAGTCTGACTGTCATCTTGAACAGATACTCGAAGGATTTCAAGTACCGTCCAGCAGCGAGTCCGATAATCACAGAGCGGCTCAAAGATGGTGTCGTCCGCCTTCGCGGGGCATATCCCTCGGCGTAAGCGTGTTGTTGTTAAGGTAGATTTCACACCGTCACAGTACTTTAGTATCTGAGCTCACCTTTCACGAGGACATGCTTTTCGGCCAGTCATCATACATTTTAGATATCATTATCATTCCCGAGCTCCTTCTCGTCGTACTTATTGCCGTTCGTTTCTTCGACCTAATACCTACTACGCTCTTTAAACAGGACTGAGGTTTGTGCCGATCCGCGCATCTTCGTGGATGCGTATATCCCTCAGCCCTGAGCTTGAAGATACAGCTAAGGCTGAAGAGTTATACTTTTTTTTTTGTTGCAGACAGCAGTTTTCGTGACTCAATCACTTTGTCCATTTTGTTGCATTGTCGGGCTCACTTTGTTCATGTGCCTTACTTGTCGCTGTCGCGAATTTCCGTAGGTAAGTCGGTCGCGAACACATGTTTGGTTTATCTTACACATATTGCAGCCACTTGACTCAGCCGTCGTCATTTTCTGTAGTCTTCAGAACGGAGCTGGGGCTGTTTGATACCAGACTGCGGCTCAGGACGAACTGTACTCTACGTCGCGGGACCCCAGCGTCTCCAGGGCGCGAGAACAATTGATATGCCAATGAATGTCAAATTTATTTCTACCTTCCACCGCAAAGCCTTTTTTTCCCTTCTTAGTTCTCCAGCTTATCAATTGCACGAACATCCATTCTATATGTACGCGGTCTGTAGCATTCAGCGTTGTCCGCAAGTACAGATATCATCAAGTGGTCCAGGTATCTACACGTTCACATTATCTACAGTCCGTGTTCTGATATAGTGACATTATAGTTATCGCATGGACGGATTGCCCTCAATGAACATCGACAAAATGCTGTTCCAAGTAGTCGTGACAACGTGGAGAAGATGCATCTTATACCCCGGGAAGCACTTTGGATTCCATTGTGGAATTGTCATCCGACGAAGATGCACTATCATCTGAGCAAAGGGATGCTGTATCGAGCGAGGGTATTCGACACGGGAAAGTCGCAAGTGAACAATCAGAGAGATTACTGAGCTCTGTCAAGTCGACCTCAACATCATGTAAGCCACATGGTGCATGTGGCGCATCAGCGTGCGCCACGATGCATCCTGCGTGTAAGTGATGCGGATCGTGGGATTCTGCGCGTGGAACAGATCTCATTTCCACTGCACAGGATATTTGAGGAGGTGCTGCTACTTGCGGGACAGTGCTGTAGTTGCCTCTGTAGACACCAGTCCTGCGCCGTTCGGCTTCGCTTGTGGTCTGGCATGACAAGGTGAATAATTACAACATACCTGGTGCATAAAAAAACTTACGATCACCGATGCCCGAAGCTCTTTTACGTGAAAACAAGCGACTCCAATATCGTAGCTGAGCCCTCTGAAGAACTCTCGGTAATCTTTGAGCAATGTGGTCGCGCTATATGCTCTGGATCGCAATTCTAGCGTCGCTTCGCGCAAACTATGCAACTATTCATCAGCTGCACAACGTCCCCATAGTGGACCGAACGTACACAGCAAGTCTTTCTCCCATTTGGCTTCTAAGCATATCTTCGGGTAGCAGACCATCCTCCACTGCGGACTCGTACAAGCCTTGGGTTTCCTCAAGCAGCTCTTCAAGCTCCTTGATCCTTTGGCTAGGTAGATGGGACTGGAAAAATCCAAGTAGGATTCCAAGTATTGTCGTCGCCCCTATGAAAAGCCCAAACACATTAGAGTAGAATGAGAGCCCGTTGTTCTCCATGTATGAGGTATAAGATCACGTCCGGTATATGCAGTACTGTGGTCAAGTAGTTGTAACCAAGTAGGATGGCTGGCAGAGAAGGTTTCATTGGTCTTTTAGAGTCGCTCAGCCACTCTCCAACATGTTTATCGTGAGGACCGGTACTTGTATGTATCGCACATCGCATCAGATATATCAAAACTACTGAATCTGCCATCAACTTGGACCTACAACTCTGGCGGCATCTTCCGATCCATGCATGAACAACCAAGAGCCAACTTGCAGCACTCAGTCATGATCTATGACGAGACCTATCGCAATACAAGCGAGACGCGGTGGTCCAACAACTACTTTTTCCTGGAGGGAAAAGGGTATGTGCTTCGCTCACGATATCGTCCAGATTGGACTGCATCGTGGCTCGGGACGAATCGCAACAAAGGCCAGTGTGAAGATTCGGTCATTCCAAATGTTTGCCAATCATTCGTTGCCGCAAAATGACACATTGAACATAATCCCTCTTAGCTTCCCCACATTCTTGACGCCACGCAACGAACTACTGGTCGAACAGTCTGCATCAAGTGGATCAGGCAAGCCTACACAGAAAACGAGAGAGCCATCTGCGAGTACTTGCGTTCGCCGCGGCTATCACTAGATCCTACGAACCATTGCGTTCCAGTTATTGAATTCATTCCGGATCTATCTGTCGATGGCGCATGCTTCCTCGTCATGCCGCTACTCCGTCCCTTCAACGATCCGGAATTTGTGGTAATTGGAGAAGTGGTGGAGTTTATTCAACAGATTCTTGATGTATGAAATTTGTATTTCTCACATGAAGTATCCTAATTTTCTATGCAGGGTTTGAAATTTATGCACAAACATGGCGTAGCTCACCGGTCAGCGCGAGTCTTCTCTGAATTTGATTGGTTGCATGACGTTCCTGCAGCGATTGTGTCGGCTTGAATATCATGATGGACGCGAGTACAATGTATCCCAATGGGTGGCATCCAATCCTTCGTAGTTTCTCGCCAAATTTGACCGATGTTGCGCACCATTGCGATCGCATCGACGCAAACGTCAAGTACTTTTTTATCGACTTTGGAATCTCAACCCGTTTCCTCCCAGGACAACAACGTGTTGTTTCTGATTTTCGCGGGCGTGAACAACGGCCTTCTGAGCTTGTGGCTGGACTTCCTCATGATCCTTTCAAAATAGACATGGCCATCATTGGCTATCTACTCGATGATAATTTCTACAAGGTGCGTTTTCACTGCAACATACCGAGCGTTTTTGACTCATTCTCATAAGACATATGCGGATTTGCATTTTCCTGTCTCCTTTGATCAACGCGTTGAAGGCAGACGATCCAGCTCGACGTCCAACAGCGGAAGAAGCTCTTATGGCATGGAACACCATCCGCCGCGTTATCGATCAAGCAAAGTATCATTCAAGGCTGCGCAAACACGGAGAGACGTTGTCGGAGGCATTGCTCAACAGCTCGCTTCATGCCTTCAAGGGCGTCAGGAGACTTGTCGCTTCATAAGTGGTACCGACAACTTCTCGTGAGGTATCGCAGTTGCTTATCTACGCGCCCATTTAGTGGTGAGTGCGCACCATTGAGATGACAATTACGCGGCTTGACGTTGATAGCAGTGTCTGCGTGTTCAAGCGATCGATTACTAGTGGTAGATTCCTAGTATGAGCAGCTTCTGCCACCAGTACGGCTACACCCGAGAGGCTCCCATGGCTCGCAGCTCGTCGGCCTGCGCACAAAAAACATTCGTGCATCCGGTTCACTCATCGACCTGTGCTGCTGTTGACATGGTTGCGTGGCTATCGCTGCTTAATCCAAGAAGCTTTTACTATAATATACATTTCGACGCCTCCTACCATTTCTCGGCATTCTCTGAAGTACACTGTCAAGGTTGCCACTCGATGACTACCTTCGACCTCCCCATACTGCCTTTGTCTCCCGGTCCAGAGCTGGAAATATTCTTTCGGTCCCCTGTGCTTCGCGCTCCTTCAATGTGTGTTGTCCTTGACGAAAATGTAGTTCGTGATCGTCTATGCCGTTTGATACATATTGGGATCAATGCATTCCATGTCTTGCGAGCTTGGATGATATGAGAACGATACTACGGAACCAATATGATTATGCGCATTCTGAACAAGACCCATGCCCGCTAGAGGCTGGGTCACCATACTCCTGTTTCACCGTTGCCTCCAAGCTCCACACATAGATTTTTGCATCTGATCGACCACTGGCAACGCATTTTCCATCAGGGGACTTCATCGTTTTGTAAAAGTGGGTCTTCAATTGGCTGATTGGTCTTGAGATTCCAGATGCGAACTGAGCAGACCCTTGAGGCATTGACAATATTGCATTCATCGGAGAGAATGACTTCGGAAGGGATGTGATGTCGTTGGTAGGACCTCAAGGACCTCCATATCAATCGACAAACTAACGAGGTCACCTAATCAGTTATCATGTCCACTGATCTCGATGAGCAGTTCGCTGTCCTTTGACCACAGGCGGAGATCTCATCTGAGCCGCCGCTCGCGAACTTGTCGCATCGTGGAGAGTATTTGACTACACACCGGTTTTTATCGGTGGTGTAATTTGTCGGCCAGTATCCGGATTCCGGACCGTTCTGCAAAATCGTCTGTGGTAGCATACAGTGGATGAACGCGAGCCTTGTAGAATCCAAGTTGGAAAGACGAGAGAGTCGAGAGTCGAGACGCATTTTGGAGACGATGCGCGATCACTCATAAGACTGCCACTTGGAGCTTTGCGAGTTAATGGCCAGCGCCAACGTTCTTCTACAGGTATGGGCCTTACATGCAATGTTGCAGACCATTGGGGTGTCTACTCTCACCCGGCCAACCACGGCAAACTAGAACAAGGGGGCGCTGCCAGTGAACGAAACAGCTCGAGGAATCAAGTTTGTTGAAACCAAAATGGCGTGGACGAGGGAGGGCAAGGAACAGGGTGGGTGCAGACAGCGCATCAGTAAACCGGTGAGACTCAGATATTAGTAGATTTTGTAGTATTTTGTAAGCCCAATGCTTCATTGCATTACTTTACATTACTTTATATTGTTTTATAACGTCATGTATAGGAAAGAGCATTTAGCGTACAAAATATGGGAATATCAGTGGCTCACCGGTTTACTGATGGCAGGTTAGGGAGAGCGGAGTATGTAGTGCTAGCCTGAGGGACGTATGCCAGTGCAGCCTCCGACGAACGCGGCTCCCACGTGTTGTTCTGACCCAATTTGTTTTATCGATTACTTCACTAGTACTTGCTGTAGACTACGTGATTCAAACTTAGCCACAGCCTATCGTTGATCCCACGATACTATTCCTGAGTCAGCGCAAGTAGAACGCATGGGCGGAGCTATCGTGTAGTTCTTCAACTCCTTCTGCGCACTGTCACTCACTGGGTTACCGTTAATTCATTTCACAGGCGATATCATACACACAGATGCCCAGCATGCCTGAATTCTTTTCATAACCATGACGTACTAAGGGTGGTTAATCAATCTTCAGGCGAGTATCTGCGACGTGATAAACACACGGATATCGGGGGACCTTTACAATGCGTGCTAGTGCGTGGAGTTCGGCTGGAAGGTCGACATGCTACATACCACAGCATACGGGGTTCCTTCACCAACACACATTACCGCCGCCCCATCGTTGTTCCGCGGAGTCATGAAGTGCTCGATCCAAGATGCTCATGAGCCAGGTGGAGAATGAGGATGAAACCGAGAGTGGCTTTTTAGAAAGCAACTGTGTAGAGGTCTTGACGTACCGAAGACGTGAATTCCAACATCTCACCGGTCATGCCGCAGAACAGTGTATGTGGTCCCAAGAGATTGTCTAGCGGCGGTGTCGAGGTTGCTACTTCTGATGGCAAACAGTGAGATCTTTTCCGCGCGTTCTCGCATGACATACTTAGTAACTTACGTCCAACAGCTAGGGTTCCGCACGGGTAACACCGCGGGTCGGAAAGCTGACACCGTACCCGTACCCGCCAACACCGTACCCGTCACGGGTACGGGTACACACCGACCCGTCAATAAGCACTGATTGATTGAAAAAGGATTTGAGGGTGGCATACCTGGGACGGAGAGATAGTCTAATACCATCCGATGCAACATTGGATAAGTACGGCAGTTGTTTTGCCACCATGCAAGTGGGTCCTTGGTCTTCACAGTTGGCAATCGAAGGAACTCGTCCAGCTCGCTACTGGTGGTATGAGACATGGAACCAAGTGAGTAGTCACCAAAGTCATCCTCATTCTGTACAGTTGTCAGTGTCAGTGTAGAATTAAATGTTGGATACAGACTACATCTGCTGCAGTGTCATCAGTAGTCTCGGCAGATTTCTCGTATTTATCAGTAAACTCTTCACGGACAAGCTGCTCGGCAGTATCGATCCACTCTTTCTCCCAGGATTGCTCACGGAAGTAGGCAAAAATCAATGGAAAGCAACGCACCGAGATCTGCAGCGGGATCAGGATCAGGATCGGCCGTTGCTTTGTCGTCGTCACTGGCCAACGAATCAGTACTTGATCGTGTGAGATCAACAGTGTCTGTGGGTTTCGATCGAGCAGACCGAGACACAAATGACTGTTTGACCTTCTTCAAGGGGCGGGCCAGAGCCTTAACACCCTTTGCGACGGCCTTTTTGAGTGACTTGGCCTTCTCAGAGATGGACGACGAGATAGACTTAGACGATGAGTGGGTAGACGAGGCATCAGATGCCTTCTTTGCGAGCTTGGTTTTCATGGAGAGACGATTTGGTAGACTTACTGGTCTCGAGTTTTTGCCTTGGCTTTATGGTAGTGACTCGAGCTTCTCTGTAGCAAAGTGTCAGCTCGATAAATTGCTAGAATGATTCACAGGGGCACGAAAGACATGACAGAAATCAATATAGCAAATATTGGGTTGTGATCCTCAAGCACTCAGAGTAAGCCGACACAGAGAATTATAGTACGGTGTTCAGTGGCTGTCAAGGTTCCCGATTTGGTAAGTCATACCCGTTAAACACCGCCAACCCGCGGTAAAGGGTCGTGGTATGGTCACGGGTATGAATATCCAACACCGTACCCGTACCCGCCAAACCCGTCAGCAAAGAACCGCGGTGTTACCCGTACCCGTGCGTTTCCCTACCAACAGCAATGGAATGGGGTTGAGATCCGAGGGCAGTGGCATTCAGGCGGTGCCTTGTCATAATCGAAAGTGTAGAATGCCCTGCGTGTCTTGAGCCTCGCAGCCTACTCGTTTCAATTTATTCAGTTGTGCCCTACAACGTGCCCATGAATGAATCTATGGGTCGCTCGACATGCTGCGAGTCGCTTCCGTCCGTTGACCCGGCTCCCGGAAGTTTCAACACACCCGAGTACTGCACATCACTGGGTGTTACGTGCATGCTGCGGTTCCCTCCTTTATAATCCATCAGCACTTTGCAGGCATTCAGCGTTTCATACCTCTAACACATCTTACTCTCAAGCGTTAGTTTATCATCCAAATGTCAAGTTTCGTGCCTAATCCTCTCGATGATCGCCCCCCACCCTTGGGAGAGGAGCCAAATCACCCTCAGGATCCGGGGGAGACAAATTTTGTCATCAGTGCAGTGCTACAAGTCGTTTTCAATAGTATGTGCCATCTAGCTTCATTGAGCATGTACCAATGACTTCCTGAAGGCATTCTGGCGATGCTTTATTGCGTCATTACTCAACTGTTTCGTTTCGTGGCACCCTCCGTACTGGATCCACTCGATGATACCATCCCACCCTTGAGTGAGGAGCTAAGCCACCCAGAACATCCACAGGACCAGGCAGAGATATACTTCAGTGAAATACAACGCGTCGCCATTACTTGTGGGTGATATGTATCTCCATTTATCACGCATTGTCAATTTTCTCCAGTGATCCGCGCCACTGATCTTACTCTTGGTCTCCGACGGATACCAGCTGGCTTCCATGTGACAGTACAGGCCGATGGTGCCGAATGGCAGACAAGCAACAAATCTGCACATGTAGACCAGCCTGTCGTCGAATGGAACGAGCGCATACTTCTGTAAGTTGTCCTTAACCCAGTCTTTCCTGCAGGTATTGAGAAGGATTGTAGGCCATCAGAGCCATCTTCGAAGGTTCTGGTCAAGGTTTATGCCTCATTTGAATTAGATCCCATGCTCGGTCATGGAGATCTCCTCCGCAAATTTGAGATATCCGTCGGAGAATTACTGGATCGCAGTGAAAGGTCACAACGTCAGTAACTTCTGATTTGAGTGACTCGTGACGGATGTTGACGAGATAATCCAGCTATCATCTTCCAGCCAAAGGCAGGGGAAGTCGTGTCCCCGTGTACATCACTGTTGATGACGGTGGAGCAGCGACGTTCTGATGAAAATGACACTGCAGTTCTTCGCCCCCTTTCTACCGTGAGTGGCCAATGCGTTCTGATAATCCGATACTGAGAGCTTGTAATATACAGCTCACCTCCGGTGATATGAAGACACTAATATTAATAACGGATGCCGGACATCGTCTCCTCGCACGATACCGCAGGACGCAGAACAGCACGGATCTCGATCAATCAATAACACACTTCGAACGCGCCTCTCATCTGTGCCCTGTTGATAACCCCTGCCGCCCTGCAGCACTGTTCAATCTAGCTACCGCAAAGTTCGTTAGTTGCCAGGTTAATGGAACCTACCTCGACCTCGACATCCCCATATCTCTCTTTGAAGAAGCCCTTGATATGCGTCCCACAGGTCATACAGACCGACCTCTTACCCAACTCCATCTTGCCATCGCTCTGCTGTCTCGTTTCATGAAACGGGGATTTCAAGCGGATGCTGATGCGGCTAAAGAGTTACTGAATGAAGTTCGCAATGTCTCCCTTGCCAATAGCCACCTATCCAGAGCAGCTCTGCTTGCAATCGAAACCTCTACCTTCGCCAGGAGCACCAATACAAATACACTTGAGGCGGAGGAGCCCATTGGATCCATGCTTCCGTGGTCCCCGAATGAACTTGCTCGTCGAGCAAAGTTATGTTTGCGCACGGACGATCCCTATGCCCTGGATGAAGTGATATCCCTTCATTATGATGCGCTAGGATACTACAGCACGGCGAATGATCAGCGAGGGCAATTGCTGGGCAATCTCAGCGTAATGCTATCTACCCGCTGGGAGCGTCGAGGTAATGACCAGGACTTAGATGAGGCTATCGTGCTTCAGAGGGAAGCGCTGGCTTTGCGCCCGGTCGGTCATACAGATCGGTCCGGGTCATTGAATAACCTTGCAAATCAACTCTGCATCCGCTTCGAGCACCGAGGCAATGACCAAGACTTGGATGAGGCTATCGTGCTGAACAGGGAAGCGCTGGCTTTGCACCCGGTCGGTCACACACATCGGTCCTTGTCATTGAATAACCTTGCAAAGAAACTCTCCACCCGCTTCGAGCACCGAGGCAATGACCAAGACTTGGATGAGGCTATCGTGCTTCAGAAGGAAGCGCTGGCTTTGCACCCGGTCGGTCACACACATCGGTCCACGTCATTGAATAACCTTGCAAGTCAACTCTCCACCCGCTTCCAGCACCGAGGCAATGACCAAGACTTGGATGAGGCTATCGTGCTTCACAGGGAAGCGCTGGCTTTGCGCCCGGTCGGTCACACAGATCGGTCCTCGTCATTGAATAACCTTGCAAGTCAACTCTCCACCCACTTCCAGCACCGAGGCAATGACCAAGACTTGGATGAGGCTATCGTGCTTTACAGGGAAGCGCTGGCTTTGCGCCCGGTCGGTCACACACATCGGTCCACGTCATTGAATAACCTTGCAAGTCGACTCTCCACCCGCTTCCAGCACCGAGGCAATGACCAAGACTTGGATGAGGCTATCGTGCTTCAGAGGGAAGCGCTGGCTTTGCGCCCGGTCGGTCACACACATCGGTCCACGTCATTGAATAACCTTGCAAGTCGACTCTCCACCCGCTTCCAGCACCGAGGCAATGACCAAGACTTGGATGAGGCTATCGTGCTTCAGAGGGAAGCGCTGGCTTTGCGCCCGGTCGGTCACACACATCGGTCCACGTCATTGAATAACCTTGCAAGTCGACTCTCCACCCGCTTCCAGCACCGAGGCAATGACCAAGACTTGGATGAGGCTATCGTGCTGAACAGGGAAGCGCTGGCTTTGCGCCCGGTCGGTCACACACATCGGTCCATGTCATTGAACAACCTTGGAAGTCATCTCTCCACCCGCTTCGAGCACCGAGGCAATGACCAAGACTTGGATGAGGCTATCGTGCTGAACAGGGAAGCGCTGGATTTGCACCCGGTCGGTCACACAGATCGGTCCGGGTCATTGAATAACCTTGGAAGTCATCTCTCCACCCGCTTCGAGCACCGAGGCAATGACCAAGACTTGGATGAGACTATCGTGCTGAACAGGGAAGCGCTGGCTTTGCGCCCGGTCGGTCACACACATCGGTCCTCGTCATTGAATAACCTTGCAAGTCAACTCTCCACCCACTTCCAGCACCGAGGCAATGACCAAGACTTGGATGAGGCTATCGTGCTTTACAGGGAAGCACTGGCTTTGCGCCCGGTCGGTCACACACATCGGTCCACGTCATTGAATAACCTTGCAAGTCGACTCTCCACCCGCTTCCAGCACCGAGGCAATGACCAAGACTTGGATGAGGCTATCGTGCTTCAGAGGGAAGCGCTGGCTTTGCGCCCGGTCGGTCACACACATCGGTCCACGTCATTGAATAACCTTGCAAGTCGACTCTCCACCCGCTTCCAGCACCGAGGCAATGACCAAGACTTGGATGAGGCTATCGTGCTGAACAGGGAAGCGCTGGCTTTGCGCCCGGTCGGTCACACAGATCGGTCCATGTCATTGAACAACCTTGGAAGTCATCTCTCCACCCGCTTCGAGCACCGAGGCAATGACCAAGACTTGGATGAGGCTATCGTGCTGAACAGGGAAGCGCTGGATTTGCACCCGGTCGGTCACACAGATCGGTCCGGGTCATTGAATAACCTTGGAAGTCATCTCTCCACCCGCTTCGAGCACCGAGGCAATGACCAAGACTTGGATGAGACTATCGTGCTGAACAGGGAAGCGCTGGCTTTGCGCCCGGTCGGTCACACACATCGGTCCTCGTCATTGAATAACCTTGCAAATCAACTCTCCACCCGCTTCCAGCACCGAGGTAATGACCACGACCTCAAAGAGTCGCTAGAGAATCTCCGCTGTGCTTTGGCTCTGTTGACACAACATGATCCTCGTCAATTAGTAGTCCGTCAGTCGCTAGCCTCCGTATATCTGCTGGCCCATCAATCAGGCCTTGGCGAAGACACCGAGGGTCTGAATGCCGCCATGCATCATCTCAAGGTAGCAGCAAATTCTGTCTCTGGCGGTTTGCTAGCCCGCCTGCGCACGAGTCTCATCTGGGTTCACGATGCTGATAAACATTCACATGGCACCGAGCTCGAGGCTTATGCAACTTCCATGCAACTTCTGGACGCTTACATGTCTGCAACAGCTTCGGTGTCATCACGTCATCATATCATGAAGGAGTTCCCAAGCACACTCGCAGTCGATGCTGCATCATGTGCTCTTCGCTGTGGCGATGTGTGCCGTGCTGTAGAGCTGCTGGAACAAGGCAGAACTCTCATATGGACCCAGATGGCGCGATTCCGCACGCCTCTTGACAGCCTCCAGGACCATGGCGCTGATGCAGAGGCGCTGATGAAGAAATTCCGAGACCTTAGCTCCGTCCTTGATCGGCCACCTTCGGATCATTCAGAAGGGACATCAAGAGTCCACGTAGAAGCAGAAGCTACGGGGTACAGACGTCTAGTGGAGGAATGGAGCACAGCTCTACAAGAAATCCGGAAGATCGAGGGCTTCGACCGCTTCCTACTCGCCCCCTTGTTCTCTGAACTTCAACGTGCCGCTCGTGATGGCCCTATCATCATTCTCATTGCAAGCGAGTCGTCTTGCGATGCAATCATCGTCCCACACAATGACCCTCCTATCACTGTAGGACTCGCTATCACTGTAGAAAAATTGGTGCAATTGGCGAACGCACTCCAACGGACGGTGAGAAATGAACAGGAGACACAAGCAAAGCTGGTGGAAACTTTGAGACAGCTGTGGGTCGACGTAGTGAACCCTGTGGTTGAAAATCTCGCCGGAGTTGCAGAGCGAGGGTCGCGAATCTGGTGGTGCCCAACCTCATTATTCAACTTCCTGCCTTTGCATGCCGCTGGCGAATACAAGGGCGGTGGAAAGTCGCTTTCGCAGCTATATGTTTCTTCATACACTCCATCGCTTACCGCGCTCATCAAGGCTCGCAAACACCGTGACAGAGCACTGCCCGTGTCCTTCGCTGCCATTGGTCAGAACCACCCCTCAGGACATTCATTTGCTTTGCCCTGTGTTGAGCCTGAACTGAACTTGGTGCAGAGGCTCCTACCCCCTTCCCCAACTGTGTCCTTCACCAAAGTCACGAGCATCGAATCAACAAAATCGACCGCTCTGCGCACATTGCGTGATAACCACTGGATCCATTTTTCCTGTCACGGGACACAGCACTTTGCGGAACCCTTCAAGTCGGCATTTCTCATGCGCGACGAACCACTCCAACTTCTAGATATCAGCCACACGGATCTGTCTCGGCACCAATTTGCATTTCTTTCTGCTTGTCAGACCGCAGTCGGTGTCCCCGACACTCCTGACGAAGCGATTCACTTGGTGGCTGGTCTGCAATTTTCTGGGGTGAAGAGTGTCATTGGGACATTTTGGAATGTCAATGACAGCACCGTGCAAAGCTTGGTCGAGGCATTCTACAAGGAGTTTTGCGGAGATGGCAAGATGAATTCAAAACGAGCTGCGCGAGCACTGCACAAAGCAGTCCAGTCGTTGAAAGACTTGCCCTTAGAGCAGCGCATCGTGTTCATGCACATTGGCGTATGATCAATTTCGTGGGTCCTCACTCTACTTTCCTGAGACGATCTGACGACTTCGCATGTAGCATCCAACTATGAGTGCGCGCCGGTTGTGGCCAAGGAATGATATTTCAGACTATAGGACTGTATAACTCGCTGATATGTATTACACCTAATCTCGACTTCTATTTGCATTGCATCTCCCAGTGTGTTGACTCAGAGCCCAAGGCGACTGCTTCTAACGTGTGGGTAAGACTGAGGTTCAAAATTATATTATTGGTTCAAACACAGAACTGGTACCGCACGACATAGGGACAAAACATAATTATGAAGGAGTTGATAATTGTGTATCTGAATTGTGCGACTCGTGATCGACCAGCATATCCGCGTATGTAGCATTCCTGTGGGCCTCATGTGCGGCAGGGCGGAAGGGGATGACTTCGAGGATTCACAAGGCAACCGAGTACTGTCTGGTAGATGCTTAGCATTGTCGGTGACACGCTGCACTGTCAACTCACTACATATATAATACGGCTTCAACAAGCATGGAAATGTACTCCAGCATGACATCCATCATGGGATTGGATGGACGCCAATGGTGATTCGTGTCACCAGGCGGCGAGGTAGGAGCTTCTCACAACACACAACGAGCTAAATTATTGAGACAGGACTCGGACGGTGCGATAGCGGAGTTGTATGCGTGTTTGCGATTAGCGATGGACCTGCCAGTAAGGTGTTGATCGTGTACGAAGGAAAGAACGAATGAGAAGTACCGGTACCAGGATCCGGTCGTCTGGGAGATGGGTATTACTATTACATCGCAGTAAGTTGTTCTCAGCCATGCGCAAATATAGCGAAATCCAGTTTTTAGGGCTCAGAGGAAATAGAATCAGCTACTTGACACGGATTCTTCGTCCGAAGTAATATCTCGGCACTTGCCGATTGTAAGGCCTCTACTCAGTTTCTAACTTGGCCTGGTCATGGCCTACATAACATTCGCCCCGAGAGTCAATTGAGGACGAGCGCCCGAAACGTGGAGAAGTTGTTTATAATAAGCTAGAAGAGGGAGGCTTGAGGAGCCAGAAGAGGTCTACAGACTTTCAAATTATATGGTGCGTATATCTACATATACTTTCTTGCTTGAACTTCTCTAACCCTCTTTATGGCCTAGTAGAAATCCCACTCTTCTTATCCTCCCTACAGCGCTTCATAACTCCATTATCCTATCCAGGGGCCAACTCTGCTCTCCGCAACCTACCTCCACTCCCCATCATCATTACCTGAATCAAAACATGTTCTTGCGAGGACCTACATCAGCTCATACATGACGTCCCTCATAAATTTGCCAATGGTGCTGCTACTGCACACCTCGCTCACTGCGCTGTACCCCCCAATGATTTTACCTCGCATAGGTGTGCACACCGCTGCGTACGTACGCGAGCGGTTGAGCTTGTCTGTATAATGAGATTCCCTGGATTGAACTCCAACATCGGACCGACTGTGGGGCAGAACAGTACGTGTCCTCCTAGCCTTTTGATCAGACTCTCGCTAAACCTGACATGCAGTGGGCACAATATCACTCCCATCGAGTATCCGGTCCATCTGCCACAGATACTACGACGGCTGTCACGCCGTACCACATGCCATCGATGTGCGAGACCGAGAGAGGCCCGGTGAGGGCTGGGGAATATTGGGTACGTTCTCTTCCCGTTCACCATGCCCTCAAATTGAAATATAACAACGAACGTCTAATTACGAATACAAAACAGATTCGGTCCTCCTCTCCTTACCCCAAATGTTCAACATCTCACCAACAGACAAGACTCTCTTGGAAGCCTCTCAGCAATAGAGGTAAGACATCGATGTGAAGACCGGATCAAAAGGGGAGGGAGAGCCCGCCGGGACAGTTTGAGGAGGATGAGTATGCGGAGATGGAGAAGAAACGGCAGAGGATTACGAGTTTGGATGTTTGGGGCGTTATGAAGCTTGAAGCTTGATGTGAGTGGTTTTTGAGTGTGATATATGCGTGGAATTGACTGGCGCTTTACTTTTTAGAGTTCGTGTCCGGGAGGCCATGTATTAGCTATTCTGGAGAATACAGAATAGTAAACGGTGAGTACATTGCAGATAGTGCTGGGTTTGATTTCTCACTGGTTGTTGTTTGGTCAGCAATCTAGCAGAACAGCGAGCCTTGTGTTTCGTTTCGACCTTGTCTTCCGCTGTATATGCGCAGCGCTACATCATTGACTGCAACCTTGTCATAATGACGGATCTGGTGACGCTGGTGGTTTCTTAGTGTTCGTTCATTCGCGCCTCGTTCTCATGCGTCCTGTTCGGTATCGATTCAATTCACAGATCCGTTCTCCCCTTGTCCCCCCATCATCTGCAACACAGTGGGAAATATTGTGTGCCCGTGGCAGCACCGTAAGTGTCAGCGCATTGTGTACTTCGTGTGGAATAGAGCTGGAGTCGAGATTGCGGGATATTCTGTTAGACCTCAAAGCACCAGAGGGAATATCAGAAAGGACAAGCGCGACATGGATAAACTTTGGAAGGAAGCTGGACACGTCAAGGCTATCAACTCCGACGCGATTTCGACTGTGGCTAAGCGGCTGTTGGCAAATAAGCATCCCGTTCTACCTTTTTGGCTATTCGAGTCTACATGTTCATTAGAAATTGCATCATGCGCCGATGAATCTGCTGTGCTTGACGCAGCGCCTTGTGGGCTTCCCTCTCGCAGGACATACGAGTAACTGATATCATAATACATGTCATTCATGCATCTAATCCTGGCACGCGAACGGTCCACACGGCAGTCTTGCCTGCTGTCGACATATAGTGCGAGAATAACTCTGAAGTTGTAGTCAGCAGCCTGCGCAGATTTGCACGACAAAGACCCAGAAAATGAGTTCTTTTTGCCGTTACATGCTGCTGGCGAGTACTACAAGCATGGTTGAAAGTTCCTTCGAATTATATGTTTCCTCATGCACGCTATCATGTACGGTACGTGCTGATCAGGGCTCGCGGGAGTCACAACAGATCCTTGTCCATGTCTTTTGCTGAATCGTGATCAAAAGGAGAAATCAATGATGAAACGTAGTGCGCCGAGTTACGAATTACAATCATCTAAGTTTACAGATGAGAAACATGTACATCATGATCTTGTCCTCGATATATGTTTGATCTGCTAGTGCTTGCACATCAAAGAGCGTAATAACTGAGACACTCCCTCGAAATGTGGTGCTAAGGAGATAATAGATTCAGTGTATCTTAAGACTCCTGTCAATACCACTGCATGGAAAATCCCAGAGCGCCAAGGTTGGGTATCTTTTACAAACACGGAAGAAAGAATGAGCTCAGCCAGTCGCCTAAAATATGAACTTCTCTCGCAGCCCAAATGAACTACAATGGGGGAGCTCGCAGTAGGTCGCTTCTGCTTCTGTTTTCGCTTCTGCGTCCATAATAAATCGATAATTTCACATATACAGCAAAATAAATAGAAACTAAATCGAATATACCATTTCTGGCCATTCCGCTCGGAATGCGCTATGTAAGTCGCATTGTACTCTATTTTATACCTCGCATGACTAGATTGAAGAAGACACAGAATATACCCTACATTCAGTGGAGCGCGAACGAGCACTTGCGTGTCATCGCGGAAATCGGCGCAAAGGCAAATTACAAGGTTTTGTTTGGTGAAAAGATCAGCATGAGGTGAGCCTGAGGACATCCGAGTCACTAGTACTAATTCACAGGGAGTCCTAATTTCCACGCGCACCATTATCCATACCGGCTTGTTTGATATCAGGGTCACTTATCCTCGTGTGCTGGTATGTCATCTAATACGCACTCGAAGCTGTCTAAGACATAATATATACACACCTCCAGAGTATCAATGTAGCTGCATCTGCTCCGTTATCAGCTGCACCACGCCCATCAGGTGCATCATTCACAGCCGAAGGCGTCGTCAACCCATCCAGCCCTTCAACGCACCCCTCAAATCCTCCCCCTCCTCACTCCCACAGCTCAAACGCACCCAGGGTGCAAAGATAGAAAACTCGGTGTGCATTAAGACCGTGAAATTTCATGCGCATTGCGAGAGTTTTGGCACCGCGCTGGGCGAGCCAACAGTCAAATGCGCTCGGGAGGAGTCGGTAGGAAACGGAGCTTTTGCGCGAGCCATTACTTTCTTATGGAATACTGCCGGTAAGTACTAGTACCTTCAACTTGAAGGGAAGCACTTTGACCTTGTAAATTTGCCGAAAACACCCCGAGTTGGAACAGGTATGATGATGCTGACAGCACCACCGTTTATTTTACCGTACTAATGACCTCCCAGCCTGGTGGCTGGCGTGCGTCACTGCATTACACACGCTTCTCACGCTGTCCAGAGCTGGGAATATCCTTTCGCTCCCCTTTGCTCTACGCTCCTTCGATGTACGTTGTCGTTGACGAAAGTATAGTTCATGATTGTCTATGCCGTTTGATACATATTGGGATCAATGCATTCTATGTCTCGCGAGCTTGACTGATATGAGAACGATACTACGAAACCAATATCCTGGTATGATTATGCGCATTCTGAACGAGACCATGCCCGCTAGAGGCTGGGACACCAAACTCCTGTTTCACCGTTGCCTCCAAGCTCCATGCATAGATTTTGCATCTGATCTACCACTGGCAACGTATTTTCCATCAAGGGGGTTCATCGTCTTGTAAAAGTGGGTCTTCAATTGGCTGATTGGTCTTGAGATTCCAGATACGAACTCGGCAGACCCTTGTGGCGCTGACAATGTTGCATTCATTGGAGAGAATGACTTCGGAAGGGGTGTGATGGCGTTAGTAGGACCTCGAGGACCTCCCTATCAATCGACAAACTAACGAGGTCATTTAATCAGCTATCATGTCCCCTGATCTCAATGAGCAGTTCGCTGTCTTTTGACCACAGGCGGAGATCTCATCTGAGCCGCCGCTCGCGAACTCGTCGCCTCGTGGAGAGTATTTGACTGCACGCCGGTTTTTATCGGTGGTGTAATTTGTCGGCAAGTATCCGGATTCCGGACCGTTCTGCAGAGTTGTCTGTGGTAGCATACAGTGAATGAACGCGAGCCTTGTAGAATCCAAGTTGGAAAGAGTCGAGACGCATTTTGGGGACGATGCGCGATCACTCGTAAGACTGCCACGGTACCGCAAGTTGGAGCTTTGCGAGTTAAGGGACAGCGCCAACGTTCTTCTACAGGTATGGCCATTGGCGAGGGGAAACTAATAAGCATAGAAGTCATTGTGCGTCGTTATTCGCCTCTTCTAATGATGCGACTAGGAGACTAGGTGAGCCAGGTGGTGTGATTGAGATGTAGAACTCTTGGTAGTCCTTCACGATAGGTTGAGGGTGAGTCCAACATCAATTTCATTCGCACAGACCCAGATTTACTTACTACAGAAATAACAGAGGCAATTTAATATCGCAGTGAATGATGTCCATGATGTGGGATGAACCTGAATACTTTCCTTGCTCATGTGGCATTCCTTTTCCCTTCCCGCTTGTGAGTACATATCTCTGTACTCTGTTGCTAGCTGATGTTGGACATCGCTCGCCTCCATTATGACAACATGCCAATATCAGCCTGTATTGCATGTAACACCCCGAGCGGTTACTTATTTATGTCTAAAGATAACCTGACTGACCTGACCAGGCGGCCGTCATCTCCAGCTTTGCATGTAAGGTGCTATCGCAGTCTACATATATAGTATTGCTACACCAACAGAGTCAGTTTGGTATTCAAAAAAAATCAATGGATGAAAACAGCACTACGAGCACATCATGCGACACGAATCGAGCTGAGGAAGGTTAAGGGAGAAGACTTACTCGTCTATTACCCAGTCACCCAACGATTGCCAAATTCCGCGGGGGATCTTGCCAGGTTTGATACCCGTGTATGTTTGAGGTCTACACCAGCAAGCGAGTAAATCATGATTCCATACGCCATTAATATGTCTTCGAAAGAGTCGGAACAATAAACCTACTCCTCAGGTACAAGCGCCTGTGATGGACATTTCATTGGCAAGCGGAGAGGTTGGCGGGGTCGCATAGCCAGGCAGCCCTCTGTGGGCATCTATCAGGAATACAGCGTCTGGCCGCGCTGGGAAGCTATGCTCAGAGGACCATACTCGACGCGCCACATTCCATCCGTTCCCATGTAAAATCCTAGCTGTCATATACGTCCTGGAGGGAATATCATGTCCACATTATTATCAGGGTGAGGAAGTGCGGAACAGGCCAAAAGACGTGGTTGACGTACCGGGAACAAATTTTATGCTAGATTTCTCTGTAATATGTAGGCGTTTCTGGAACATTCTGAAGCGGAAAGAAGCAATGAAGTGGTTGGCGCCAACTCCATCCCTCTTATGCACTTAAATCCCATCTGGCGGACAACCCAAAAGAAGTCTTAAAGACTCATCCTTGGCTGGTACACGATGAATCAATCACCACACGGGCATTGTGAAGGACCATAAACTTACTATTTTTTCCTCCCAAATTCAACTCCATAAACAATGTGTGGTCGTGAACTGTCATGCAAGCAAGACGCAAGTCGGAAGTACAGACAGACGGGAAGTGGGAAATGAATGTGATAAAAGCCCAAAGGGCTTCTCGGCGGTTATTTACAATCGCCCAATACAGCGCCGTGTGATCCTCGATATTGGGTTGTTGCAGGAGGTCGGGGAACTCTGCTGCCAGTGGGAGAGCAGCAGCGCATGAATCGAGAATTAGGGCGAAAGAGGAAGAGGTGAAATTGAGAGAGGAGACAATATCACAGATGCGAGATAGAACTGTGGCACGAAGTTCCTCTTCACAAGCAGACCTCAAAATTTCGTTGTACGAAGGGGGGTGTATTACAGTGTAAGAAGCACTTTTCCGACCTCCGGACAAGCCTGAAATTGCAAACATAAATCTTTGCGCACTGAGCCTGTTGCACAAAAGAGCCGCCCATCACAGGAAGCACTGCCACCAACATGCGGTTTGAGCAAGGCGACGACAAATACAGGCTGCAGCATGCGAAATCGACCATATAGTTTTATCACCTCTAACGTCTCTCCTCGCCCACGACTATCCATTCTTTGATCGAGCTGTAACTGACTGATAGGTTTGTAAAGCATGGTGGGAATTTCAACATGTTCTCCTATGGTCATGCTGCACCAAGAGACCGAGTCAAGCACGTCAGCAAAAGGTAGAGAAGAAAAACTAGAAGATTTGTCACAGTCACCTCTGGCGAGTGCGGAGGATCTGCCACCCTATGGTGCACAGCACCACCAGGATGCACTTTGGAAAGGTGAGCGATTGCTCAGTGGCACCCACTGATTGACTCAACAAGAAGCAGGCGGGAGTGAAGCGCTCCCTCCTCAGTGGAATCAGTTTGTGGTGCCAGATGGACCAACAGTATTCCAACATATCAACGCATACAAGGCTTCATGGTACCGACCTTTACCAGGAGAGTCCATAATGCTATATTGATACATCCAAACTGGACTATAAGCCTAAAACTAGGATACATCATCCAGTAAGATTATCCATTATCCATTGGATGTATCCCATGGTGGATCCCATCTGTTGCATACACAGCCGCATTTTTCGCATTTTTGAAACTCAGCTGTTTGTCATTCCAGGATATATTCATTATTCACAAAACATATCCCATTTTGGTCACCTCCTCATGTCAGGTCTTCCCACATTATTCCCACACATCACATGTTCGCCCCCACAACACCAAAAACATCGCCCATTTTGGGAATCTCCACAATATCAATTGTTCCCACACCCTCCCCATATCACTGCAGCTTCACCACCACACCACAATTGCTCCCCTTTCATATATAAGTAGTAGTTTGGTTTATATATGTATAATATAATATAATAGACCGCTTTTTTTGTCTATTTGTGTACCTGCTCCTCCTCCAGGACCCTTTCAAAATGATGTAGGATATAAAACATTTTCGCACTTTTGCCCCTTTGACAAGGAAGTGTCCTAGGGTATTCAGAACATGATTATGAGTATATATGAAGATATTCCCAACTTTATTTGACCCTCTGAAGTGTCCTACATCAATAAATCTAACACATATATAGAAAAACACAAAATATGTTCCCATTTAATTATTTGTAGATGGATGGACTTGGAAAAATGATTCCAAGCACCTATTCAGTAATATGAACAATGTATCAGGAGCCTAGGACCATAGGATAATCCCCTGTTGCATGGTGTGCCCCCCTTCTCCTAGTGGTTTACCCCCTGTGAATTTTTTTCCTGAAGGACCGGACCTCAATTGAGGTGGGGGGTCTATTTCTATGTATATTTGAGGTAGGTCTATCATATAGCTGGCCCAGGACACACATAGGATCCTGCTACAGGAACAAAAACATAGAAAATCGCATTTTTGACATTTTTGATGTGTTTCAGTATTTTACCATTGCATCTATGATACAACCTGTTCATATATAATGAGCATAGCATATATACTTGCTTTTTTATGACCAAGATCGGCTCACAATAGGCTGGAGCTGTGAGCTAGTGTATATGCTTGCTATTTCTACTGATAAGGGGCCCATGCCTTCAAAACATCAAATATTAATGATCAGAAACCTGGAGTACATTTGGAATATATACAGCATCATATATATAAATGTATAGAATAATCCAACAATGATTGAGTGCTGAGGAAGTGAAATAGATAAGAAATTAAGTGTGGGAAACTTCACAAACCCAAAACATCGAAAATGGTCAGTTGAGCAGTAGTCAGACTTTAATGCTGGGTCAACTCATGTTTACACTACATCCCTTCCCTCCACCCTTTACCCTCAGGGCAGTAGGTAGTATAGGTTCCTTAGGTAGTTTACAATCTATCCTACATATTTTAAATGAAATCTTTGACATTTATCATTTATATATATATAAATGACACTTTGTGCAAAAAGATATCAATTGTCACTTTTCACACATGTCATTTTGCCTGTCATTACATCAATCCTTCATGGATCTTTCTAAGCCTTTAGGGACATCATAAGGGATATATATAGGGGGTATCACAGGTCTCTGATTACTTATCACAGGCTTGATTACCATGTAGGCTTCTGATCAGTAGAAATACCCCCTCTACATCAGATCTCATGTTTTTGCCATATATCTAGCTGGTATTTGGTGTAGAACACATGTATGCATGTACTACTGACTATAAATGAGCAGGGTTGACCATGTGTGCAAGTGTAATATACTAAAAAACATCAAAAATGCCAAACATACAATATTTTATGTTTTTGTTCCTGTAGATGGATCCTGTGTGTGTCCAGGGCTAGCTATATGACAGACATACTCCAAATATATATAGAAATAGACCCCCTACCTCAATGTAGGTCCGGTCCTACAGGAAAAAAATTCACAGGGGGTAAACCACCAGGAGAAGGAGGGCACACCATGCAACAGGGGGTTGTCCTATGGTCCTAGGATCCTGATACATTGTTCATATTACTGAATAGGTGCTTGGAATCATTTTTCCAAGTCCATCCATCTACAAGTAATTAAATGGGAACATATTTTGTGTTTTTCTGTATATGTGTTATATTTATTGATGTAGGACACTTCAGAGGGTCAAATAAAGTTGGGAATATCTTCATATTCACTCATAATCATGTTCTGAATACCCTAGGACACTTCCTTGTCAAAGGGGCAAAAGTGCGAAAATGTTTTATATCCTACATCATTTTGAAAGGGTCCTGGAGGAGGAGCAGGTACACAAATAGACAAAAAAAGCGGTCTATTATATTATATTATACATATATAAACCAAACTACTACTTATATATGAAAGGGGAGCAATTGTGGTGTGGTGGTGAAGCTGCAGTGATATGGGGAGGGTGTGGGAACAATTGATATTGTGGAGATTCCCAAAATGGGCGATGTTTTTGGTGTTGTGGGGGCGAACATGTGATGTGTGGGAATAATGTGGGAAGACCTGACAATGAGGAGGTGACCAAAATGGGATATGTTTTGTGAATAATGAATATATCCTGGAATGACAAACAGCTGAGTTTCAAAAATGCGAAAAATGCGGCTGTGTATGCAACAGATGGGATCCACCATGGGATACATCCATCTGGATAATAGATAATGGATAATCTAACTGAATGATGTATCCTAGTTTTAGGGCTATAGCCCAAAAGGATATATCCATCCAGCAACATCAGGTGACCAGGAGTGCGACTCGGTGAGCAAAGAAAATGTCCCTGGAAGCGTTGAACTCATGCCAGAATGTAGATCAAGATGGAGATCTTGTTCCCGGATGGGAATGGTACATTTCACCCCTCGGCCGGTCATACTTTGTCAACCATGATACTTGGACCACAACCTGGAGGAAACCAACACCAAAGCATCCAGCAGGGAGCTTGACACCCGAGTGCCTCATCGAGGGTTACTCCGCGTGCATATTGAACCTTGCCTTCTTGGGTGCCACTGGCAATATATTGGGCGCATCAAACGATGGTTCAATTCGTCATTGGACAAGAAATGGAGAGCCGGTAGGGAAATCATGGGATAGTGACAAAGGAGGAGTATTCTCCTTAGCAGTGTCTCCCAATGACACAATTATCGTGACTGGAGGCGTAGATGGCAGACTACGGCTATGGAATATAGGCAATGGTAACATGATCGGCGAGCCATGGGAGGGGCATGCTGGTGGAGTGATGTGCCTCGATTGGTCTCCGCATGCAGTAGGCATACTTAGCGGATCACACGACAGCACCATAAGACGATGGAACCCGCATACTGGCCAACAAATCACCCGACTGATAGAGACTGGTCATGGTTGGGTTCTTACTGTCAAATACTCTGTATGGGGCGACAAATTTGCAACCGGTGGGATGGACAAGGCGGTCCGTGTGTGGTCAAAGGACGGCAAGCTGCTCATTGAGATCAAAGGTCGTCACGACCACTGGGTGATGTCGCTATGTTGGTCCAAGGATAGCGCACACATCTTTTCCGCATCAACGGATAGCACCATCCGAAAATGTCAGTCACTTGACGGGAAGGAGCTCATCGTTCTTCGCGGTCATGCCAAGGCTGTCACATCCTTATGTCTGTCCCCAGATGAAAGCCGTCTTGTCAGTGCATCACATGATTGCTCGGTTCGCATCTGGGACCTCAAGACCAATCAGCTAGTCGGAGACCCACTCTTGCACGACGATGAACTCTGGACTATGACCATGTCCCGTGATGGAACATATGTCGCAAGTGCTGGGTCGGATGCAAAAATCTATGTATGGAGGCTGGAGGAAGTGCTCAAACAGCAGGGTGATGGCCAGGTTGGTGTGCGTATATGCATCATTGTTGTTGTCTTTTCTAAGTGTGTTTTGGGTCTGGTTCAGATTACGCATGATGGTAATGCTAAGCCTGATGCAATGCTCAAGGCAAGTCATCTCTGCTTCTCTTTCGTCGTTTGCTCATTTATTCGTTAGATGCTCGGTGCCCCTCCCGTACCTAAACAGCAGGCCAACAACAGAGGATTGGGAAGATATGTCAGTCACGTTCCATCGTTCCTCAGCGCTTGCTGTGCTGACACTGATACAGGGTGACAACTTTTGGAGCAACGGTGCAAACACCATGCCTAGTAGCTCAGCACCGCTCGCGGGCTCATCATCACCCATGCATTGGCGCAATTTGCTCGATTTCCTATGCTTCAGCTCTCGACCTGCGGATACTGCCCAACCAATACCGCTCCAACCCCGGCGTTGGAATTTTGCCTCATTTCCTGTCAGAATATCCAGACATGCTGCTGGTGTTTCTCCTTGTCATGATGAAGATGTGAGCCCCTCGTCATCATCAATACTCACCCCCTTTGATACCATTGAAATAAATTTGCAGAGATACGGCATTGCCCCTGAGACTGACGAGGAAGCAGCTGCAGCCATGCAACGTACAAGTGACAACAACGTTGCCAGTTCGACTCAGGCTACAGTGGGCGCGCAAGGGTCTCAGGTCGGCATGCAAGGACAACCGACACAAACTGCTCAGGAGCAAAATTCTGCTGCCGCCACAGAAGAACAATCGTGTGTGATAGGATGTTGTGGATTTGATCTTCATCTTGTTCGTCGTCGGCCGACGTCGCATTACTCACCAGGCGTTCCGCGCAGCTGATACCCTGATCCAGTATCATTTCCTATCTATATCACGTCACAATTCATAACGTACTGTATCCACACATCACTTATCTGTAACGATTTACGATTCCAGAATCCTCTGTTTCTTGGTATGTAGCTGAGTTCTCAATGTTGCATACATGCCATTGGCTCACCGTCTCGCACCGAATGGACATGACCACCAAGTTGGTGGGATGCAACAATATTGAACATACTTCAGAGTCCCAGATCAAAATCCAGGATGAAAATCTGTTCACACAAGTTGCAAAACCACAGTCTCACCTAGTAGGAAGACAGTCACAACCACGCTCCTGCAAAATTTCAACTAGTCCTTTGTAGTCCAAATGCCAGTCCCCTCCTCTGAGTCAGAGTCAGCCGCGAGCTTCGCATGATAATCTCATCTCCCAAGGAAGATGAGTCCAATAGCAATGAGGAAGGGTCAGTCACAGATAGGAGGGTAAAAATACAGGCGACCCTGTCATATTGATGCATTAAATCCTTACAATTGTAACACTATTTTGATGCACGAGCGCTACAATTCTAATGCCACTGTCTGATGCATTAATATTGTACATAATGCATCAGGCCTTTAGAATGATGCATGATGCACCCACACCGCATTTTGAGGCACTTACTGTGGGAATTACCCCACAACACCAAAAACATCACCCCATTTGGTCATTCTCCACAATATCAATTATCCCCAACCCCTCACTACAGCTTCACCACTACACCACAATTAGCTATACATTGCATAGAAGTAGTAGTTTAGTATATATGTGTGTAATAGAACATAATAGACCGCTTTTTGTGCTAACTATTGCTCCAATGCCTCCTATAGGCCCTTCCCAGTACAGGGTAGGGTAAAAAACACATTCGCATTTCCCCCCCTTTGATAGGAGAGTGTTCTAGCACTATTGGAACATATTTAGGAGTATATATTAACATATTACACCGCTTATTTGACCCCCTGAAGGGCCCTACATCAAAATATATAGCATATATACATAAAAACATAAAATAGGTTCGCATTTGTGTATCTCTAGGTATACGGACTTAGGAATACCGTCCCCAACATCTACTCTAACATAGAAACAATGTATCAGGAGCTCATGGCCACAGGACAAGACCTTGTGATGCTGTGAACCCACCCTCTCCTGGTGGTTCATCCTCTGGGAAAAAATTTCCTGCAGGAACACAGCTGCAGGAGTATATAAGGATCATTCCTAAGTATATTTAGAGTATTTCCACCAGGTCTGTACATCCGGATACCTACAGGAACCTTCTATACAGGCTAAAACTTCCAAGATCGCATTTTTCGCACTTTTGGTGTTTTTCCCTACTTTATCATTGCATAAATGATCCAGGTTACTCATATATTATCTTTACTACATATACATCTATGTCTCATCCCAAGGATCAGTTAGAAATATGGCATAATATTGTTATCTCAGGGAAAGGGGGTATGTCTACTGATAAGGGGCCTACATTCTCCAAAGGACAAAATATAATAATCAGACACTTGCAATATATTCTAAGCATGGTCAATATCATGGTCCCAGATTTCTAGAAAGATCAACTAATAGTTGAGAGCTAGGGCAGTGAAATACCTCTGAAATAGAGTGTGGGAAAGTCCCAAAGCCCAAAACATCGAAACTCACTAGTTTGATGTACATTAGTCTTGAACCAGACTCAACTGACATCCCAAATTGGGAACCCTGTCAGTAGAGTCTGGGATCCAACTGGAGGCAATAAGGGGGTTTGGTAGTTAGTAGTCAAATGTGTCATGTCACGCTCTTAACGCATGTCCAACGTCTGCCTCGTCGGTGTTGAGCAACCCGTTTTCTCTCTTCATTTTGTCTCAGAGCAATACAAATAGGCTGCTGCAATATGTACCCACTTTGTTCATACCTGAATTCTCTCAACGACATTGAAGCAATCAGTTCTGTTGGGTCTGAGTCCTCCCCTATAACACCTCGTGTCGACTTTCATGACCTCCCACAAGTGCCGTTTCTGGATCTCGAGCTTTCACAGTCCGATGATGACGACTTTTCATATATACCAACTGGTGGTCATGATAGACCTCAACGACTCAATGCAGACCAAAAATGCCTCGAGGTGCTTGCATTCATGACTCATCAACTCTCCCGATTTTCACTCCGCACTCTATTGGAAACATTGTTTTCCTCCGAAGACAGCACAATTAAACATCACGCAAACATATTTCTAGCTGGTGGTGGACCTCATCAGCTGATGAATCTATGGTGGGAAAGGATAGGTGCACGAGACAGCCAGTTTCAAGAGTGGGTAGTCGAGAAGGCAGCCGAAATATGTTCGCAGGAATGTAGTTGGCTCACGGACAAGGTGTCTGAAGGCCCATACTATGCAGATGCTCTGTCGCTTTGTGTATCCCCAAAAAATGTGACTTTTGACTTGGTCAAAAAGTTCTGCCTCAATGATCTCAGGATGAAGTATGAGCGTGTCACTCCATGATTGCAAACATTTTTGAGATCCATCATCCTCACACTAGTAGTACTACCAGTGTTCGTTCCCCTCAAGACGTGAGTACCATAAAATAACCTTGCTCGATGTTGGCTAACAAACATATCAGGGACGGACAATGATTACTAGTATGGTGCTCAACCTATGAAGCCGCTGTGTCAATCTTCACCCAGCAATAACCTGCCTTATAATGTGGGACAACCAAGTTCCCAAGCGTGTTGTTCAACTGTGGAATCGTTATGGTGCATCGTCATCGCATCCTTTCCAAGGACGTGCAATTTTTCACCTCAGCCAAGACTCACTTTGTGTCACACAAGCAGTTGCCAATGACGGTACCAAAATCAAGCAGTTGCCATATGACAACTTCAACTGGATGTCACAAGCTTGGGAAGTATCAGCTATCCACGGGTCGGCACAGCATGATCAGGTATCTGCAATGTTGGTTGTATTGCCAAGGCCGGAGGATGTCCCTGCATCTTATCTTGCCAATGTAGCTCGTTTTGATGCACTCACTGGGTCGTGACACAAGATTCCTCGAGAGCAGGCACTTCAAGATATTTTGCCATCATTCACCAACCAATCTATCTTTCGAGAACATGCTGTATTGCATGTTGCACGTATTCTCTGTGACCCGGTCGTGAGCAGAAATTTGGTTGTTCCTCAGTGGAAATCCACGAGGGCAGTATCTTGGTGAGTGTCTGACATGCCAGCATGCAAAATGTCAGCGAGAGAGGGGGGAAGATCCAAAACAAGAAGGCAAGTATGAAACCACCAAAACATCTTCGTTAACATGTCGATATCATCACAGTACACAAGAGTCTGTAGTATTGTGGGTACATGGGAACCATATGGTAATAGGAATGCAATATCGTCAAAGCTTGATTGATCATGGTGCATGTTGATGATAACTGTTGAAGTTCGGGGCGGAAATTGCCCAAATTGATCAGCTCGTACTCGGTTTTCATGCCCACATGTATGCAAAGGGAGTCACGATAGCTGGTGGGTAAAGTAGCTGAAATTGCAATGATAGGAATGTGGTCTCCAATGAGCTTGCGAAGTAAATGGAGGCAAGAGTATGCAGGCCGCCAGGAGACAGACTCGTGGACAAGATGAGACTCGTCAATGTATATGGCAGACAAAACAGCCTTAAATGAATCCGCATGTAAAATTTTTGCCATCATGGGACTCTCCATCATCTCCACACATGTGAACACAACTCTATAAAGTCCACGTGCAGCATCAGCCAGTGTGGTAGCAACCTTCTGGTTCGCGTTGATGAAGACTGAGCAGATTCCGAGAGCACAATGCCTGTAAATCACCATAAAGCCCATGTCAATTGAAAAAAAAAAAGTGGAAACTCACATGTCTCGGCCCTCCGAACCTAAGCTCGTATAAGGCGTGATGACAAGAGAAACACCCGATTTCTGAACAAGCAGTGGGAGAACCCAGGGCAAAGACTTGCCCTGGCCGGTCAGTGCAATGACACAGACATCCTTCGAGCATCCGATTACGATGTTGCTGCATTGAATCTGGAAGTCGCGTGGGCGGCAGTCTGCTGGAATGATGGCAGCACCAGTAGCAAGAGCACTCCACTCATCAGGAGTGAGCGGAGAATGGGGGTTTATCGAGACTTCAACCGAAAAGTCAAAAGCATGCTGCTGCTTTTGCCCACGAGAGGACAGGGCATATGGCTTGTAGGAGGGTGTTTGCAGCTTGACCTCATATCCATTGCGGAAGCATGGGGTAAGGTTGATAGCATCAATGAGTGGAAAACATGAATTGAGGGTGCAGACATGTGTATTGACGGAACAGATGGGTGTGGTTGGATTGGCCTCACCACTGGTGCGAGCGCTTGACAAAGGGCTGCGCGCGTGTTTACAAACAGGAGGCCAGCAGGGTGTCAAATTTTCGTCCATTATGAGTATATAATTGACCTAAAATGAAGGATAGTGGTTGGTTATGGAGGAAAAATAGGTTTGAGCAGAATAAATAAGAGAAAGACGTGTCTAACAGGTTGCTCGACACCGACGAGGCAGACGTTGGACGTGCGTTAAGAGCGTGATGTGACACATTTGACTACTAACTACCAAACCCCCTTATTGCCTCCAGTTGGATCCCAGACTCTACTGACAGGGTTCCCAATTTGGGATGTCAGTTGAGTCTGGTTTGAGACTAGATGTACATGTAGTGGTCAGACTTTTACTCACCAATCCTAATACTTCTTCACCACACTCTTCTACAAACCCTCTACCTTCAGGGCAATGTGTAGTTTAGGTTCCTTAGGTAGTCTAATATGTATACTACCACATTTTTAATTAAATCTTCGACCTGTATGATATGTGTCAGTGACTTTCAGTGACAGGGGTCAATTGTCATATCTTACAGTCAATACTTGAGGAATCTTTCCAGAACTTTTGGACAATGATTATGGACATGTATAGGACATATGACAAGTGTTCGATCACCAATACCGTCCTTGATAGTGTTAGAAGCTCCTTATCAGTGAACATTTCCCTCTTACATTAGATAAGAATATCCTGGCCTATGTCTAACTGATCTGTGTTATGAAAAGCAGGTATATGTGTAGTAAAGATAATATATGAGTAACCTGGATCATTTATGCAATGATAAAGTAGGGAAAAACACCAAAAGTGCGAAAAATGCGATCTTGGAAGTTTTAGCCTGTATAGAAGGTTCCTGTAGGTATCCGGATGTACAGACCTGGTGGAAATACTCTAAATATACTTAGGAATGATCCTTATATACTCCTGCAGCTGTGTTCCTGCAGGAAATTTTTTCCCAGAGGATGAACCACCAGGAGAGGGTGGGTTCACAGCATCACAAGGTCTTGTCCTGTGGCCATGAGCTCCTGATACATTGTTTCTATGTTAGAGTAGATGTTGGGGACGGTATTCCTAAGTCCGTATACCTAGAGATACACAAATGCGAACCTATTTTATGTTTTTATGTATATATGCTATATATTTTGATGTAGGGCCCTTCAGGGGGTCAAATAAGCGGTGTAATATGTTAATATATACTCCTAAATATGTTCCAATAGTGCTAGAACACTCTCCTATCAAAGGGGGGGAAATGCGAATGTGTTTTTTACCCTACCCTGTACTGGGAAGGGCCTATAGGAGGCATTGGAGCAATAGTTAGCACAAAAAGCGGTCTATTATGTTCTATTACACACATATATACTAAACTACTACTTCTATGCAATGTATAGCTAATTGTGGTGTAGTGGTGAAGCTGTAGTGAGGGGTTGGGGATAATTGATATTGTGGAGAATGACCAAATGGGGTGATGTTTTTGGTGTTGTGGGGTAATTCCCACAGTAAGTGCCTCAAAATGCGGTGTGGGTGCATCATGCATCATTCTAAAGGCCTGATGCATTATGTACAATATTAATGCATCAGACAGTGGCATTAGAATTGTAGTGTTCATGCATCAAAATAGTGTTACAATTGTAAGGATTAATGCATAAATATGACAGGAACCTGTGAAAAATACACATACTTACTATGACCTGCAGTGGGCATGTGGAAATGACAATGTCTGCTATCGGTTGAGATTTAGAGGACACATTAACTGCAATGGGTCCTACTTAGAAAATTGGTGTGCTTACCCCTGTCTTTGATTCTTCGCCACTCATTCCCACTTTCATCAGGAAATCTCGAGTTTACCTTCTCAGCCTTTTAGTACTTAAAATTCGCTTTTTCACTAATTTTCTGCATGCGGAAAGTGGCCACTGTGAAATTAAGTTGGAAGACTGAAAAAAAGTATAATAAGAGAAAAAATGCAAATTAGGGTGCTCCAGCTAGTATAAGCAGTAGTACAAAATATAAGTCATGACTGCATCAGCAAAACCCTTGTGTGATTTGAGGTGATGTGCAGTACCACACAGTGCCATACAGTGACTGCAGCATCACAGTGAAGTCCCCCCCGTGCAGTGGAGCCACAGTGACACACAGTGCTGTCAATCTGAGTCAAGCTGTGCATGAACTAATTTGTTGCTACCCAAAATATCTCACGATCACTAAATATAGCGCTGTGCAGACTATTACTGGCGCTGTGCGGTACTATATAACCACCTCTAGTAGCTATATAGCAATACACTGAGTTGTACACTACTATTGTGCACGTCAGATGCTTTAGACAACTTCTTGCATGCCACAGCTGGTATCAAGCGCAACATGAAAACATTAGCATTGAAGCAGGGGTAATACTATGGTAGTAGTAATGATGTGATCAATGAAACTAGTATACTATATCAATTGAGTTTGACCACCCAGTTGGAATCACTCTCGATGCCTTGAGGTTTGCCATCAACAACAACCCTGGTCCTGTCTTGATGATCAGTAATACCAGGATAAAATACAAAGGAAAACATACATGCCAGCCACAGCCCAAGATTGGAGCTTATCATCAAGCTTCTCGCAATGACATTCATCATCTGTGACCTGCTTGAGCATATTCGTTAGTTTCCAGTACACCTTTTCAGAATCTCCCAAGGTTGTTTGCTTTGTGTTCACATGGCCATACATTGAGTAGATGTGAATAACATTGTGAACCTGAAATATAATGAGTCAATAACAAAAACAACGATGTACATACTGATTCAATAGGCTTACAATGGTCGTGACCAGGAGAAGGGCTTTGCGAGGGATGGTGTGATGAAATTCGGGAAATTGTCGTAAATATTTCAAACCACCGTCATAGAATGCTTGAAGGCAGACAGAGTGGAGGTTGCTGTGCGCAAAGTTAGAAGTATGATTGTTAAGGTTGTGCTCAAGGGGGAGGTTACTCAAAGGGCTTCGGCTTCAGCTCGTGCGCTGTGCCCCTTACCCGAGTATGTGCCCTTAATTTCTGAGGGGCAGAGGGGAAGTCCGACAGAAGTCTGGGGGAAGTCTGGAGGTCAGACATTGGAGGAGTTCGGCGGAACTCTGAAAGATTGTGAGAGAATGGAGCAAGGCTACTACAGACAAGTCCGGAGTAGAAACAGAACAGAGTTTAGACTACCCTAAGGTAGAGCCGGAGATTCAGTCCTAAGGTTTTAACCCTAAGACTCAGAGGTAGACAAGAGATGAGATTCAAGTCCAGAGATGCAGGAATGAGCAGAACTAAGATGATATTCAAACTGAGAAGCTCCAGAGTATTACAGGAGCTTATATATTGTAGGTATCATGTAAGTAAATCAGTCAGCAAAGTAAGGGCTATGTATGAAGCATGTGGAAAGTCTATTAGTAAGTGTATACGGATCAAAGCAGTGAGGTCAGAAATGAAGTACAAACGGACGGATCAGTAAGCATAGCAGAAAGGATATAACTGGTAGCCGGAGCAATAACTATCCTAAAAGGAGCTAGGGGTGAGTACGGAGATGAAGGCAGAGTGCCGGGCGGAATAACAGGACGGAGAACCGGACTTTAGTGGAGGGGATCTGGAATTCCGGATCTGGAGGTATACTAGAAGATTAGTATCGGGTTTTGAGGTCATGATGGTGTGTACATGCTCATCATGTTCTCCATGGAAAAATTTCAAGCTCTTCAACAATGCCTTCGCCTTCTGTTTGATCTCACTCTTGCTACTGCACAGCTTGTACTCCACAGGAACAACATTAATTGTGATTTGCTTGATCCTACTGTGAAAGTTGATGGAATCATTGTAAATCTGTTGGAGCATGGAAGAAACGACACTTACGACAGTGGCCATGTCATACTCATACTGGGGATAGAAATCTGGACAAAATTGTTAGCGGTGTACTACTATTAGACCAGCCAGAAAAAAATACCTGCTTCAATACGGCGGTTTTGTGCCTCCCAAGCTACAATTGATTCCGTGATTAATTCCAGGCATATACCAGTGTCACTAAGGGCTTCGTCGCATGTGGGGAATGGGTCTGTGATGGAAAGATGCAACCTAAAGCAGGCCTTGGTATAATTCAGCAGTTTGACCCAAAGATCTGGGAAGAAACCAAGTGTCTTTCATTTTGCAACAACAGCACCATCCTGTATACTCTTTGCTGCCTTCATGCAGCACCCAACACTGGTGTGTCGGACCTCCAAATCAGTATCAACTTTCATGTCACCAGAGTCCCCAGCCGCTTGACAATCATTGTTTGACTGGAGATTGCTGGTGTGAGCACACTTGGTTTTTGGCTGGTTGACAGTGAAGCCAGAATAGCATACTGAATGCAAGTGCGTCGGTGATGGAGAATGAGCACGACAGTCAGTCTTCTGATGCCATTTGATGACATCATAATCCACATTAGGCTGATGGATATGATGAACCTGAGATGAGTATAAAATATAGTAATTACTTACCACTTCCACAATTGCATTGGAGCGAGCTTGTGGTTGGCTCTGTTTACCAGGATCTTCACGCCTGTTCCGCCCATAGTCCTTTTGAGATGCATGCACAGGGCGGCCGACCCATCGTTCTGCCTGACCTTGATGGCACTGGGTGTGGTCGATATCCTGATTCTCATCTGTGTGTCTATCAGGTGAGAATTCGATGGGTGGAGATGTATGCATTTCGTCGTCACTCAGAGGGAAATTGTTGTTGTCGACCATGTTTAACTCATCACAAACCTCAGACATATCCTTGTCGCTGTGATGTTTGGTTTCTTCATGTTCTGAGATAGAACCAGGTCGGATGGCTTTGGGCGTGGGATGGTAGACTGCGCCACAGGTGGACACATGACAGGCGGCTCAACAGTGGGCCTTGTTGCAACTTCCACGTGGGTATGGGAGTGTGGTCTATCCCGCTGAATATGAGACTTCAGACGCACAGGATGCTCCCATCCCAAAGGCTGCAAACCAACATAACCTGGAGGAATGGGGTTCTTCTGTAATCCAAACCTTTCACCATTCTCTCCAACGTGCAGAGTAGGTGCAGAACCTGCACCATCTGATCGATCTGGTGTCTGAACTGCTGGTACAGCCTACAGAATATCAAGCATAAGGGAATGTGTAGCTTCACATTGTAGAACTTACTGTTTTTTGACCTTTCTTGCAAGTTCTCTTTTTCACTGGAGACGGTGCCATGATGTTCTCCAGCTCTCCATCAGGTATAACAAACTGTCATCCCTTGCCAGCGCATCTTGCTGGAGCATCAATCATGGCCTCTCCAACCTTCCTTAACTGAGAGGCTGTTCCACCCTTTCCAGCATTGGGACCCTTGGTACACCAGGGCCCCGAAGGTGAGTCAACCTGAGGCTCGACAAGTGGAGTCACGATCCCCAAGTCATTATCGCTGTGCGCTGAGGAATCGGATAGCACCACTGCTTGCAGACTCTTCTTCCTGCCCATGGTTGGTGGAGAAAACAAAGGCAAAGACAGATGGCAGCCTAGTCAACTTGCCAATTAAACCAAGTCCCATGATATGAGGTAAAATGCAACTGTAGACTTGTAATTGAATTGAGCAACATAGTATTACTGTTACATAAGTCTGTGTGTTCCCGCCTACCATGCCACAATAATACTGCCGTAGACACCCGTCTATTCACTCATGAATTGTTTCAACTAGATACATTGATATTGCATTATGCCCTCTACTATTCACAACCAAGCCTTAGTGACACCAACTGTAGCTATTTCTGTGTTGTCCGGCCCACTCAATGCTGTGATACCTGCTTCTCCCTCCTGAGCCGAAAAAGTCCATACTATTTCTAAGCATACCATCCCCCAGACTCCCATTATCCATCCACTCATTGGCAAGTCTGTACAATGTATTCCAAGGTCAACTGGAACTCCTAGGGCTATTGGTGCTCTTCCAAAACACATACCCTCCAAGGCTGGAGGGCTCATGCAACACTTGAACACGCCAAATATCTCAGAGTCATGCCTCAGCATTGCTGCCCATGTGTCCGCCCTCCAGCTAAACAAGGATTGTGATGATAGCGATGCTAATACTACTGGTGATGTAAATTATGCATCAATTCGTGTTCACGCTAGACTATGAGTGCTGATATCACCTAGGAATCCACTGACTCCACCAGAGAAGCTAGAGCCATGCTTGTTTTGGACGCCTCCAGAGCACAGCGAGATGTTTGTCTTGCAGAAAAAAAACTTGCAGACTCCATCATCAAGGATAATGATGCACTTGGGAGGCTATACAGGTTCCAAGCAGGCGAAGCTCAGAAACAGCTCGTGAACGCCAACATCGGTATTGGTTATATATGCCATTCCATCCGCAAGAGTGGCATCACATTATTGGAGAATTCAAAGCCCTGAAAATGTCGCCGCACCTCTGATAGTCGAATTAATGACTCGGATGTTGAACATTCTCTGAGTCAACCACCGGTAGCCAACCCAGCAATGCCAGGTAAGCAAAATTTGATTGTACAGTATCTCTTCAATTTACATACTCCACAAGATCCTCCAATGCTTGAACCCAAGCCCACTTACGACTATGACTTGGAGGCCCCTGTCAAAGGTTGATAATGTTGTCTGTCCTATGTCCTGTTGTCAAATTGTACCTAGCATACACCATGTCAACCCCTGTTGCCTCCAATCCAAGTCTCTTTTCACTAAGTTGTAACATGTACTGCTGTGATGGTGGCAGCTCATATACTTATTTGAATCTTGCACAATCAGTAAGGATGATTTGTTTGACATGAAGTATGCTACAGAGTGCTACAGTACAGAGCATAGTAGTGCTGCAGACCACTGTATACTGCTACATGCCTCTGTACATGCATGTATACCACTGTATACTGCTGTGGAGCGTGCTGTGTTTCAGGTTTGAACTCCGCTCTTGCTCAAAAGTCCCAGCTGCTGTCTCCATAGCTCATGGGCTTTCTAGTTGTATATTGAATCTGACAGCGTCGATAACTGCGCTAGCTCAGTATCAGAATTGTGCAAAAAGACAGACTTGAAGTGGATTATTACTAGGAGCAGCATGATTTTTAAATGTATGTCCACTACTAGATATGTCAGCTGGCTGCCAGTGTCAAGCTGCCACATAGGCCAATAGTCCTTTGTTGGCATATTAACACTCCCCGTCATGGCTGTCAGCACTAGCAGACATGGGTCTCTCCCTCTCAGCACACCCTCATTGTACTCTAATGTCACTCAATCAGCAAGCCAGTCAGGAGGCTGGCTGCCTTTAACACCCTCAACCAATCCTAAGTTGTCCTTCATTTTTGGTCAACAACCACTTGAAGAATTGCATGGAGACATTTTCAGGCCTTCCCCAGCTGTAGAACTACCTGATCCTGATCAGCTAATACTTCTTGGCGATAACCTTAAAGCAGCTTTCATAAAAACACTTGCTTTTGACCATGATCAAGCTGATGAAGGCTTGAATATTGGTATGAATTATTTTGCTATCTCTTTTCAGTTAGATCTGATGGTCACATTCTTCAGATCACTGTATTACAATTCTTGAAGAACTTCAACAGTTTCAAGTAAACATGATTGTAAGCCACTAGTAGTATTAGTTGAGTTCATTGAGTATCTCTAACACCCTTCAAGACCATCCAACATATCACACTAGTGGAATACGCAGCTGTCTTAGCGTTTATGTGCAAATCACATATAGAAATCAAAGCAAAGTAAGTCAGTTGCTAAGATTGGTCACTTACATCGTGCCCTGATTGCTACCAACACATACTAGATCCAACTACTTTCCAGACACTCAAGAAGTTGAGATCATAAGCCCTTCCCCCATTCATGAAACTATCATCATGTGGCTTCAAAAATGCTTCATCACCTACTCTTCGCAGATCAGTCACAACAACTGGTATGTTGACACACAATTCTTCACAAACAATCGGCCCCCCAATGAAGAATCATCACAGCAAGTCCCAGATATCATGGGTGTCGTGCACTGTGTCGATCAGTTTGGCAACAATAAAAGTTTCGTTCAGTGGCTTGTCAAGGTGGGTTTCAGCAAAAGTGACACATCCATCATGCGCAAGTTTGGGCACATGGTGAAGAACAACTCAGATATCAAGCAGCTAATCAGGGTATCAATCAACAAGGATGGCACGTTCCAAGGCCCCGAAGAGCACACTGAGGTCACGAAGTTGCTTCACAAATCTGGATCGTGGATGAACTGTGAGAAGTTCAAGAGCCTCGTTCTGCCCAAAACATCTGACATGATGTTTGGGCCTGTAGTTGTTGGGGGGCATAATTGGTTAAAGTTGAAGGCAGTTAGAATCACGGTGTTCTTGAAGGATGAAGCATCAAGCAAGTTTCGATTCAATTGGAGGGATCCCGAGCACTACGCTGAAGGGGTACATCCCATCTTTTTATGTGTTATTCATCTTATGATCCAAACCTACAGACTCCCATTCCTGATGTGGATATGATGAATGTAGATCACCTACTCAACATGAGCGCTGCGAACCTCAAGGCCGAGATGATTACTGTTATGGAGGGGTTTGTGCCTGAGAAGAGCATGATAGACAAGGCCCATAATTCCAAACCCGAACTACCGCTCAACTGGTCTGCCGCTGCTATGCAGATGTCCTCCACCATTTGTGACACTGCCTACTTTCATTACGTTGATTGGTTCAACTATAAAAACAATAACAAGCGTAAGAGTGCTACTACCGCTCACACTGGCACAGAAGTCTCCGGCAAGTTATCTCAGACCATCACTCTGGATGCTCCTCTTGCCAGTGGTTCCACTGAATGTGACTTGAAGAAGCTGAAGGTCTCAAAAGACTCAGAGGAGACAAAGAATACCATGAAGGTTTCAAATGAGGAGACAAAGAATGCCAGCTCGAAAAAGAAGAAGAAGAAGAAGAAGAAGAAGAAGAAGAAGAAGAAGAAGAAGAAGAAGAAGAAGAAGAAGAAGAAGAAGAAGAAGAAGACAAACAGCAAGGTGAGTTCTACCAGTATCTGTGATTGATCTTGAATGTTTGCGCTAAGTCATTGTCTCGCTGCTAGTAGGATCTTTGAGCCTGAGTGATCTTCATTTCACACTGACATTTGTTCATTGCATCTCACCTAGTACTAGCCTGAGTAGTACTACTTTACTTGTACTAGTATTTTCATTGCCAACTGTTGTCTGTGTTGCATCCGCCATACCATACATACAACTACTATAATATTCATTCATCGTGCTGCTCGTATGTTTTTCGTGGGATGAAAATTAAAAAGGAAAGTAAAGAGCGGGTGATATTAGAAGTGTTGGTACACACTGTTGCTAGATAGACACTAGCTATCATAATGTCCAACTGCCCGAACTGTCTAAAGAAGTTCAAGGATGCCTTGGGTGTTACACGTCACCTAATCCAGCCCCTTGTATCATGCTGACAATGTACTACTGTGGAGTTCACAACTGCAGCAGAAATACTCAACTCATTGAACCAGTGTGCATCTTTTGAATCCAATCGATCATCATCACACTCTCAGTCTTCTGCTCATTCTGGCAGACTCAGAACTCAAAGTCCTCATGGCTTCTCAATGGACTTAGATCTGCCGCCAGCATGGAACCCGGGCCCTAACTCGGATGAGGATGATATGGTCTACCACAATGAAGAAGCGGATGTGGAGAATGATTTTCCGATCCCCGGTGGAGAGACGCTGGGTCATGGAGCTGCAGGGGGGCATTTTACATGATATGAAGGTGTTGCAAGGGTACATGCACAGGGCCTGACTTTCCTGGAGTGGTTCAATGATGATGTATATGCACATCATTGTAACAATAACTTGTATTATCCATTTTCATCCTTTCAGGACTGGGAGCTTGCTAGTTTTCTACTGTCCTCAGCATTGAGTATGGTGGCCATAGATTGCTTCCTAGGGATAGAACTGGTATGTTTTCCTTCACTGACTCCAGATCAAAGCCTTACCGCTCTCCTTTCACACAGCAAAAGAGCTACGGGGTTGTGCTGAGCTTCTACCCTCTGGTCCCAAGTGGCAATATTGTGTTGTTTCCACCGATCATCCAATGAAAATACCTGTGCACCTGTATTGGCATGATCCGCTGGACTGTATTGAATCCCTCTTCAATAATCTGAGATTTGCCAAGGATATTGACCTCATACCTGAATGCATATATACCACGGCGGAGCGTACAGTATGGATATACAGCAAATGGATGACTGGCAAAGCAGCCTGGACAATGCAGGTTCATACCTTAGTGTTTAGTGTGATTACTTTGTCTAACTTCTATTGCTCTATTGCAGTCCAAGCTTCCAGAGGATTCTACATTGCTTGGTGTAATACTTTCCTCTGATAAGACCAATATCACGAACATGACCGACGGATGCATTGCTCACCCCCTCCTCATCAGTCTTGTCAACATCAAGATGGCAGTTCAAAACAAGGCATCATCACACGCTTTTCTTCTCACAGCCCTGCTTCCCATCACTGAATTTTTACATCTGGTCAAATGTATGCAAGGTGTTCTAGAAGCTCACCTAATCCATCAGTGTCTTGACATTATCCTCAAGCCACTCAAGCAGGCTGCACGCATTGGACATATGATGTCAGACCCAGTCGGGAACCTTAGATATTGTTTCACTCCCCTGGCTTCATATATCGTGGATACACCCGAGGCGGCCATGCTCACCAGTGTTTGAGGAAAGACCTCACAACTCACCATGGCTTCATATAAGCAATTCAGTGATGCCTTCCAACACCCCCCACGCACAGCCAAAACCACCCTTATGCAACTCATGAGCATCAAATCTATATGTGACCCTCTAAATGTCAAAGCATTCTTCGCCGCATGTGAGCCCAACCACCTCAGCAGTGTTGCTGATCCATTCTGGTGCAACTGGCCATTCGCAGATCCAAATTTGTTTCTGACTCCAGAGGCCTTGCACCATTGGCATCGCGAATCCTATGATCACAATATACAGTGGTGTATTAGAATTGTTGGCATGGAGGAGCTCGACTTTCATTTTTCTGTCTTACAACCACTCATGACATTCCAACATTTCAAACAGGGTATCTCAACGCTCAAGCAAGTCACCGGAAGAGTGCAGTGGGACATACAGTGTTACCTTGTTGCTGTCATTGCGAATGCTGCACATCCAGGTGTTGTCATAGCTGTCCGTGCGCTAATGGACTTCTGTTACTTATCTCAAGCAGTAACCATCAATGAGAAGCAATGTCAGAAGATCCTTGATGCTCTCAAGACGTTTCACGACCACAAACATGAAGTTATTGTGCATGGTGGGTGTTGAGGTGCCAAGAGCAAAAACATCCTCGACAGCTGGTACATTCCAAAGCTTGAATTGATGCAAAGTGTTGTGCTGAGTATCTATAAAGTCAGTTCCCCTATACAGTGGTCAGCTGACACCATAGAACGAGCTCACATAACTCTCATCAAGGATCCAGCAGAGTCTACGAATAACCAGAACTATGATCCCCAGATATGTCAATATCTGGATTGCATCAAAAAATGTCAACATTTTCATCTTGCGACGTCTATTGCTCAGCAATCACAGTCTCAGACGCACACTGCCACTGCTGAATATAGAGATGATTCGGATGATGGGATCGATGATGATGAGAATGCCAATGAAGCAGGTGATATCCAGGCTGCCATTAGTGATTTCTGGGGGACAGGACATGTTGTATCGAATTTCTTCAAGAAGGCACAACTTGCCTCATTGTCCACCAAAGTGCCCAGACCACTCCACACGTTCATCGTTGGCTCCACTGCCATAGATCTCAATTTTGACCCCTCGTTACAATGCCAAGCTATCAACGATGTTGCTGAGAAGTTCTGTTTGCCTGACTTGCGAGCAGCACTCGCCAATTACATTCAACAGGAGGGTCAGACTGTTCAAATCCTCCACAAGTTGACAGGACAACATCAAGTGTCACCAACCATGAATCTTCCATTCCAGCATCTTAATATTTGGTTCAAAGTACACGTGCAGCAGATGCCACGCCACAGCGGGTCAGCCCTCCTTCCTGCTCTGACAGTTAATGTGTCTCCACCAGATGCCAATTGGAAGCATGGCCACTATGATGCTGCCATATTTACTGTTGATGGCACAGAACAATGGCCTGCTAGCAGGCTTAAAGGTAACTTGATATGTTCTTCAGTGTTATTTGTTCTGAGGTACAAATCTAGGACACGTTGTTGTTGAGGTTCGCCTCATTATGTTACCAGTCTCACCGCCAGGCAGAACTCTCCCGTGGGCTGCACATTTCCTTACTTATGTCCAACGTCTTGACATAGTACCTCAGCAACGCAGAATGGTATTGGACCACACTATGCAGATGCATGTTCTAAAATGTGCTACACATACAGGAGCGATGCCTTTCGGGGACATCCTTCCTCTAGATCAACTTTGCTCCTTTGCTCACATTATTCCCCGCTTTGGTCCTGTCACTGACATTCATCTGACACCACAAAACAGCTCTAAGTTCGCTCAATCATTTTTGCTCAACAAGTACATCAACAAGGATTTTTACCATACTATCTCCGAGTCAAATGCAGCGGTGTGGGGAATTCCCCCACTGTAGGTGTAAAACCCCGTCCTTTCCGCATCGTCTCACATCAGTTCCACGTATTCCGCACATTCCGCGTTTCCCGCGCATTGTCCGATGGGTTCCGCATTCCCACGCATCCTTCGGAACCCGCCCGCACTATCCGATATTCCCGCGCATCGTCGGACAACCTTCACATGTCCTGTCCCCATCCTTCCAGGTCCATTGGTACGCTGTATCCCTCTTCCCGCTGTTCCTAATGTTATCCGGATCAAACTGACACATGCCCTTATGGCACGGACCCCTATTCTGGAGTATTGCACCCATGTGCACTGCCTGCCTTCACTTCTGCTTCCTGAGAGACTTACTACCTGTACCTCAGTGTTCCTTAAAAATAATCTTCCCTTTAAGTAGTGGTACTCAGGGCTTGGGGGTATTTTATCGAATCCCATCTTTTACCTTCCCACTTTTCCTTCACCTTACTAGAGGATCGCTTTGACTTATGCCCACTATCAATCTAACCTTGTGATATACTTCCTTTGACTTCGCCTGCGAGTTCTGACGAATCAGTACGTTCTGCGCTTTATCCGTTTGAGTTCCGTTTCATTCCTTTCCATTCCACTTGAGTTCCACTCGGGTTCCACTTGTTCCGCATTTTTGCGGATCCTCATCCTACCTGTGGGAGGGTTGATTAGGGTCGTTTAGACAGAGACTAGTACTCCCAGTAGCAATCCCCTTTAGGGTCGAACATGCTTGCTCTCAAGTGAGGCAGTAGGCAGCAAAGACCCAACTGTGTAGTAGATCAATTTCTCTCCGCTGCACTTGTTGTACCCACAGCGGCATAGTAATATTAGCTCTATGTATTACCTTGTCCATACCAGTTTTCTTTTGAAATAAAAATTCATGCTCTGTAACCACTGTATCATGCTACAGGCCACTATATTACTAGACTGCTAAGACTCGTCTGTAAGTGCACACTGTAACCTACTGTAATATAATCAAGCACTAATATTAGATTTGAGTCAGTTGCTACATGTCACTGTGGATGCTGTAAGTTACCACAGGTGGCTGTACTCGGCTAGGGCACTACGTCATTTTGGGGGTTTTGCTGATGTCTATTGCACTGTTTTCAATCACCAGCACCCTTACCAAGTAATTTTACCGAGTAGTTTACTTTCAATGTCATAATGATTCCATGAAACCTTGTTTGGTGCCATACACCCTCTTATGAGTGGCAACTTTGGACCTCATGAATGGCTTAACAAGGGCCACAGTCATCCTGGATCCACCCACTTGGTTTCAAAAGGCTGAACTTCATAGGAAATACAAAGCAACTGTGGCAATGTCTGCAGTTTCTAGTCTTTTCGCTGATAGCACAAGTTAAACCTTGAGTTGTGCATCCACTTGCTTGGTTTCAAAATGTTGAATGTAGGAAATGCAACACGACTACGGCAAGATTTGCAGCTTCTAGTCTTTTCGCTGATAACACGAACTAAGCCTCAAATCATGCATCCACCTGCTTGGTTTCAAAAAGCTGAATGCAGGAAATACAATGTGTTCATGAGGGCGTCTGTGATTCTTAGTCCAATCACTGACAGCACAACTTCAGCCCCAAATCGTGGATTCACCTACTTGGTTTCAACAGTCTGCCTGTAGGAAATGTGTTGTGATCATGGTCATCTCACACAATCAACAGACACATTAACTTTGAAGTCCCTCATCACTGGATTAAGAACCTAAACCACCAAGGCCCCAAACCCCTCCATCAAGAAGTTCTCTTGCAGTGTGCGAAGGCATGTGATTGCGCTGATCCACGGGGCAATGCACTGTATGCTTGTCAAATGGTAAGTGAGGCACAGCAGACAGTCATTTAGACATCTGAAAGAGATGGCAGAAAAGTCAGAAACAACACACACATGCATTGTCGGTTACTTGTGAGGAAATGTGTTGTGGTCATGGCGATCTCAGACAATTGACAGACACATTAGCTTTGAAGTCCCTTGTCACTGGATCAAGAACCTAAACCACCAAGGTCCTAAATGCCCCCATCAAGAAGTTCTCTTGCGGTGCATGAAGACATGTGATTACGCTGATCCGCGGGGCAATGCGCTGTATGCTTGTCGAATGGTAAGTGAGGCACAGCGGGCAGTCATTAGACATCTGAAAGAGATGGCGAAAAAATCGAGAGCAATACATACATGCGCCATCAGTCACTTGGAGGATGCATGACTATTGCCTGGAAGCTACTGGCTTTTGCTCTGACGTGGAAAACTGTCCCATAATTGATAGGAATCAAGCTTGAACACTTAAATTTCTTGTAAGTTTGCTTGGCAAACACATCCCAATTGCTGGCAAGGTATGGCTTTTTCGCACGGATTCCCAACTGAAATATAGCAGACAATCATTAGATATTATAAAGTAGATAGTGTCAAAATTCAAAGTAGCAGGTATATTTACTCTCGCTCACCAATTGAACACATCGCCGTTCTCCGGAAGATGCTGTCCTTCATTGTTAGTCAGAAAATTGTCCTAAGACTGACGGACATCAAGCATTTTAAGTTAGTGATGTGCATGGCCTGGCTTGAGGCCCTGGGCCAGCCCAAGCCAGGCCCAAATAAGCCAGACCCAGCCCAAGCCTAAGTCACGGCCTGAGGAAGGCTTGGGCCTGGGCTTGGGTTTCAAAAAGCCTGAGCCAGCAGCTTAAGCCATGGCTTTGGCATGTTCAGTGGCACTGCCATAGAAGCCTCACTGGAGGTACATTTCCCGACTCTATTTTTGTCTTTCTAAGCTTCTGACTCCCATCGCCTTTATCAGCTTCAACTCAAATCGCCTTTATCAGCTTCGACCTTCAACTCGAATAGTCCACATGTTACAGTGAGTTGCTATGCTTGTGCTTCGGTTGGTCGACATTACTCACATTGCAGTCAAAAAGCCTGCACTGTCCAACATATCCAGCAATCTATCCTCCTTCAAGGCCTCATTTCTTGTCTGTTGCTATGAAAAAGCCACGGTGAGCCACCAGCGCTATGTCCTGTGCTTTGCGAGCTCAACATAACTCACTCAAACCCAGATCTCAGTTGCACAAATCGATATTTTTGGTAAATTGCGCACCCAGTACTATCTTTCAATTGATTTATGTTGGTATCAATGGTATGTGTCCCTCTAACATCCCTACCTGCTACCCACCCATGACAAACACAGATGCCAAGCACCATGTTGAACGTCCCATATGCAAAATGAAACCTACAGCCGCCCTTCTTCAGCATGCCAAGAAGGCAGCACTGCCATCCCAAACCAAGGTGATTAACGAGTTCCATGCTGTGGAGGCTGCTAAACGTGCTGCTGAACATACCTCCACTTCATCCCCTACCGAAACCACACAATCTCCATCCACCTCTCCCGTACCATCAGCACTGTCTGCTGTTAACACCCGCAAAAGGGTCCACCCTGAAGACTCTGACAGGGAATCTAGTGATGATGAGCGTGAAAATGCATGTACTAATCCCAAGCCTCAAAAGCAGCGCAAATCGGCTGCTGTTCCAACTGAACCAGAATTAGTTGACGTTGACGGTATTCTAATCAACATTGATGTGAGAAGCCAAAACTGCTGACATTGATGCGTTCTTTGGTGCTACCTTTGATCATGCAGGGGCCAATTGGAAGGTGAAAAAGCACAGGAAGTGCAAGATGTGCCCGTAAGTCTGCTCACTTGTAGTAATACACATGCTGATGCATGCTCAATAGGAAAGCATGTATTCTTGTTAATGAAATATCTACCCTCCATCGTCATGCTGAGGCAAAGTTCTCTGGCAAATATCGGGAATGGGCCAAAGAACATTTGTTTGAGTTGATGCTTCCTGGTGATGTCAAGGCCTGCAAGGATGATGTGGCACAGCAGAGCATTGACACACATCCGACTGAGCAGAAGCTTGCTGAGTGAGTAGTTTCATACTTGGATAAGTCATTCAAACAGGCTGCAATTGAGTGGCTTGTGGCCACTGACCAGGTACTACGTCTCTCTTCCTACAGAATTGAATTGACGTCTCTTTGTCTAGCCAATTCAAGCACTCGAGCATCCAAAGTTCAAAGAAATGATTGATGTTGCTGCTCGAGCAACCAATTGCATCAAAATTCCAGCCAGGAAGGCAACTCATGCAGAGATAATGAGAACATTCAAAACTCATCTTATGGGGCTCAGGAACACACTCAATGTAAGTAATATTTATGATATTGCTCTATCTACTCAACTAATGTGGACCGATGTAGGGCACAACTGTTAAGGGCGCCATCAATACTACCTGTGACGCATGGCAGGCCGAAAATACTGACGGTTACTTTGCTGTCACAGGACATTGGATTGAAGAGAAGATTACCATGCAATGGGAACTCAAAAGTGTGCTGCTCGGATTTGCTCAAGTCAATAATGCCCACACAGGCAAGCATCTCAGTGGTGCTTTGTTTAAAATCCTCGATCGTGTTGGTGTCACGCACAAGGTAAGTTCGGTTTACTGCAAGTATATTTAGTAGCCTTATAAATCACTCTAGCTTGGACATGTCACTTGCGACAACACCGCAAACAATGGCACCACCCTACAGGAATTTGCAAGGCTATATGAGGCTAAGTACAACGAGGAGTTTCCCTGGCGCCAGCAGAAAATAAAGTATGTGCTTATGATCATTTCTTATTTAATGAAATCACTCATGCGACAATCTCAATAGCTGCCTAGCTCATGTTATCAATATTGCAACACAGACCTTGATCAGCTCATACAGCAAGTCCCCTCATTACAACCTGCATGACCTGAAAGCTCACAAGCCATCCAATCGAGACAAAATTGGCCTCATTCGTAGCATCTGCATTAAGGAACATTTGTCTGCAAAGCGAAAGGGATTGTACCGGAATGTTCAAACCAAGGGAGGCGTGTCCCAGCCGATGCAGCTGTTAATCGACATGAAGGTTTGGTGGTCCTTGACTTATATTATGCTCAACCATGCGGAGATGAATAAGGAACATGTCAACACTTTCGTATATGAGATGGGTAATCAAGAGTGTGATTTGGCTAGACGCGCGAAGATTGACTTTTTGCAGCTGTCAGAAGTTGAGTGGATGCATGTTGGGCAGTTTGCCAATCTTCTCTCAGTATGTTAATTTCTATTTATTTGAAGTTCGCTACTTATCTAGGTTTTACAGTATGTTGATGTGGCCCAACAAGCTTTCTCATCCGAATGAAGTTCAACTTACACTTGGCAATTCCAACACTTGAAACTCTCTATAAGGCTTGGTCATCACGCGCAGAAAGGTCAAAGTATGTGCAGTTCACTCCCGCACTCAAACGTGCCGCAGCAAAAGTGGATGAGTATTATGAGAAGACAACACACTCTGCTGCATATGTGTTGTCAATGTGTATGTTGTTTATTTTTTCACAAACAACTGCGAGTCTGACATTTGCACTTCAGTACTCAACCCCACAGGGAAAATGGCATATTTCAAGAAACATTGGCCAGAGGACCTGCATGATGATGTGCTTTCTACCATGGAGACAGTGGTGAGTCATATTTTTTTTGTCGGCGTCAATTTAATCTAAATATGCTACTACTAGTTTAAGGCCTGTTATCTTGAGTTGAACCGAGTGACATCATTGACATCGCAGCATGCAACTAAGCCAAGCAGAGCTGGCAATCTCAAGAAGTTAATTCGCAAAGTCCTCAGTGACTCCGAGGATGATTCATCAACCAACCCAGCGCCTACTTCAATTGGTGACCCAACAAGACCATGGAGGGCTGAATTTTTGGCCTACCTTGAGACGGTTGAAGCAGCTCCATCATCTGGCATGTCTACCATTCAATGGTGGGGTGTATGTATTTTTTTCGCTACTCAAAAATTTCATGCTAATGATAATCTTGCTTAAGATCAATGTGCAGAGGTACCCTGTTTGGGCATCACTTGCACGGGATTATCTGTCCGTCATGTTGTCATTGGTCTCGAGTGAGCGGGCATTCTCGCAAGGTGGCATCACCATCACCAAACAACACAACCAGCTTAAGGCTGACATTGTCAAAGCACTCCAGTGTGTGAAATGTGCTCTACGACAAGATCTTCTGTTCTGGGAGCCTGAACCATTGTCTCTCATTGAGTTAGAGTACCTGGATGACAATGACAAAGAAGTGGAAGCGGACACGGAGACTGGTGACATTGTGGATGAAGAAGAAGGTTTGGACATTTTACTTTTTGGGTGATGATGCTGAGGACATGTCGGATGTTGAGACAGACATTTAGACACATTGTAATCATGCTGTTGCTTGTCACTACTAGCCTGCACTAATGCTAAAGTAGTCTTGAGTGTCTGTTTGCTTCCAAAAGCCACAGCCTGGTTGGGCCCAAGCCCCAGCTTTGGGCCGGCTTGGGCTCACAGCCTAGGCTCAGAATTTTGTGAGCCTAAAGCCCCTCAAAGCCAAGCCTAAGCCAGGGCTTTGAGCCTAAGCCAGGCTGGAACATCACTATTTCAAGTAGATGGTGTAAATACTTAAAGCAGTAGTTATAATTGCTTTCGCTCATTCGTTGGACAAGCGGCCGTTCTTTGGAAGATGCTGATACTCACTCTTAGCTTTGAAATAGCCAGGGTTACTTCTGACCTGACAGCTATGATTCTTCTAGCTTGACTATTAGCTTTGCAGGACTTAAATTCACTCTCACTCACTTGATGGACGCCTTGTCTTTCTCTGCACATTACTGATGTTTACTCTTAGCTTCGAAGTGATGAATATGTCCTTCCAACTTGCTAGTTGTCGCCTCTCTATGTTGGTGCACAAGCGCACGTGATATGACACGACGCGTCAAGTGGAGTATGATTGATAGGAATTCAAATCGGACTAGTATATATACTCGTTTTCCTTTGTATCGCCTCTTCCCTCAGTCTGTTCCATTGAGACTGAGGGTACGTCCGTTTTTATCCCACTACTATGACTAGACACTAACGCACATTTATATTAGTATTAACAGTGTCTAGTTTCTATAGGTTATGAGCCCTGCTCTCTTGTAAATGAGGAGCAGAATTACCTACTAGGCACCAGCGTACCACTTAGGAATGACCCCCACTGGGTTATTAAAACCCCAGGCTCATCGAGAACGACAGACTTCTGTCAGCATTATCAGAACACTTCATCTCTTCCTTTTCAGGCGAGAAGTGTCGAGCACAAACGCTCATGCATATAAATATCCGCGACTCACAGATTTCCCTTTCTTTCCATCTTGTCCCATCCTCTCATTATGCCTACCACTGTGCATACTCGCTCTAAAAGCTCCAGTACCAAAGGCACAATCCTTGGTCTGCCAAACTTAAATCTGTCTATTCCTACTATTAACGCCATGTCCTCTCTGCAAGTGACTGTCACGGCTATCTCACTCAGCCAGACCAACTTAGACAAGATCGAAGTCCTAGACTGCAGTAAGAACAATTGGGGTGTTTGGTCTGATCACATGCAGAACTACCTTCTGTTAAAACATGGTGGTCGATATATCCTAGGTTTAGTCACATGTCCTGATCCATCTATGGACCCTGCCAGCATGAGTCACTGGGATCTCAACAACTTATGCATTGTCACCGCTCTGCGCATGCATTCTAGCTCTGAAGAGAATGAGTTTCTCTGTGGGTACACTAACACTTACCTCACGTGGAACACCCTGAAATCTTGCCACAAGAAGGTCAGCCCCATTGCCCAGATCCTATTGATCCAACAGGCATTGGCGGTTCAGTACCACCGCTCAGAGTGTCTCTCCACTACGAGCACCCAGCTCAGCAAGCTCGTTTGGCGCATATATGCTATAGGTATACCCAAGGAAGAGGATTTTCTTACCATCATGATGCTCAACACCATGATGGAGGACCTCCCCCACATATGCAACCATATCACAGATGCTCTCACCACTAGCACCTCCACCACCTCTTACGGTCCCTCTAACATTTTCTTGCATCTTGACGTCAGACAACAGCTCATCAATACTGAGAGATCCAAAGGGGGGGACATTGCCATGGCTGCCACTAACAAAGGAGGCAGCACTCACCGTGATTGCACACCATGCGGCAACTGCAGCAACACAAGCCATCCCACAAAGGATTGCTTTGGCAAAGGTGGGGCTATGGAAGGGAAGCGTGATGAGGTACTGGCCCACAAACGCGCTGCTCACGATGCCAAGGGGTCCTCTGCTGGGGGAAAGACTGTCACTACTAAACCTGCGGCAGCTACTGGCAAGCCTGGCGGTCTTCACTACGACACCAGTGGCCATGCATACCTGCTCGACAGCGAATCCAATCAGGCAATCTATATTGCCTCTGCTCCAGAGCCTGCCGACCCTCCTGCTACCTCAACAGAGTTCACAGGCCTTGCAAGTGACACCATCACTCCTGTGTTCATATGCAAGCTCTCTGCCACAGAGGAGGACGAATACACCACCCTTGTTGCTGCTGTTGACTAGACTCGTAACCATTCTGCCTACGTGCATTTTTGAGATGTGTGTGAATTTTGCCGTAGGCAGACTGGTTGATCTCGGAAAGATTTGGCAGGGGAAGCACGGAGTTCGAAAATTTGCAGTTGCCAATTGTGCCGCTTGATGTTATCGTTGTTATCATCCAGTGTCAATGATGCTGCATCATTTGTTTGCAGTATAATCATACCATTTCCTGTGCTTTTACCTCAGATGTTGCACTATCATCAACCATCCGAACTTCTGGCATGGACAGTTGACCACCATGGCCTTAGTGAAGACATCAAAGTTCTAGCGATCCTGGAAATACTTTGTGGCTTGCGGATGACTGTAATAGACTTACTTCTGTGCTCTGTCTCGCAAAAACCTGCCATGATCAATTGGAGGAAGGGCTTCTTCCGAAGCTCTGCACTCGCACAATTTCTTAACGTGCTGGAGTCCGATGAGCAAGGAGCCATTCACCTTCAGAATGTACTGCAACCTCGCACTATAGAACTCATCACCCGTGAGATCAATGTGGAGATGGAGGACACTAAGCCGATTTTTCATATGTCTACAAAGGACATCACCCTGGAGTACTTGCTCTCTTTCGACATTGAGCATGGATTGACTGTCCCGTTGAAAGAGACAACTCCCTGGCTCCGTCAGATCCTTATGTCTGCTATGCGGACAATACGTGCTGTGAAAGAGAATAAGCATCAAAATGTCGAAATGGTTAGCTTTTTTTCGAACCACACAAAACTAATGTAGACATCGAGCTAGTACTGCACTGTAATCCAATTGCAAATTGTGAACATTCGCTCACAAAACAACCTCACCTTTCAGATCATTCACGGACTTTGCTTGTTCAGCAGTGGTACATCTTGCAAAACCATTGACTTACTTGCACATTGTGGTCTTTCGCCTGGGTATGATGCATTGCACATTTCTCATACTATGATCTTTTAGCTGCAAAGCGAGGCGGGGAATGTGTCCACCTTCTGGGAAAAATTGTTCCGGAGCAACGAGCAAGTTCTTATAGCGGCCAGCAGCTATATGCTGTAGAGACTTCATCACAAAAGCACAAATCATTTAGTGTGAGATTCACTTACATTCCATAGTGTCTTGTCATGTGGGGTATCATGGTTGATTGCGATAGAGGGAATGCCATACTGGACAAACTCGTTGACCTACAGACAGATCCAGAAAGGTTAAACTCATGATTTGAATTTTCCGAGTCAAGTGTACATGATCTTTTTGCAAAAGCTTCAATGGTGTGACAGTGATTGCAATCTTGTTGGGAGAGAGCAGCAAGGGAAGGATCATTGCCAGTGTCTTGCCAGCACCTGTTGCAGCCCGGACAACAACATGTCTTGATGTGAGCAATGGCATGAGGCACTTGAGTTGAAACAGCTTTGGTTGCTTCATTCCTTCTGTAAGAAAATCGAGTCGGGCGAAAGAGTCTACAATGTTCTGGCGCTGGGATATATGCAAAGGTTCAATAAACTCTGTCAGAAGGTTCTCAAGTGCATCTAGCACAGCAAGGGACATTGGGAAAACAGAAACGGCCTCGCAATCCATGGTTGCAAGGCCACGATCATAGCATATGCGTGAATGCACAAAGACTACAGTATAGTGATTTGAGATTGAGTACCACCGGCACAATTGGCAACTGCAAATTTTCAAACTCCGTGCTTCCCCTGCCAAATCTTTCTGAGATCGATCAGCCTGGCTACGCCACTCGAGCATCTGTGGTAGTATACGCCAGGCTGGTCATGAGCCTAGCTGTTGACTCCCTCGACACTAGTCTCAACTGGCGTAAGTGCATGCATGCGGTTGACTTCACTGGAATCACTTACAAAGCGCCCAACCAACGTCAATGCACCATTGTGGACCCCGCCATCATCCCGTTCTTTCTTGATAGTGGCACTTCCGTTCACATCAGCAATGACGAGGCCAACTTCTTCAGTCTCCGACCCATTCCCCCTCATTCTGTCAACGGTGTCGGCAGCTTTTCCATACAAGCCATGGGTGTTGGGACCCTGCGCCTTGTGGTTGCTAGGGGGATTCATATCACCCTCAATAATGTCCTCTTAATCCCCACTGCCACAGTACACCTTGTCTCTGTGTCTGCCCTTTGTGCAACACACCGTTATATCGCGTCCTTCAGCTCCACCACTTGCTGGGTACAAGCACGCAGCAGTACCCACATGCTTTCGGGCACTCTGACATCACGTCATCTCTATGCTCTGTCTGGCAGGCAGCTCTCCGCTGAACATGCCTACATCGCTCACCAACTACCTACCCTCCAATCCTGGCATCGCCGCCTTGGACATGCAAACTATTGTGCAGTCTATGACCTTGCGCGCTCTGGGAACGCTACTGGTATGCCCGTTAACCTTTCTGCCATGCCACCTAAGTGTGACGATTGCATCCTCAGCAAGCAGACGTGGACTAGTGTCCCAAAGACACGTGCAGGGAATAGAGCTAGTAGGAAGCTGGGAATCATTCATGTGGACCTCATGGAGCATCCTGACACTGTATCGGCTGCTGGTAATAAATATGTCATGGACCTCATTGACGACTTCTCTTCTTATGTATGGGCTATCCCACTCGCGGCTAAGTCGGATGCCTTTCCCACCCTGCAAGCTTGGGCACTTGCCCGTGAAGTTGAGTCTGGTTTAAAGGTCGGTATTTACCACTCCAACAACAGTGAGCTAAAGACCACCGACATGCGCAAATGGCTTCTCTCGCATGGTACCCAGCATCAATTCACCGCCCCCCACACCTCTGCGCAAAATGGCCGTGTCGAGCACTTGCATCGCACGCTAATGGGAAAGGCCCATGCTATGCAATCCACTTGCGGTGTACCAGTAAATTGTTGGGATGAATTTGTGCTCACCGCATGTTACCTTTCTAACTGTACTCCTGTTACCTCACAAGCAGGGCATACACCTTTTGAACACTGGACTGGCCTCCATCCTGACCTCTCACACCTTCGTGAGATTGGTTGCAGGGCATTTGTTCTGATCCAGAATCACCACAACCTCAAGGTTTATAGTCACTCTGTCGAATGTGTACTCATCGGGTATTCTCTTGACTCAAAGGTATATTGTTGTTACCATTGTGCTACTCACAAGGTCTTTGTATCCTACCACATCTCCTTCATAGAATCTCATCAATGCGGTACACTGCCACCTTCTCTGCCTTGCGCCCCTTCAGTTCCTCTCACCACTGCTGCCCGTTCTGTCACCATTGAGGAAGTTCCCGATATTGAGGCTCCCACTCCCGCATCTCCCATGGTTCCACCTGTTGTTGTTGTTGACCCACCTCATCAATCTTCTTGAACACCTGTCCTGTCAGAATGCTGTTGTGCCACTGAAGGTATCCCTTACACTAACACTACACAGCGCAATGTCTTAGCTTCTTTGGCTAATGCTGACCATGCTCGTATCCTGCCACTGGTTGCTGAGTCCAGGGGGCCTGCATTATCAGCTGCAATCGCTGATGAGGACCTCACCGACCTGGAGGCAGAACTGGCCTATTTAACCAAGATCTTCACTGCTATCCCTGATGACTTCGAGAACAAACATCCCAGTGACCCCATTACCTATACAGATGCTATGAACTCAAACTATGCCGCCGAATGGACTCAGGTGTTGCATGACAAATTCAATTCCCTATGCGATCTTGGTGTATACAAGCTTGTCCCCCGCTCCACGATCCCCACGGGCTGAAAAACCATGAAAGGCCAAGCCATATTCAAGCTCAAACGCAATCAAAATGGGAATCCTGCTCAGTTTAAGGCACGATATGTTTGTCGTGGTTACTCTGCTGTCTGGGGGCAAGATTATACCAAGACTTCCGCACCTACTGCTCGTCTTGAGTCGTTCCGCATCCTAGCCCACATTGGTGCTGCACTTGATTGGGAGATCAAACAGCTCGATATCAAGACCGCCTTCCTCTACAGCCTGTTGGACTCCGACAAGGTTTGCTACATGGAGCGACCCAAAGGGTTCATCAAACCTGACTTTGAGGATCACGTCTGGGAGCTACAGAAGGGACTATATGGCATGAAACAGGGCGAACTTGTCTGGAACCGAATGCTAAACAAGGCCATGCTCTCTTGGGGGTTTGTGCGCTTAAAGAGCGAGCACTGCATCTACTACCGTCACAGTAGCTCCGGTATCCTCCTCGTCACCGTTCACATGGACGATTTCTTCACCATCAGCAGCTCTAAGGGGGTAATATCTGACTTTAAGGCACAGATCAAGACAAAGTGGCAGGTCTCCGAACTCGGAGACGCGCATTTCTGCTTGGGCATTAGTATCACTCATGATCGCACCGCCCGCACCATCTCACTGTCTCAGACTGCCCTTATCGACTGCATAATCACTCAGTTTGGCCTTAAAGATGCAACTGTGGTATCCATTCCTATGGACCCTGGCCTTCATCTCTCACATCGCGATCACTCCCCCCACACCGACACACAATGCGAACTTATGATATGTACCCCTTATTGTTCCTTGGTCGGCTCCCTTATGTACCTTGCCATAGGCACCTGTCCTGATATCTCATATGCCGTTGTAGGACACGGATCAGCACCAACATGGTACTCCCTTGATGTACCGATCCACTGCAATATTCACCCGACCCTGCGCGCTCTATCCGACTCCTTGCCAATCAAACTCCCGCCCATGCACGTTCAAGCTGCTTGCACAAGCGGATCGGCCAATGACAAATCAACGCACATCATCGGTCGGTCGCGCGCATGTTTTGCCTTTCTAGCTCACAGATACTCAGTTGAACCCCATATCCATAAAATCCTTGTCCACTGGTGCGTAGTATATTCTTCTTTGGTTTATTTGACTGATACAGTACTTTTACCTTTCAAATTCCCTATTACATCGCCTTAAGCGGCTCGGACCAACTTACTCTCACATATCCCCATACATATCACGGACAATCGACCGCATGTTCCGCATACATGTCTAGCAAACCACGAGGTAGCCCGGACATCCCAAGCAATGATTATCTCCATTATTTACCTAGTAGCCGATTTTGTACTTAAGGAGCGCTCACCCATTATTGCAATCCAGTTAATTCTCACTCAGAAGCCGTGTCTTTTGTGTTCCGTTCTCTTCTGATCCTATTCTCGTGTCCGTCCGCACATTCATCTTGAAACTTCCGTTCCCCATCATCTATCTCAGTCGGCCACACTCACTCGTGCACCGCATAGCGGTCGGTGGAAATTATAGTCGGTCGGCTTTGTGGGTAACCAGTTACGCTGAACACATATTGGATCAGCCGCCCTTTGACTCGTTGTCGCGCCCCTCGTATTTTATACTGAGGCAGCAATTCTGTTTGCTTTGTTCTGCTTCCCTCAGGTCGAACTGAACATTTTAGGCTCACTACTCGAATCAGCCGTTATCGTGCTGAGGTCGTAGTGGAATCTGCTCCTTACACCGTCCAACAACTTTGCAAGTTCCTCGACTCCTATGGTTGGGTTCATTGGGATGCTGCCAAACACATCGTTCGCTATCTCAAGGGTACCCGCGACTTCTGTCTCATGCTCAGTGGAGAGCATACTGCCCAACTCATTGCATACACTGATAGTGATCTGGGTAGTTGTATTGACTCACACCGCTCTGTCAGTGGGTACTGTTGTTCACTAGGTGGAGGTTTCATGACTTGGAGCGCACGTCAGCGAAAGACCATCGCACTTTCCACGTGCGAGGTGGAATATGTTGCCACATCTGAGGCTGGAAAAGAGGTTGCCTGGCTGCAGATGCTTCTTCGCGAAATCAAGTTCCCCCAACTCTCAGCATCACCGCTCATGTGCGACAACAATGGCGTCGTCATTCTCACCGAAGACTCTTCCTTCCATGCCCGTGTAAAACACATCAACATGGCTCATCACTCCATCCGAGAACATGTCTCCCACCACCAACTCAAATTACACTATGTTCGCTCTAAAGACAACATCGCAGACATCTTCACTAAAGCCTTACCAAGGAAGGACTACGATCATTTGCGCACTTGCTTGGGCCCACGGTGAACCATTCAAGGAGGAGTACTTGTCGCGTTGAGGAGGAGTGTTGGTGCACAAGCACACGTGATATGACACGACGTGTCAAGCGGAGTATGATTGATAGGAATTCAAACCAGACTCGTATATATACTTGTTTTCCTTTGTATCGCCTCTTCCCTCAGTCCGTTCCATCGAGACTGAGGGTACGTCCGTTTTTATCCCGCTACTACAACTAGACACTAACGCACATTTATATTAGTATTAACAGTGTCTAGTTTCTATACTCTAGGCTCATCATTAACTTCTGCTCTGCCTTTCCTTTAAGTTCGAGTTTGAGTCATGTGAGTGTCTCTTCCTGATCCCAAACTTGTGTAAGAAAATCAGGAACTCTCCTTTCTTTTATAAGGTCAAACAAGACCATGTGATAATCCATAGCAGAATTATGCTGACGCTGGTCATTATGTACTATATATTGTCACATCAGGAAATTCTCACATTGCTTATTTCAGCACTTATCACTACTTTTCGTCACTTTTCAGCAATGGATCTACTTTTTTCTCTTAAACTGGCCACCACCAGCAAATCAAGTATCTCAAACTGCTAATAATATGTCAAATACATATTTCATTGTGATAGAATACAGTTTTCTCATGTGTAGCTGCCTAGAGAGCGCATTTATGTCAAGAACTTATTAACAACTGTTGTGGTGTTTCTGCTTGACCACAACAGCTAATACTTATTCTCATGTTGTCAAACGGATTTCTAATGTATAAGAAACATTTTGGTGTACTTAAGTTGAAGGTGGAGGCTAGTTGAAGGAAAAAAAGTAGATCCATTGTGGAAAAGTGACAAAAAGTAGTGATAAGTGCCAAATAAGTAATGTGAGAATTTCCTGATGTATATATGTCTTTCTAATTTGTCCACCGGTTCACTGATGACACTATGAATGACCAGTTTGATGTATCTGATTTTTCGTTATGCTACAAGTATTGATGTACAGCTACTGGTGCATGTTCAAGCTTACAACAAGACTACAAAACTGCGTAGTACATAAGTACTTCAATTATATTCTATGTATTCAAGTATTTGAGATTTCCTCTATTACAAGATCTCCATTGCTCGAGGCGCAGTGAAATTTGTTCTGAAGCAAGTACGTTGATCAACTCAGCAACAAACTACTAGTAACTCACGCGTCGTGCCATCAACGCACTGCATCGATGCGAAAGCAGAAACACGACTCACTGTAGTTCACTGTCACGACATGCCACTCGCTCATACACAAAAAAATATGTACTGCCATGCCAGTGAGTCATGTGGTTAAATCCAGGACATAAATTACTCATACTCACCGATGGAAACCTGAATTCGCATTCCTGCCCAGGGCAGCATCCATTAGTAAAGCAATATGTGGGACATGTTTCACTGTCAGGATCACTGGCGGGTATTGATGCTGCAGATATGGATGCTATGAAAGCAGCAACGACAGCGAGGACAGTGGATAAATGCATTGTTTGTGAGGATGTGATATGGGAAGCGGATCAAATTAATCTGAAGGGGACGGTAAGAACACAGCTTGCTTTTATGTGAAGAACACATCCACTTGAAATCTCATTTCGGACTGATTCGACAATGCCAACAGTTTGCCACGTAAGATCTACCTTGTGAAGCAAGGCTTATTGGCAATTCGACGTGGAACCAAACGAACAACTGTAACAAGGACCGATCAGCTCGTCCACCTATTACTTATGGGAAATCGGAGTCCCGCGTTGACCGGTGTACGAAGTCCTGGTGCCCGTTATGGATGCGTGACGTCGAGCATGAGAACCCTATAGTCTCCACTGTCCAGTAGCTAATGTTGTGTTGCAAGGTCTGCTTCAAATTGCCTTCGATACGAACATTTGTCGAAGATCGGCGCCTAAACCAGAGACGCGTCTTCCTGCAAACGATGCATAATCCCATGCCCTGATCGCAGCATCTCAAAGCATCATCACCTTCGCCGCCCTCGTTCATCTCCAAGGCTAGCGCTGGGACTGTGTGCATTGCACCCGTTCGTATCACTCGTTTATTTATCAAGGTAGGCTATCTACTTCTCATCTGTTTACCTTTCAACTTTGTCCTCAGTTGGCGCATATCGGCCTTGAACTCGACATACCAACCCCTTTTACAGCCACGAGCACGCGCCTTGCCCCGTTCGGAATAGTCTGCTTTGTCCTCCCACTCCGTTTCTCCGCTTCATCGTGTGCATCCTACACTACACGAAGCTGGGTTCCTCGGACACATGTGCAGCTCTGGTTCTCCTCCAGCGCTTGAACGCGCACTTCCCTACCGCTACTGAACTTCATCTCTGGAAGAGTCTGCGAGGGGTAATTTAAGTGTGAATGCCGTACGGAGGGTGTTCGGACTTTGTTGCTCACTGGTGGATTGAAGGAAACCGAGTAAGGTCGACAATCCTCGGCTCCGAATAACTTCAGGTTGAGCTCTCTTCTAGCATATAAAATACGGGCTCTGGAGACGACTTTTTCTCACTGCTTTACCGTTCTCTCAACAGCCCCCAGCGTCTCTTCCTTCATATCCTCTTCTCTCAAACATGTTCGCTCGCCTCTTCGCTGTGGCCTCCCTCGTCGCCTTCGCTGTTGCTACTGATGACCCATGCGATGCCGGCAGCAGCCTCCAGTGCTGCAAGGGTGTTTCCACCGTATTTTAATGTTTTCTTCTTTGTGGAGCAAGATGGCTGACGGATGGCCCGTAGGTCAGCGAGTACAACCCTACTGCCCAGAGTCAAGGTCTCACACCTGTTGTTCCTGACGATGGTACCCTCGTTGGAACAAACTGCAGCTCCCCATTTTTCGGCAGCATCTCTTACTGTCAAGGTGACAAGGAGCCGTTGTGCTGCAAATATGTAAGTGCTTCCACGATAATCTAGGTGGACTCCCTAGTGATGTCGCATATAGAACGGTACCACCAGCACTGGTTGCTATCCTATCGTCATCGTTGACCTTTAAATACACGTATCATAATGTGGGGTTGGAAAGTCGCCCGCTTGATGTCAATACGCTCGTCGTGGATGATCATAATACTTCATCGTAATCACACCCTCTCAGCCTGCTTTTCCAGTAGGCTCATGTGACATCCTTGATTGACTCGACTAGGACAAATCGTATCAGGACGCCATTTGCATCATCCTCAACCCGATTACTTCGATTGCAAGGCCCTCGTATCATCGCCTGGCGCTCTCGTGGATGAGCTCAAAATGTGCGGACCGGATGGAGGTACACCTTGACGATCTGTGACGATCCGCCGCGACCATTGTTTACGTCAAAACGCGTGGTTGGTTTGAGAGCATTGGTAGACGAACTGTTGAGTTTAATTATATTCATGGGTGCCGTGGACATCTCACGGCCGTATTCACAGACCCCCCGTGTGTTGTTGTTAACGCGTCCGGAGACTATATAGCTTCACAAAGAGTACGCCATCTGCAACTGCATTCGAAAAACAGGAAATAATTACAGTAATATCTATATACATCTCCACAGTATCAAAGTTCAGGATTAATGCAGCCCATGCACACCATCAGTCGCACCACGCCCATCATCACTGATATCCGAAGGGGTCACCAACCCACTCTCACACCCACTATCCTCATCCTCCAACCCCTCCAACGCAGTCCCTCAAATCCTCCACCAAATCCTCCGCCTCCTCAATGCCACAGCTCAAACGCACCAACCCCTCAATACCTAACGCCTCACGCTCCGCAGGCGGGATACTCGCATGCGTCATCTGCGCAGGTAACTCCGCAAGACTCTCCACACCACCCAAACTCTCTGCGAGCGCGAACAGCCTCAGCTTCGGCAGGAGCGCCTCTGCACTCCTTGAGCCACCGCGTACGCGGAATGAGACCATCCCGCCGTAGGGTATACCGTGCGCGAGGCTCGATGGCGGCAGTGTGCTGAGGAAGTTCTGTGTATGCGGGCTGAGGGAGGCGCGTGCCAGCGCGTGTAGGGGGTGCGAGGCGAGTCCGGGGTAGATAACATGCTCAACGGCAGGGTGAGACGATAGATAGGAGGCAACACGGAGTGCATTGAGACCGTGCGCTTTCATGCGTACTGCCAGAGTTTTGGCGCCACGTTGGGCGAGCCAGCAGTCAAATGCGCTCGGCACGGCGCCGTGAGCGTTTTGGAGGAAACGGAGCTTTTGAGCGAGGCCGTCGTAATCACGGTCTGGCGTGGATGAGGAGGGAAGGATGGCGGCGCCCATGATGACGTCAGAATGGCCATTGACATATTTGGTGAGGGAGTGGACAACGATGTCTGCACCTTGTAGGAGTGGGGAGGCGTAGAATGGGGAGAGGAAGGTATTGTCAACGAGAACAAGGGGCTTTGATGGAGCCCGACGAGCGAGAGCTACTATACGGGGAATGTCAATTAACCGGAGAGTGGGGTTTGTCGGCGATTCGATCCAAATGAGCTAAAATATTCATGTGAGTCACAGGCTGAGTACGGACACTGAGAAACGAACCTTCGTATTTTCCTTCATAGCACCTAGTATTTCGTCGTCCGTGGTATTCTCCAAATCCACAAAGGTCGACTCGGTACCCATCGTTTCCTTCGCAACCCTTGTGAGATACCTGAACGTACCGCCGTAGACGTCATTCACACTTAGTACGTGTGCATTTGGACCAAGAGACTGCAAGACAGTTGCTGTTGTCGCACTGCCAGAAGCAAACGCGATAGCGTGTCCTGCGCCTGCCTCCAGGCCTACGAGCGTGCGCTCTAAGGCATCGCGATTTGGATTGCCCGACCGGGAATATTCGAAACCCTGTTCACCCGAACATACGTCACTATGCTACACTATATGGAGTAAAACGGACACACGAACCTTGTGTACACCTACTTCATCTTGTCTGTACGTCGTGCTGAGGGATATGGGAGGGATGATGGCACCGGTTGTGGGGTCAGGCTCTGAACCTATATGTATAGCTCGCGTAGAAAAACCCAGCTCAGGCGAGCGCTTCAAGTGCTTGAGGCCATTGGCATGACCGTTGGCGTGGCCGTTGGTTGTGGAGATGGTCATATCGCTGAGGGTATCGACGATGCGGGGTAAAAATTTGTTGTGGGAGATACTCAGATAAAAAGCACGGGGACTTAAGATAGAGGTAAGCGAGACAGCCGAGAAGAATTTATACGTACAAGCAAAGACTGCCGCGTCACATTGCATTTTGAATCTTGTTTTGAATATTACAATTACATGTAATAATTGCGAGCTCGATCGCGCGTCGCTGACAAAGCGTTTGCAATCCCGTTAGTCAGTCTCCATAATCATGGTCTCGACGTAAGTCACCGGTCCGATACTATGCCATGGCTATGTTGTGCAGCAGCGTACAGGGTAGTAATGGCCAAGAACCTCTTAGATTTCGCATGCTTCTCAAAGGAGGGGATCGTCTGGGCCGCCCTCCACGTCCATGGCACCAAATTTCCAATCGCGCGGCGGGCATCATAGTCAAATTGTGATTGCGCTATATCAAGAATTGTTATTATAAAACAACTCTACCGCTACCACTTAAGGTCACCGGTTGTACGTTTATCAGATATGATCTTTCTCAGAGCGCGTGAGTCTGGGTCAGTCTGGACCTGCGGTGAAGTCTAATTGAGGTCTTGTGGTGGGCTTCGCCGGGGGAATCTTCTCAGCACCGCGAAAGGTTTACGTCGACGACTTGGCAATGAGTTAAAAAAGGACACTTCGTTGCAAAACAGAATGTCAATGTACATATACCGCAATCCGCGACTTTTGGTACTTTCCTCCCGTAAATACTGTGGGTAGGTACAGTGATTTATCCTACTACGAACTCATACAATTATCTGCGAGCCCTATTTTGTGAGAAAACGAACAGACAATAATCTATGCATACAAATACATCACGCTAACGAGAAAGATTTCATCTCCATCGTCCCGGGACTCCCCGCTGTCGGCGCCTGTGACTAAAGCAAGTCATTCAGCGTTCTTCCATCAACAGTGATGCAACTACGAACCATGACAGGTTGAGAGACATGCAGCACTCCATCATCGAGATGTTTAAACTCGTCCGTCCGAGATGTCTGGATCTCCGTGTCTTGCGATACTCTAATGTGCAGTCCCGGGCGGTGGACGCTGTGGCGGCCATGACTCCCAGAAGAAATGACAGTATCTGCGTTGCCCTGCACGTAGTATCGCTCGTTCAGGAGCGCGAAGAATGAGTTGACGTATACTTTAAACGGTATCACTCGTCAGCACGACCCTCGGAGAATGCTCGGTTCTTACATTTAGCCACTAGAAAATAAATGGCCAGAAAAATGAAGGTCCCTGACAGTGTTGCGCACTGCCGGAAACGGTCAGATAGCACGGGAATAGACAGTACAACAGGTGGGATCTCACGGTGATGAGCACTATTATTGAACATATACTACCGAAATGTAAGTCGAGGTATGAGGTAAGTTGGAAAGAGGAATACCTCGTTAGACAGCCTGTGCTGATAGTATAACCCATGAGCTTTGTTAAGAATGAATCGGTTCTAAGCAATCCGCGTTAGCATATCATATTTATACGGCGAGCAGATTGTTCCGTACCTAGAAAATCCAGTCCGGGAAGTGGCGAGGAGATAACATAGCGATGATGCAATAACAATGTCGATGAAAGTTGACGTGCCCACAGTCGCATACGTCCACCACGCGATCGCAATCAAATCCGAGAACGTATTGCACTTATATCTGCTCACCATCAACACTTGCGTGAAGTCAGGGAAAGGTCTCACTCACGACGCCACGATAAAAGCTGTCATTGAAGAAAATGATGAGAAAATCACGAGAGCACCAAGGAAGTCTCAAAATCTTACGGATAACGACACCTGAAGATATTTGTTTACGATCGAGTGCAAACATTTGCGGTGACAAACTCACCTCCAAATAGGAGCACGATTACGGTCTGGTGATGAATTAACAAAACGAAATGCCATGGAAGAGATTGCAAACCTACCAATGCTATACCCGGGAGAAGTAATGATCGGCCTTTGCTGACTAGATTCATCGGATTGCATTAGTCGTGGCAAAGCCATGATGGGGAATACATACGCATCCATATGCGATGGACATACAAACTATGGAACAAGTCAGTATCATTTAAGTTTTGCATGTCACAGTCAATCGAACTTACAGATGTACCGAAAAAACAAGGGTAGCCTGTGGATGTCGCCTCTGGATCAGATTTTAGAACTTAAGAGATTCGACTTACGTCGAGTATCGACTGAAACTGCGAGCCCATCGATGTTAGTCAAGGCTGTGCAGGGAGCCGAAGTAGGAACTCACTTTGAAACTCCATACAAGTCCTGTGAGCGCACTGAAGTTTGCGTAGTTGGTCACTAAATAATAATACACAAAGTCGACGATCAACGCCAGGTGTAGAGCATCAAGGATCCTGCGAGGACAGGGCACAGTTGATTGTCGCGTGTTCGGTAATTACAAATGGAAAGAAAACCTACCAAAGCCAGACAACCTGACCTAGCGTCAATAATTGAACTGAAAACAAGGCAGCATAAACGTACAGCCAGCCTATAAAATGTTACCCCCGTGCCCCTATGCGTCTGAAAGTAGATGAAGGCTTGAACATTTGTTAGACCAAAGAGACTGTTACGTCAGATATCACGGTTGTGACGTCGGATAAGTATCGATCAGTACTCGGTTTTGATGGCATAGTGAGCGAGTAATGTACTAACACTGCTGCAAGGATAGCACTAATAAAAAGTGCCCCAAACGTGTTCCCCAGGTTAACTTGTGGGACAGGGAGCGTTGAGGAAGACATTGCTGGTTGAGTCAATCCTGTCGGTGATGGGGTGGATTCACTGTAGGCCTATATATATATCCTAAAACGAGGTTGCATTGCCTTTCTTCTGATGTTGATGGTTGGAGATCCGATGATACGGTGAGGCAGTAGCACGTGTAGGAGTACCCAAATTCGTCGTGCACGTGCAGGCCATCGGAAGCCTCGCGCGCGCTGGCGCTCACAACTTGAATCATATTTGTCGCTTACGACGTTCAGCTCGGCAACGGCGTTACATTGTAGTTCTCTTCGCGTCGGGCTTAGCGCAGCAAGATTAGCGAGATAGGGGAGATTAAATACAGCTTGAGCAATTACATAAGTTAGATCTCTCGTGTATTTTCCTACTGTAATGTAAGCCTCCAGGGACTAGTTATCAACAACATGACGCGTTGTGTTCGGATGGACGCCCTGCAAGTTCCTCGGACGTTATCCCGCGACGATTAAAGCATCTTCAGAGGTATAAATAGATGGTGGGAGAAAGCTTTGGGTCTCTTAGACCCCCGAAAAGTGCTGCATGAGGTGCACGCTCCTATGTAGATGGAAGCTTGAACTTTGGTTAGACCAAAGAGACTGTTCCGTTAGATATGTTACAATTCACACTGTGGAGGTGTTCAGCTTTGACTGCATAATGAGCAAGTAGTTTACTAACACTGCTGCAAGAATAAAAGTTACCCAAACGTATTCCCCAGGTCAACTTGTGGGAAGTGTCCTGCGCCAAGGAAGACGTTGCTGACGGCAGAAGATTCATCAATGATACTATATATCCAATAAGTGGAGCGCACTGCCGTCTGTTCTGTGATGGATGATGGATTTCTAACGCTGGTGGTGGGAGTACGTACATTGTGTAATGGAGTACTTAGTGCGCAATCATGATTCATAATGTTATGTAAGTCCCCGGCTGACCGGCCAACAGCCACTTTCAGTGTCACATCAAAAGAAACTTATTTGGTTCGCTCCGAAGCCACAAACCGATGAGTGGTACAAAATAGAATCTGGTCTAGAAGGCGAACATTGCGGTTCTTGATCGTTCGTGCATACAGACTTGAGATCATTGTGCCCCCGTCGCAGCTTGATTTTGTTATATTGAACGGCCGGCGCCGTCTCGCCGCCCATACACACCTTGAATAGTTGCGGCGACTTCTGCCCAAGGAGGCGAATTGTCGTATCACTACAAATCCATGACAATGATATCAAAGAGGAGCACATGTGTGATGAGCAATTCGTATTTCCATCGCGACAAAAAGCAATATCAATGGGAAGTTTTGATATTCTCACAGGAAAAGAGTCCATCGCCAGGTATTGGTTTAGGCCCATTTAAAGGTCGAGTGCTGATGCGCAGAAAACGGGATACTTACATTGGGTCCACGAAGGGCAAATGATGAGCTGCGAGGCGCGCGGTTTGTATCACGACTCCAGAGACCGTGGGCCTGTATCATTTTTCAAAGTAGAACTTGCTGCATTAGGCCGTCGGAACCTGGCAGTAGCTCCGAATCCTGAATTTCACCTCGCCAGAGATGTTCTTGCCAAGTGTATCCTTGGGCAACGAAATTATATCGAGTCTCAGGCAACGACGCAGTGAGATCAACTCACAGGCTCTCTTCGTCCCAACGCAATGGGGAATGAAATCAGCGCACGACGGCGTCTGTCACGGAATCATTGCATATATCGCTAGCATTGACGAAATTCTGGCCAAAGCTCATCTTAACAAAGACGTGCAAAGACTTGTGAAACCCTCGAGAGCAGACCTGAGCAGACAGGAAGTAGAAACATCCCGAGAATCAATGTCACCGTCAAGATAATCGTATTAACCCGTAAAGCTAAAAATGCATACCTTGGACGCAAAACACCCGATGTTGACTTCGTCTACTTAGTAGTCAGGATAGACCCGCACATGAAGACCGATCACATACAAAATAAACGCATCAGCATATGCAATCTGGTCAACAACGGATTCCATGCTGATGGTTGCAGATTTTGGAAGTGATTCTTTCACAAACTCGTCTCGGAGAAAGTTTTAATCACCCTGGCTAAATGTCTGGCCGAGTGGCTGATGCGACTCTGTGTTGCACAGTGCAATACCTTCATAGCCCATGCACTTCAGGAAAATGTGATGGGTGAATGTGTGAAACAGTACCAAATACGTACGTACGATGTTGACTGGATGGAATTCAACAATACGTGCGAATTCATTAGAACGACTGTCTTGAAGCATTATATTCAGTGTTAGGGTCCGACTACAGGAGACTATAACATCCCTAAGCCTAGGACATCCCCATGTTTTTAAATTTTGATAGGGCCAACAAGAATCGCAAAGTTTTTGGTATTGCAATTTGCTGTCCCAATATCATCACGCGGAAGGAACCGTACGTGCGCATGCCATTATGTAATGCCATTTCTGTCGCACAAACTTGATCAGTGTAGACTGCAAGTACACCTGCCCTCCTTCGTCTCGATCGCGCCCACTGATTCTCCTCAAGTTTCTGCTTTCTGAATCAAGAATATTTTCACATTGTCGAACACGTGGGCAAGATGGCCTCCGCTGGGAGACCGCACACAGTCACTGACTGTCCAAACCTCTTTCATCACTTTTCCGTCTGTGTTCCACTGCTTAGCATTTCCGTCAGTCCTCCCGCACGTAATCGTCTCGCGGCTTACTGTCCAGTGCAAATGTCAGTGCGAATTTCCGTTCGTCCTTGCCTTTCCAATGTCCATGGCTCCTCGACCAGAAGTTCTGTGTCGCAGTCGAATTCCGCCTTGTGCCGCTGCATGTTGAACCACTCGCAATTTGGACATTGCAACTCGGTGCTTTGGAGCTGGTGTCTCAGATTGCACTGGATACGAACGCTTCGAAGTTTCATGGGGGCAAAGCCACACACCACGCTACGCTACTGTGTCTATCCATTGACCGCGCCCGTTGTTGCCAAATGTTGTTGAACGACCCTGACCCGATAGCCCCACTCCTCTTTCGTTTGATGGAGAGCCTGCGGGGAGCGTAAGTTGGTATTCTCATCTATTCCGGTATGCAACTGTTATGCCTACTACGATCCTTTTGCGATCTTATGACAGAAAAGTCGTGATCATTCACTCGACCGTGCTAGCACGAATCATGTTGTTTCGCGGCATCCTCTGGTCATCATCTCCCACCATATCATAAACATTGATACAATGTCATGTTTGGACGCCGACGCCCTGTAAAACATGGGAAGCTAAGCTGAACACACTTGAAGTACGAAACGAGGTACTTACGAATTCCATGACCTAGACTATCCCACACTGATCTGCGTCTCTGGCACACAAAGGTTGTATTTCTCGGCACGCAAAGCTTTCAGTCTTGCCTTTAGCACAGCTGCTAGTCCAGTTCGCAGCCTGGCTTCTATTTGCCAAGATGCCACTCACAAGTCTAAGGAGGGTCACTAATCAATCGGCCTGCGTACTTGAATTATATGTCACAGCTGAATTGGTGATATTGGTTGCTCCAAGGGGAATCGCGAGCTTGCGAGTGTTGAAGGCGTTGAGGCGTGAAGTTAAAGTGGTCACGTGATTGATCTTCCATCCCCAGTGCTTCTTTCACAGCGAAGCACTGGGGCCCGTGCAGTATCGTATAAGAATGCGTTTCTGAAGATTCGCCATGCATCGCGCTTTTTCTCTTCTTAGCGCTCATCTTCCCTCCCATGCGACGCGCGTACGATAATGTTTTCGACCCACCCACCATCCCTTCTTATATCTCAGTGTGTTTTGGTCTGGACTTTGTGTCTCCTTCAGGCCCGAGGTCTGCGCACAGTTCGGTTCGAAACGCGCTCAGAGGTCTGTCTTTTTATTCGGGCCTGATGGCTTGTCTTTTCTTCTCTACACTTCCCCTTCTCGGGATCACTGCCCCGAGCGCGGACCCGGTGCTTTTTCTGCACCGCTCTGGCGGAGCCAGACCTTCCCACGCGCAAAACCGAATTAACAGTACGTCGTCTTCACTGGCGACTAATGATTTGTTTTTTCTCTTACTCTCTTCCCGTCTTCAACTAATAATTCGGTTTCTCTCACTCTTTTCGCGTCGTCAATGATTTCTTCCTGGACTTCACGTGAAGCTTCACATGACATCTTCGTCTCATTTCTCTCGAAGTCCGAGTGATGTTTTCCTCGCTGGTGACTCACTCATCCTACTCACTCATTAAGTTTGAGTTGCCCCACTTCGCAGCTCCTCACATCGTCTCATCACACTTCGCAGCGTAATATACAAAGGTTTGGAACGCTGAGATGAGATCCAACGCGTTGGGCTTGGTGCTCAACAATGGTATTCGGCAAGATGGCATCGGGAGCTTCGCCGAGTCCATGTGCGTTTGAGTTCGAACTACGGACTATCAGTTCTACTGCTACAGTGTTACACAATGCAAATGGAAGAATATAAACTGATTCGACATGAAGTACTATACGGGGTACGAATCATACAATCCGAACTCCCCCACATTGATCACCGTCTCTGCCAGCTAGAGGTTGTACTTCTCGCTGGCTTTGAAATCACTGCTGGTAATTCTATAGCAGAACGCCGCGTACTCACCATGCCTAGCATTTCATCGGTCGACAAACCGACCGGCACTCCGTTTATGAACTCCCCAGTGCGTGTCGATAATAGAACTTAAAATCATAAGTGAGCAACAGATATCATGGAGTAGGACATGACCACAGGATTCAAGACGTATAATATTAATATGGTACACTGAGAAAGGAGTAGATTTGCTAGCTAAGCACCTTGCTCGCTAGGTAGCATTCTCGAGAACGTCCTCAACCTCTGTAGAATCGCGTTAAATATTGCCAAAGTCTTCTGTACTTACTGGGCACCGCGCTGGACACCTGGCGGGTTGGGAAATATGAAAGTGAGATTATTTCAATCATCCTTGACGACTTGAAAAAGGCTTTAGTGGCGAAGTGTAAGGTCAATGATATGTCATACTAGCGTCTACGTCGGTCAAACCATAATCATCCCGCGAGCTTTTGTCAAGGGACCAGGGTTTCTACGATAGTTTCCACAGCTATGAACGGGTCAGGCAAAATTTCCCGCACAAGGTAGAACACGAACCACCCACGAGTTCACCCACGACGTCCTCCTGACGGCGTTGAGGGAGAGCGAGAACAGAGCTGCAAAGAACAGCGAGGAAGGCAAAGACAGTGAGCTGCATAGTGAACAGGGAGAAGCTAAACAGCTGAAGTCGAGGGTAAGAAACGACTGAAGAATACAGTTACCCAGAGGGATGAATTTATAGTCAAGTTTGACTCGCCGATAAGGTGATGTGACAATGGAGGACTAGTACTGCTGAGGAAAACATCAGCACATAATAGTGGCGCTATCAAGGAGTGTGTTCTGCTCGCCACTATGCAGTTAGTCTCAAACTATTCCCCAACTGAATTGTAACGTGGGTGGACGTTGAACAACTTATGCAACTTCAGCACGCCAAACCCAGATGGGCCGCCATCGAAAATACAAAGAACCCAGAAGCGGCCTCAACGGTCGCGAATTGTGGCGGAAAAGCATCTTTGCCGTTGATTTCAGAATGATCACGATATATAGCACCGAACGACTTACGAGGATGTCGATAACGTGCACTAGATAGCCCGGGTTGCGGAAGACGGATATGTGAGTATTTGTAACCTTGATATTATACGGGTCTCATCTAGACAAGTAAATGGTGCAGCCGGAGGTGCACTGGCCAAGTGAAGAATCTTCGTTCAATCATTTACTCTCCCTCATTTCATAGTAGCGCAAGAGAGAGCAGATTATTGAAAGAGGAAAGTTTCAAAATGTCGGCACTGACGCGACGTGGGACGACGACAACCAGCCCCGCCAGTTGAACATTGTAACTTGAGTCTGTGTTTGTCGTACAGACTCGAGTCCATTGTGGCCTCGCTACAGTACCTTCCATAGCTGCGACCACTGCCGTCTCAGGCAGAGAGGCAAATATCAGTGATGACGAATGACTCACGTCTTCAATCCCAAAAGGAGAAACACCGGTGCGATGCCTGGAGATTCTCAAAGAAATGAGGCTCAAATTTCAACGCCGGGACTTGAAGTGGTGCAGGGTTGTGGGGCATTTGTATGTCGACTGCTAAAGCGCAGGAAATCAAATAGATTGCGCAGACGAGGTGGGGATGACGGGCCTGTCAGCGGCGCTGAGCGATAGGGCTCGCGGTTTATATATTTGTCCCAAACGTCGTCGGCCTGAATCAGTGTCGGGCTAGTAAGAGGTCAGGTCCGGGGAAGATCGAACTATACTGACATTATCGCCAAGCTTCTGTTGTTGGCTTGCTGTTTCGATACAAGTCGGATGTCAGAGATGGATAAGAGAGGGCTCATGGCTCAGGTTGCTGGCTCAGGTCTCTAGAATCAGAGTCTAGACGAAGCTGCATGTTACTAGGAAAAAAGTGAGAAAAGGCAGAGATGACTGACCTTGGGCTTTGAGGAGCCAGGCTTTCCATTGCCAGTATATACGCTCTCAATTAGACCCAAGATTCGCTTGATTGAGGAAATACAGCAGTTATTGCACGCTAACTCGATGGCTACCATTCTGCATTAGTGCTGCCTCCAAGCTAGCACCTGGCGACATATTTCTCATCACAGGACCAAGAACGAAGATATTGTCCTTGACGCTCGTGCAGTCTGACGCAGATCGCTAAGTTTAGGAGACCCAACTTTGCGATTAGCTGATGGGACTGGGTCAGGGTGAAGAAAATGGTTGTGCTCGATCATCGATTGGTGGATCGAAGCAATATTATGGTCCATGAAGTTGTTGAAGTTCGTGCGAATTTGTCGGAGACGGCCGTGTATGTTTAATTTTGCTGAGCTACGTTCATGATGAGGTGGAAAACCTTAAGCTCGCTCATACCAGAATGTTGATCTCGCTTGATGCTATTCTGTAGACTCTCGCCCAGAGGCAAGTAATACGCGAGACTATGCGAGAGCAAATGGATCCCGCCCTCCATGATGCATAATGGCCAGTGGAAGGATTGCAGAGTGAGATCATACGCATCGCAACGAGGCTCTCACTTCTTGTAAGTATGACATGGAATACAATTTTTTAGCGTCTCTCGTAACGTTTCACTTCTTCACACTTTCACATTTCACGTTATCATTATCAGCCTCCTTCAAGTTGTACATACTTGACTCTCTGTTCAGATTCTACTCGACTGTCTCTCGTGATCTACTCTAAGTATTCGCCTTCGAACTCGACATTCGACACTGCGCACTTTGCAGCTCTACACCAGCCTGAGTGCCCCGCAGCCTGCTTCGTCTCGATCGATCGGGCCCACCTCGACTTCCTCGCTTTCTGCTTTCAGAATCAAGATTGTTCCATCGGATGCGCTGTCAAGATGGGGGGCCAGGCGAGTGACCGCACCTGGTCGCTAGGACCCGTCGATTCTCATCTTCGATCATTTTCCCTTCCGTGTTCCACCGCGTAATACCCTGACATTCCTCCCGTATGTGCTCAATCGTCTTGCTGTCTTGTGAAAGCGTCAGTGCAGACATCACATCATTACCTTTCAATGGCCTCCCGACAATGGAGTTGATCATGCAAGAAGACAAAGAGTCACTGGTCCACAAATTGGTGCTTTGCACCTCGTATTTTGGATTGCAGTGGAAACATTTTGAAGGGTTCAAAGCTTCACATGTGTGACAGACGCCATAGCTACATATTGCGCCCTATTACGGCTGCTTGAACCCCGTAAGTCTAGGCCTGTTGCGGTCAATTATCGGTGAAGAATCGTGTGTGGCTCACCCGGGGTTCTTTTACTTTCCTTGTTTGGCGGAAACTGCAGAGAGCGCAAGTTTGTATATGTATCGCAGAGATGAAGGCACACTGACAGTCAATTTGCAGGTTCATATTTTCTCTCGATTTTCTACAGGTTTTAAACCGTGATCCCCGTTACGATCCTCTTTTGATCTCTTGCGCAGAATAAACATGATTAGCCACTCGAGTACAACCATGCTAGCTTGTCGAACTGCATCCTCTGGTCATCATTTCCCGCTAACATAGTATCGTTCTCGAACGCCGACATTCTTTAAACCATGGAATGCGCTATCTAATTCCGCTGGATTCCGCCACTACCACTCAACTGTACCAATGCTGTGCCAGAGATCTAAAAGCCATCTCTATTTTTTGCGATGGAGAAATCGACATGTATTTTATGATCAGACACCGCTCAACAAGATCACTGTTCAAACGATGCTATGTGCCTGTCAAGTTGTCTCGTTCTACAGCTAAAACATCATAAGCGCGCTTCTACGATAGATAAAAAGAGGACTGTCGTGGATCAATGGTGAAAGTCGCGAAAGATAGGTACCGCGGAACATCAATGTTTGAGTGCGCTCTGTTAGTTCTACTGCAAGCGGAAGAATCTTGAATTGTGACCGGTTCAATACGTGTAATACAGTACGGAATTTTACTCGATATGCACTTTGCTAGCTAGGTAGCATTCTTGTGTACATTCTCGACCTCTGTAGAATTGCGTTAAAGATAGCCACAGTCTTCTGTGAATGGTACTTGCAGAGTTTGCAGCCAAGATTATCCACATAACTTTGGCGCAGGCTGGAAAAGGCTTCAGTGGCGAACTGTGAACTGAAGGAGATACCATACCAACGAGTTTATCGAGTGAAGCAGTGGGATTGGAAATGATCTTGGGGAGTGCATCTTTCATACCTATGAACAGGTCAGGCCAAACTTTCAGCACAAGGTCTAACACGGACAGGTCTCGAGGGTAGCTAGGGCATCACGGCGCTCAAGCTGAGGAGGAACGGCAAGAACAGAACTACAGAGAATAGCAAGGGACGCGAATACGGCGAACTTCATACTGAACAGGGAGAAGCTAAACAGCTGCAGTCGAGGGTGAAAGATGACTGAAGAACACGTTACCCAGAGGGCTGAATTTATACCCAGATGTGATGACGCACGTTCGACGAGACAGTCAAGTCCGACTCGCCGATAAGCTGATGAGACAATGTAAGACTAGCACTGTTGACGAAAACATCAATGCTAGTAGGCCTCCCACCTCCATCGCAACCACGTACGTGTATTTCAATAGTCAGCCGTGTCGTTTTGGGGCTTGCATCGACGTGCCATGTAGAGTGAACTTAACTGCATATACGTACCGTAATGGATCATCACTGGCGCTGTCTAGTATAATTGGTGGGATGCAAAGGTCCAGTTCCAAGGCTTCGACAGATTGGTCCGCAATGCGATGCGGATATGATCGTGTGCCCAAGGACTTTGATTCGGGCAGAATGGTATAATTGCATTCGTTTTCTCTACTCATCCACCACAGGGCTGGCGGAATTCATGATGCATGATAATGCGAATGCAGGGAACGTAAATTGCTCGCTGCAGGGATCGTGAGAACATTCGCATGCGCTTGTAAACTCCATACAGAAATCATAACGCTATTGAACGAGCACAGTCCACATAGATTGCTCGCAGCGGGATTGAGAGACGTCCTCGCACGGTGATCCTGGGGAGCCAATGTGCGTAGTAAACATGCAGCATGCTTGATAGTTTGCTATTGGTTCAGCTCCAATAATTGCGTGTCGACTTTGTCGAGTGCAGGTGAAAAGATATGCTAGATTTGCTGTCGTCGATAATTAAAGCCGCTACGTCAGTGTGATTGGGATGGTGCCGGCTCACTGCCGGGCTGACCGTCAGCACGCATTCAGTAGCTGTTCTTTGTAAGCAACTTGTGCATATTATTGATGACAATGATAACGCGGGTGAGATGGGGACGGTTCTGGTATGGCAAGTATACTCTGGTATGCCGTTTGGACGCGGGAAGTGTCAATCCCATCGGGGATGTCGTCGTCGATGAATTCTGTGTCAGGCAGCTTTCCTTTCTGAGAGGATTCACGGCACCCACCCGATGTAACTTGTTGACGCCACAACGCATGTAACCATCCGCGTTCCACTGTTACGTTGAACGCCTCCGTCATTTTTCCCGCACGTAGTTGTGTTGCCATCCTGTGAAAGCGTTAGTGCGCACTACAAATCTCCTTCTATCCCTGCCTTTAGGCCGATAGTAGCCATAAAAGATTGGAGATATACGTTGACGTCACTGCCCAACTATCGACCACATTCGGAAGGCAGTGTGAGGCTCTCAGCCCTGCCTTTAGCGCAGCTGCCCGATTCACACCCTCCATTCTATTTTCCAAGATGTTCACAAGGTCAGTCACTAATCAATAGGCCTCTGGACTCGAAATACGTCACAGCTGAGGTGGTGATAGGTTGGGACGTGATCTAAGTGAGGAACGCATTGCGCTTGATGCTCAACAATTTTACTTGGCAAGATGGCGTTGCAAACCTTCGTGGGGATAGCGCGGAAAGAAAAGATACTACAGCTGGTGGCACAGGACATGCGGACAGTGTTTGGGTTCGCTCTGTTAGTTTTCCTCGGGCTGCTACAGTATTACACTGCCCGTGACCCCGGACTCTGGGAGTCCACCTGACACCCTCTTCCCCTTGGCCTGTTCCTCACACCGCTAGCCGCTCAACCCAAACCCTGCACTGCCCGAACTAATAAGATATACACAGGAGGGCATTTTAATGACAGTAATTGGTTGAGGATCATGCAAATGGTGTCCTGATGATTTGTCTTAATCAAGGATCTCAAATGAACGCACTAGAAAAGCAGACAGAGAAACGTTGTGTAATTATGATGAAGTAATATGATCCTACGACAAGGGTATTGACATCATACGACCGACTTTCCAACCCCATATTATCACCGTCCACCAAGGGCATGCTGGATATCTAAATGTTGGTGTTGACAGGAGTGCAGCCAATGCCAATGTTAAAAGACCGTTCTAAAGCGTGATCATTACGAGGGAGCCACATAGACCGTCGTGGAATCACTTACATTTATGTTGGTGCTGCAGCACAAAGGCTCCTGCTGAGCCTCACAGCCAGAGTTGAGGCCAACGATAGCGGCAGGACTGCAGTCAATGCCAACGATGTCAACAAAATCAGTAACAATGGCATGAGACTCAAAATTGCGGCGAGCTAGTTGTAGTCGCCAACCTACGGGCCATTCGTCAGCAATCTTGCTCCACTACGAAAGATACATTCACATACGGAAAGGGAACTCTCGCAGCACTGAATGTTGCGGGTGTTGCACTGGCCACTGGTTGCAACGGCGAAGGTGACAAGGGAGGCAACAGCGAAGAGGCGAGCATACATTTTTGAGAGAAGAGAGGACGAAGTGGGTCGTTTGAGAGGTGCTAGAGTTGAAATGGTTTCCAATGGCAAGTGCGAATGTCTCAGACAGGAGAAGGGTTGTTGTTTGTGGAGTCCAAGACTTGCAGCAGAACTTATTTACCTGCGCTCCGGGTGAGGATCAGCCTATTTCACGTGACGCCCGCCATGAATGAATGTGCTTACCGGACTGTCAACGGCAGATGCGATCAAGGAATGTATGACCATGCCATTAGTGCTCAAGTTGTGAACGTACAGTTGACCTTTTCAAAAATATAGAAACCTTGGTTAGCCAGAGGCTAGCTATAATTTGCTTTCCCCGTAGCATGTGTGTCTGGCACGGGGCTGCGGTTTGAATCGAAATGGGCAACTTCGCCGATCATTCAAACACGCAAAAGTCGTGCCCGGGGAAGGCAGTCTGTAATTTTCAGTATGTATATGAATGCTCGGCAGGTTGTACTGGCTGGTGTGAGACTGGTTAGTGGTGCGGCATGTCATTGGTTGATCAGATGGGTGGATATCGATGGTACAGTTAGATTGGTATATATAAGTACGTGCCAGGGAAAGTGGGTCATACCTCACGTTCGTCGCTGTAAGCGATCCAGCGTGCCTGGTTGATCCAGGTTGGAGACTTGAGCGGTGTTGTTCGATTATATTGACTCTGTGGGGTAGAGGTGGGGAGGAGCGATGATAGTGCACTAGTGATAATCACCTCTTTCCAGCACAGGTTCGTTCCTCAAGCGCTCATAAGCCACGCCTTCAAAACCAAATGCCATCGACGCACAGTTTTTGGTGACATTGCATGTAGTCTCTCTCGTGCACTTCTATGCCAAGCATAATCACAGAAACTTAGCTCTTCGGCTGTTCCCGGACTTGTTACATCATGCAAGTGGAAGGAACTCGGAAGACTTTTAACACAAAGTACTACATGACGTATGAATCATACGATCTGAACTCTTCTGCTAGCTAGAAGTTTTCACTTCTTGTCAGCTTTGAGACCACTACATGTAATTCTCTAGTAAAAAACGCGTACTCACCATGCCGTGCATTTTATCGGTGGGTAACTGGCCGCACCACTCTAGCTAGTTCGTCCCCGGCGCGTTTTGATAATAGAACTTAGGGTCACTTAGGATCATAAGTGAGCAACAATATCATGGGGCAGACGTAACTACACATGACCACAGGGTTCAAAACGCGTAAAATAGTTCATCCAGAAGCGAATAGATTTATAGACTAAATACTTTGCTAGCCAGGCAGCATTCTTGACAACATTCTCAACCTCTGTAAAATTGCGTTAAAGATAGCCAAAGTTTTCTGTGAATGACACTTACTTGCAGATGCTAGGCATTAATGTCGTTACGTTCACAGCACACCGTCAAGAACACCACCCACAAGTCCGTCGACGCCTTGAAAAGGCTTCAGTGACGAACTGCGAACTCAAGGAAATACCATACCATCGAGTAATCCATTTAAACCATCATCCTGCTGCCGTTGAACAAGGACTCCATCCAAGATAGTATCCACAGCTATGAATGGGTCAGACCAAATTTTCCGCACAAGGTTGAATACGAACTGCCCAAGAGGTTACCCACAACGTCCGCTTGACGGCGACGAGGGGGATGAGCGAGAACAGAACTACAGAGAAGAGCGAGGGAGGCTAAGACAGCGAGCTGCATAGTGATCGGGGAGAAGTTAAACAGTTGAAGTCGAGGGTAAAGAATGACTGAAGAATACACTTACCCAGAGGACTGAATTTATACCCAACTCTGTTCGCCTTCATGAAGATTGCGTAAAACAGCGTGTTCGGACATGAGTCTTGTTGTTATGTTGGGAACGAACGAGGCTCCGATTCGGAACAGAACACCACAAAAGTTCATGCGCTTTTAAAACAAGTCATGCGACATTGCAGCTTGAGCGTTGATCACTGAGCAGCACGCCATACCTCAATGCCGTCGAAAATTCAAAGCAGCCTAAACGAGGCTACGAATCGTGATGGAAAGGTGTCTTTGCCATTGTTTTAGGAACGTAAGAGACTGAGAGTCCAAGAATTTTCATCTCGGCCCCCTGCTGCTGATGGGATCATCCGAATGGTTTCCTGATAATGAGTCACTGATCATTTGTACTTGTAGATTTTTACCGAGCGAATCACCAGGACAACGAGAAGGTGCTTTATGGGTACGTAACACTAGTAAGCCCGGGTTGAAGAAGACGCACGTATGGGTGTTCTTATAACTTTGACAGGCTACATGGCCTAGAAAAATAAATCTATTGCACGAGGGTGAGCAAATTATTGAAAGAAGCAAAGTTTCAGCAAATTTCCTCACAACTGACGCGACGCGGGACGACGACAACTGAAGTAAGCATCCGCAGCAGTTCACTTCATAAGAAATGTTGTCGTTGTGTCTGTGTTGGTCATCCTTGCACACAGACTTGAGACCGTCGTGACCCCTCTGCAGCTTGACCTTGCATAGCCGCCCGCCTCAGATTCGGAGGTGCCATGCCGTGTCTCTGCAGATCTGAGTCAAAGAGAGAGAATGATTTGCGATGACGACTGACTTGTTCATTATGACAAGGCGTAACACCGGTGGGATGGCTAGGGATTCTCACAGCTCAATTCGCCGAGGCCGGAGCGGAGCGGGTTGTGGAGTGCTAAAGCGCACGTTGCGCAGACAAAGTAAGGACTTGTGACGGGCCTGTTAGAGGAGCGATGGGGTTGGTTTCATTTCCCAAGAAGTCATCGCCTAGCAAGAGCTCAAGAAAGATGGAACTTTACTGACATATATAGCCAAGCTTCTGTTGTTGGTCTGCCCTTTCGACACGAGACGGATGTCAGAATCCTGACGAGATAGATGAAATAGGGATGATCCAGGTTGTTCATGACTGAATAGCGCACGTCTATAGATGGAGCTGCATGTCCCTGGAAGTGAAGTGAGATGCAATGGAACAACTAGTTCGTCCATGTCTGAGTCGTGTGCCAGATTCCGGGCTACCGTACAGTTGATCCCAAGTTGATGGTATTTCAAGCTGTAGACTCTCGCCCAAAGGTGAGCATAAACCAATATACAAGAGCAAGCACCCGCCCTCCTGCGCTGTTACTAGTAAGTAACTCCATCATCCGCCGGTGAAGGTACGAATTTAATATGGTCGTGGAAGCAATCGTCGATGCTGCTAGCGCTGACTCTTCAAGTTGTGTGTGCGAATTTGTCGTTTTATATTATTGCGTTACGTTGATGAGGCGAACAACAAGCTCGCCCATGTCTTGGCTGCTGACCGTACGGTTGATCTAAGCTCACCTCGACCTCCCTTCGTTCTGCTTCCAAAATCGAGATTGTTACATTCGGACGCGCTGTCAAGATAGCCTGCGCTGGGGGAGCAGGTGAGTGACTGCACCCGGTCGCTATAATTCGTCCAAACTCATCTTCGATCATTTTTCTTCCCGCGTTCCGCCACTGAACGCCTCTGTCATGAAAGTGTCAGTTCATATATTCTTCCATCCTTGCCTTTCCATGGCCTCCCGACAAGAAGTTCCACTTGCGCATTTTGCCGCCGCGTGAACCACTCATGATGTGGACGTGATCATAAGTAGAGTCATTGGTTCACAAATCGGTGCTTTGGAGCTCGCAGGTGAAACCTCCAAAGCTTCATGTGGGGCAGGCGCCATAGCCACATGTCGCGCTGCGTTGAACACTGTAAGACTACGCCTGCTGCGGTCAGACATCGGCGAACAGTTGAGTGTTGTTCACCCGATGTCCTCTTGCTTTCCTCGTCTGGCAGGAAACTGCAAGTTTGTATTCATATCGCAGGCATGAGGCGGCGCTAACTAGTCATCGCAGGTTCATATTTTCTCTCGATTTTCTATAGATTTAAACCCGTGATGTCCGTTACGATCTTCTTTGCGCAAAACGGACGTGATCAGTCACTCGAATCCACCCTTGTTGTACCGCATACTCTGGTCACCATTTCCCGGCATTCTCGAACGCCAACACCTTGTAAAGGGCTTGGATCCTGGTTGAGGGGCGTCTCGCATCCAATACTAGTGGCTACCATCGGGCTACAACGAAACAAGATGCCTTCGCAAACTCATCATGGTCTTCCACTTCTACAACCACAGAATTGGAAGACAATAGTAAGCTTCCAAAGGCAATCCTTGATACTTCTGCAAACCACGTCGTTCTACTGGCATGGCAGAATCCGCACTACTTTATTACTTATTCTTGTTCACGACCATGGATTTTCCTAAAACAACCATTGGTCAGGGACACCTGGTTGGCCGTGAAGGACCTCTGCCTCGCATGACCCCTGGGCTCAACGACGTGCGTCTCAGTTCTGATACTGACGTCCCTCTGTCTGCTGCGAGCGTGTCGCCAAAATCAACGAACGACGCGCATACGAGAACGTCTGGGTGTTGGCTTCTTTACCGGATTCCGCCACTATGACTCGTCTGTACGAATGTTGGGCCAGAGAGTACGGAGGGTTGCATGCCTTGGGGGACAGTCTGGGGTCATACTAATACTACGAGACCTGAAAGCGACTTCTCTGCTTTTGCGTTGGAAAAATGGATATATATTGTATAATTACACCCCGTCTCACAAGATGACCATTCAAACGATGGTACGTCCCTGTCAAGTTGCCTCGTTGTACAGCTAAAACATCATAAACGCCCTTCTGAAATTGCAGATAAACCTTCATGGTCGTGCCGAACGAATTCATTCCATCCCGAAGGCCGCGCAAAGCTGCCTTAAATTTAGCGCATCTGCTATGCCGACTTCGCAGCTTTTCATTTTCAAAAATGCCACTCGCAAGGTCAGTCACGAATCGATGCTAGCCCTGCTTACTTGAAATAAATCACAGGTAGTGATAGTTTGGGACGCTTAGAGAAGATCCAAGTGAGGAACGCATTGCGCTTGGTGCTCAGCAATAGTACTTGGTGTGATATATTGAAATGGTGTCACGGAGTCGGCACGAAAGGAAGAGAGACTGCCACTGGTGGCGCGGAACATAAACACCTGGGTTCGCCCTTCCAGTCCTGCTGCAAGCGGAAGAACCTAAACTAATTCAACACGAGGTCTAGACGAGGTACGAACAATACGATACGATCTGAAATCTTCTACACCGATCTCTGGCTCTGCCAGCTAGAGGTACTATTTCTCGCCGGCTTTGAGACCACTGCGGGTGACATGCATTTCTCCAGCAAAAGACTGCATGCTCATCATGCCTTGCATTTTATCAGTCGGAATGACAGTGAGCATCAAATGACTGACACTGCTCCCAAGTCGTTTCTCAACTCCCCAGTGCACCGATAATACACTTTGCAGAAACGCACAAATGAGCTTGCCAACAGATATCGTAAATATCCATCACCACACGGTTCAAAACGCGTAATATAGTTCATTCAAAAGCGAATAGATATATGCACTGGCTAAGGACTTTGTTACGTAGCAATCTTGAGGATATTCTCAATCTCTGTAGAATTGCGTTAGTGATAACCAAAGTCTTCTGTGAATGGCACTTGCAGGTGCTAGGCATTAACGTCGTCACTGCTGGCTGATAACCTTGATAGTATCATTATTCCCAACATCTTTGACAACTTGAAAGGGCTTCAAGTAGCGGACTGTGAGCTCAGGGAAACGCTATACCAGCGACTACGTTGATCAAATCATCCTCGTCCCGCGTGCTTTGACTAATGACAGAGATATATCCAGTTATTCAAGACATTGTCCACATCTATGAACGGGTCAGGGCAAACTTTCCGCACAAGGTCTAACACGAACCAGCCACGACGTTAACCAGAGATCCATCGTCACGGCGCTGAAGAGGGCTAGCAAGAACGGAGCTGCAGAGAACAGCGAGGGAGGCGAAAACAGCGAGCTGCATACTGAACAGGGAGAAGCTAAATAGTTGAAGTCGAGGGTAAAGAACGACTGAAGATTACAGTTGACCAGAGGACTGAATTTATACCCAGATGCTGATGACGCACATTCGACGAAACAGTCAAGTCCGACTCGGTCGTAGCTGATGACAAGGAAGACGACTCACATCCCCAGTTAGTTTCCCTGACTGGGTTGTAACATGAACAGACGCTATAAGTTATTCAACTTGACCATTGGTCGCTGCACGGCACCGATGGGCTGCCATCCGAAAATTCGATTATGGAAAGCCAAAAAAAAAAACCCTGTAAGCAGGCCGCGGATCTGACGGAAAGGCATCTTTCCTGTTGATTTCCAAATGATCACAATACTACCAACAAATGTAAGTGAAACTGATAGTATGGCATGAAGCCGGTAATGTACGTACTAATAATTGTTCTCCAGTGGTCGATAACCTGTCAGCATCTGCTTCTTGCCGTAGGTCATGCGGTGAGTTTAGAAAGAAGTAGCATGAAAGGTCCAAGAATTACCATCTCAGCATCTTCTATGCCACGGCGGTCTGTGCAACTAACGATAGGCCCTTATCGAAGAAAGCGATGCGCTCGGTGTAGTGAGTGTTATGGACTCCCTGCCGCGGACGAGATGCAGATTGGCATTTCTTGCTGAGGGTAGAGTGGATCAGTCAGGTTGGCTTATGGATTTGAGATGCTTTAACCGCAAGTAGCACTTGTAAGTCTGGATTGCGGAAGATAGAAATATGGGTATTTGTGCCATATGGCTTTCATCTAGCCAGGTAGGTGGTAGAGTGCGCAGGAGGTGCACTGTTGAAATAAGGAAAGTTCCAGCAATATCCTCACGACTAACGCGACGTGGGACGACGACAACCAAAGTAAAATCTACAGCAGCTCAAGAAATTTCGCCCTACATCAGTTAGTTGCGCATTGTGTCTGTATTGGTCGTCCTTGTACAGACTTCAGACCGTCATGGCCCTGCTGCAGGCTTCACTCAGCTTTAACTGCGTGGTAAGGAAATAATTTACTAACACTGCTGCAAGGGTGACCCCAATAAAGACGTGTTCCCTAGGTCAATCGTGGGAAGAGGTCCTACGTCGAGGGAGAGATTGCTGACTGAGTCAATCTTGTCTGAATTCACATCCCACAGTGAGGGAGCGCATTGCGGTCTGTTCTGTGACGTATTACGGTTCGTGATGCTAACGATGCGAATAGCATCTTGTTGATATCTATCAGATGCTTCCCGCAGCGAGTGTTGTTTGACCTGTGACAAAACCGGCAAAACGTCCAGCTGAGAGGCAGCCCCTTCAAGTTCTACCATCAATAAATTGCATCGCGACTCTCCTTATAATGAGCGCGGCAAAAGGCATCCTCGCTGTCCACCTTTGTGAATCGTTTCCAGTCTATCATTGACCAACCCGTGCTTCGCGCGTCCTGTACTGCGACATCGCGTCCGATGAGGCATTCAGCGGAGTACGAAGCTGGATGAAGCGGTGATTGATATCGTATTGATATCGATGTTCTTGATCCCAGATCGTTTGGGTGTGCATGTACCAAAATCTCTGAGTTCGTTGGACTTTGTTCGTATTTAGTTTGAACTTTGTAATCCACGAGCGCTTATACTGTTGCTGGTAGGCGGGCCTTGCCCGTTTGCTGCCCGCAATACCTTAGCACCCACTTGTTCTTGTTCAAACGTTCACGACCATGGGTTTGTCGCAAAGCAAGCACTGCCTCATGGACATCCGGCTTTACTTGACGGACCTCTTCCTCTCACGGCCTCTAGGCTCAACGACATGCGTCTCAGTTCTGATGCTGGCGTCCCTCTATCTCCTGAAAGAGTATCGCCAAAGACTACGAACGACACGCATACGAGGGCCTGAGAGCCCAAGTTGGGTGTTTGGATTCGCCAAGACTTTACTAGATTCCACCGCTGCGACTGAACTGTACGAATGTTGGTCCAAAGAGTACGGATCAGTGTACAAGGTCCCATACGTCCTGGGAGAGTCCAGGGTCATACTATGGGATCCGAAAGCGGTTTCTCATTTCTTTGCGAGAGACACATGGTTGTATCATCAAACACCATTCCACAAAATCGCCCTTCGAACGACGGTATGTCCCCTTGTTCCTTCGTACAGCTATAAGGTATCATAAGTGCGCTTCTGCGACTACAGATGGGAAGAGGAGTATTATGGGCGGATGGTGAAAGTCACAAAAGGTTGGTGTTAGTGCCGAACTAAACCTATCTTATTCTGTCACATTTAGGCAACGCAAAACTCTCAACCCTGCCTTTAGTGCAGCTGCCATTCGCAGTTTGACTTATGTTTTCCAAGATGCCGCTTACAAGGTCAGTCACTAATCGGTCGCCCTGTACTGCACTCGAAATAGGTCACAGGCAGTGACCGCTTGGGACGCTGAGATAGGATCGAACCAAGGAACTCATTGCGCTATAATTGATGCTCAACAATGGTGCTTGTTCTCTCTCCAAATTTTCCTATCTGTGAACTCAGACATGTATGATGCAGGATGAATCATATATCGTATGTATATTTATTAGTCTTCACTATTGCTGTCTGATCCAACACCTGCCACGTAGACTCGACAGTGTGGGCATAGCCGTCCTGTCCCATGACTTTGGCGCACTCGACGGAAAAGACTCTGACGTTGCGCAGGTCCTGAATGCATTCGGTTCATCCACCGGCGTTTCCCACAACCTGGTCATCCTGGCACAGAATTTTCCATCTATCCTAAAGTTACCCATACCGCGCACACAATTCTCCCAAAAGTTTAACCTGATCATTGGCAAAATATGCCAGGATATGCTGTCGCGGACTCGCAAGGAAAAGGAGACTGGGGGCACTGAACAGGGTGATAAGTCATGTTTGGGTTTCCTTTGTGAGTCCTGCCCGTCTTTTCCCCAGTTGCACACTACAACTGTTTGCAGTGAAAGCGGAGGAATCTGGTGACAGCGCAGGACTGACTTCACAAGAAGTAGTAGACGAGGTATACCAATCATAGAACTTTCCTGAACTATTTGACGCTGATCTTCCTCTCCGCTAGGCAAAGGTGCTACTTCTCGCCGGCTTTGAGACAACTGCAGGTAATGTGTATTTTTCTAATAAAAGAACTGCATATTCACCATTCCTTGCATTCTATCAGTCAGCATGACAGTAAGTGTCGAACCGTTCACTGCTCTTTATTAAATTTCTCAACTCCGCAGTGGGCCTTGATAGAAATTGCGAGGAACCCAGACGTCCAGACTGAGCTTCGTGACGAGTGTCTGAAGTTCGGGCCATCCCCCTCATATGACGACCTCACGAATAAGCTCCCGTACCTGGACGCTGTAGTTCATGAAATCCTCCGCCTCCATGGACCAGTCAAGGAAATCCCGCGAATGGTGCGTATCCGACGCAATTTCAACACACGCCGCTCGAACTGACTCTGACAGGCTATGGAAGAAGACGTGATCCCGCTCAGCGAGCCCGTGCGTACGACTGCCGGTAACTATACTGATAGCATATGCATCCCGAAGGGGACAGTGATCGTGGTTCCATTGGCTGCACTCAATTGCTCAGTTAGCATGTGGGGCCCTGACGCAAAGGCATTCCAACCTTCCCGGTGGCTCAGGGAGGAGGATGCGGGCATGTACAAGGCCAGAGACGCCCTGCATGGCTATCGTCATTTGATGACATTCGGCGACGGCGCGCGGATGTGCCTAGGGAGACTATTTGCGTTGACAGAGTTCAAGGTACGGTGCTGCGCAGCGCAGGAGTATCGGTTCCGACTCATTGACTGATTTTGGTCTCATTCTAGGCTGTGCTAGTTCGTCCTTGTGCGAAACTTCGTGTTCGAAATGGCAGATGGCCCTGGGGTGAAGATCGTGGCGAGTATGGGGACTTTGCCGAGACCGAGTGTGGTTGGGAGTGCTGAGGGTGGATGCAGTGTGCCTCTCCGGGTGCGCCGCTTCGAGCTTTAATTGTGGCCGCTATGTAATACCACCGTTAAAATGCATGTCGAGACTAGTGCTCTGGAGAGCATTATTCAAACTATTTCCAATTCCCGTAGGAATGCGGAAATGAGACGATGTTACAGGGCTTTACCCTTTACAATGCAACGGCGTGATGGTCGGACGATGTGAATATAACTGAGTACGAGATAGGCCGTACAAGTGTCTGGGGTATTCAGCGGTCAAACATGAACCGAACAGATGAGGAAGAAACTTTGTCAGTGAGCAAATGATCTCATGACTAACGCAACGTGGAAGGACGACGACTAAAGTAAAATCCGCAACACCTACACCCTGTCATTCAAGGAACAAGATTGTGGAGGTGTTTTGGATATGTTTTCCCCTGTGTTATACTTGCTGGGGTTTGTAGCATGTACTAGGACAAAATAGACAAAACAGTATTTTATTGTGTCCTGCGATATGTACCTAGCATAACCTAATACTTCTATAGTAGATAGGTGGTCGATGGACGGACTGGTAAAACTGGCTTTGAATTTGGAGGATAGCTTAAATAGAACCCAATCACGCATTTCATGCATCGTGCGAAACCTTTAAGCATCAAGCTACAGGCGTCAGAGAACTAAACATTTTTTGCATAAAGGTTTGTGTCTTATCACAAACTTTTAACCTTCAGTCTGATACTATCGCCTGTAATACGATACATATGACTACTGTTTTCCTCCTACTAATGCTGCGCCATCGACGTGCACCTGCACAGATTGCCAACCGTCAGCAGCAGCAGTGTGTTGACATGCACCATTGAAGTGTATTATCACACTCACCCGCACCCGCACAATACACCACGTGTGGAGAACAAGTTGCTGACACGAAAACGGACAGCGCATACGTGATGAATGGTCTCCCTGGCGCGATCGTGCTGGAACAAAGAGAAGAGTGGAGGAGATATGGTCAGGTAGGCTTGCTAGTCATTAAAGGTCCAAGTGTGAGATTCTTACATGATTGACCAAGTTTAATCCTGTAAATCTGGATAAGGTGTTTCAACGCAAAATGAAAACTTATCAGGCGGAGTGTGCGCTCCCCAGTGCGGCACCAGGTCAAGTGAAGAAAACTGTCCGCTCCAACTTTCTTGTGAAATTATCCTGCGTGGATTCATGAGACTGAACAGGGCATTTCACAGATATTCTCTACGTGCGCTTGTCACGTTGGCTGGCCCTACTTGTTTTGTACAATGAATGTACCAAATGTGACAAAGAGGCATACCGTTTAAACTAGGACATCACAGAAGCAAGAGATCACAAGATAGCGTGTTCAAGGGTGTCCGGAGGTAAGTAGGCTCGTGACCAGCCTGGCGCATATTACTTACCACAGATGCTCGAAAATCCTCAACATTAAAAAGCCCACGTATTGCGCACATAGGCATACTGGTTACGAGTCTAGCCCGGAGGGCTGTTGCTATAATATGCACTCACATTCAGCAGCACCGCAGCAGTGATCGCAGTAGTTGCCGCAGCAGTGGCGCAGCATTTTCACGATAGGGACACACAGAGGTCTGACTACAAAGTCATTTGCAAAACGCTGTACTTATTTTTGTTCGTGACCATGGGTTTGTCGCAAAGCAGGCACTGCTCCAAGGACAGGTGGCTTTCTTTGGCGAACTTCTTCCTCTCATGGCCCCTGGGCTCAACGACATGTGCCTCAGTTCTGATGCTAGCGTCCCTCTATGTCCTGAAAGAGTATCGCCAAATGTTACGAACGACACGCATACGAGGGCCTAAGAGTCCAAGTTGGGTGTTTGGATTCGCCAAGATTTTGGTAGATTCCACCGCTGCGACTGAACTGTACGAATGTTGGTCCAAAGAGTACGGATCAGTGTACAAGGTCCCATACGTCATGGGAGAGTCCAGGGTCATACTATGGGATCCGAAAGCGGTTTCTCATTTCTTTGCGAAAGACACTTGGTCGTATCATAAAACCCCGTTCCAGAAGATCGCCCTTCGAACGACGGTATGTCCCCTTGTTCCCTCATACAGCTACAAGGTATCATAAGCGTACTTCTACGACTAACAGATAGGAAGAGGAGTGTTGTGGGCGGATGGCGAAAGTCACAAAAGGTCGGTGGTATGACCTTCAGGTCGTGCCGAACTAAACCCATCTCATTCTCTCACATCCAGGCAACGCAAGATTCTCAACCCTGCCTTTAGCGCGGCTGCCATTCGCAGTTTGACTTATATTTTCCAAGATGCCGCTTACAAGGTCAGTCACTAATCGGTCGCCCTGCACTGCGCTCAAAATAGGTCACAGGCAGTGACCGCTTGGGATGCTGAGATAGGATCGAACCAAGGAACTCGTTGCGCTGTAATTGATGCTAAGCAATGGTACTTATTTTCTCACCCAAAATTTCCTATCTGTGAACTCAGACATGTATTATTCAGGATGAATCATGTCTCGTATGTATACCCATCACTCTCCGCCGTTGCTATCTGATCCAACACCCACCATGTAGACTCGACGGTGTGGGCATAGCCGTCCTGTCCCATGACTTTGGCGCACTCGACGGAAAAGACTCTGACGTTGCGCAGGTCCTGAATGCATTCGGTTCATCCACCGGCGTTTCCCACAACCTGGTCATCCTGGCACAGAATTTTCCATCCATCCTAAAGTTACCTATACCGCGCACACAATTCTCCCAAAAGTTTAATCTGATCATTGGCAAAATATGCCAGGATATGCTGTCGCGGACTCGCAAGGAAAAAGAGACTGGGGGCACTGAACAGGGGGATAAGTCATGTTTGGGTTTCCTCTGTGAGTCCTACTCGTATTTTCCCCAGCTGCACACGCTACAACTGTTTGCAGTGAAAGCGGAGGAATCTGGTGATAGCGCAGGGCTAACTTCACAAGAAGTAGTAGACGAGGTATACCAATCATAGAACTCTCCTGAATTATGTGATGCTGATCTTCGTCTCCGCCAGGCAAAGGTGATACTTCTCGCCGGCTTTGAGACAACTTCAGGTAACGTGCGTTTCTCTAGCAAAAGAACCGCGTATTCACCATTCCTTGCATTCTATCAGTCAGCATGACAGTAAGTGTCGAACCGTCCACTGCTGTTAATTCAATTTCTCAACTCCGCAGTGGGCCTTGATAGAAATTGCGAGGAACCCAGACGTCCAGACTGAGCTTCGTGACGAGTGTCTAAAGTTCGGGCCATCCCCCTCATATGACGACCTCACGAATAAGCTCCCGTACCTGGACGCTGTGGTTCATGAAGTTCTCCGTCTGCACGCCCCAGTCAAGGAAATTCCACGAATGGTGCGTATCCGACAGGATTTCAACATACGCCACTCGAACTGACTGCGACAGGCTATGGAAGAAGACGTGATCCCGCTCAGCGAGCCCGTGCGTACGACTTCCGGTAACTACACTGATAGCATATGCATCCCGAAGGGGACAGTGATCGTTGTCCCACTGGCTGCACTCAATTGCTCAGTTAGCATGTGGGGCCCTGACGCAAAGGCATTCCAACCTTCCCGGTGGCTCATGGAGGACGCGGGCATGCACAAGTCCAGAGAAATCCTGCATGGCTATCGTCATCTGATGACATTCGGCGACGGCGCGCGGATGTGCCTAGGGAGACTATTTGCGTTGACAGAGTTCAAGGTATGGTGTTGCGCAGGAGTATTAGTTCCGACTCGTTGACTGATTTTGGTCTCGTTCTAGGCTGTGCTGTTCGTCCTTGTGCGAAACTTCGTGTTCGAAATGGCAGATGGCCCTGGGGCGAAGATCGTGGAGAGTATGGGGCCCTTGCCGAGACCGAGTGTGGTTGGAAGTGCTGAGGCTGGATGTAGTGTGCCTCTCCGGGTGCGCCGCTTTGAGGTTTGATTTCAGTCACAAATAGATATGTAATACCACTGTAAGTTAGCGACGACGTGCGTAGCTAGAGGCGATGCGAGTGCGAAGGGGGTAGATAGACCGCTGAAGGAATGATAATGGTTAGAATTAGCTTCAAAGGAGGGACGACGGATACGAGAGCGATCGTGAATCGATAAGAAAGAGTGAGCGCGTTATAACGATGATAAGAAAAGATAAGGAAAACGAGTTCTTCGGGACGTTCTTCTGGCGAAATCTACTGTTCTATTCTGCTGATCATTAGGAATGTACATGGGCTACTTATACTGTAGGATGAAGAAGGGTCGTCCTGGAATAGTTAAAGGCAAGGGCTCGGTGTACGGTCGGTGAAAGCGGTAGCTGAAGGGAATGGCGTTGTATTTGATAGAGTAGCGAGAGATGATATAAAAGTTGTTGACAGAGTGAAGACGGCGGTGTTACGAATGGAGGAATAGTGACGAAAGGAAGGGTTTAGCGAGTGATAAGAATTGAAAGGGTAGGTACTAATAAAAGGGGTCGGGTATCGTGCTTGACAAACGGTCCAGGCGTTGACGTGGTTGTCGGTGAAAGGAGTATCGACATATTCCGGCGGTAAACGTTTGGTAATCCTTGCACTCCGTTTTGCTGACTTGGCCTCTTCGCGCAACATGATGCTTGACTGGGAATCCGATGACTGCTGTACTTTACAGTCTGAAACCTGATTAACGATTGTGGGGATGGACAGTAAGCCACAACTCGATCAATGATGCACAGTAGGGGGCGAGGGGAATGTCACATTATCGATGGCGGAGGTAATGGCTATTGATCAGTGCACATCCTGTACTCGCAGGCGCACTGCTTAGTAGTACTTACTAGGCGCCTGTCTCGATTCCCGTCACGGTCCGCGTTCAGCACGTCTAATGATAGATACAGTATGTACCAGCATTCATTCCGGTGGGACGTGGGACGCCAGAAAGTGCGCCTAACTGTAGCCCAAAAAAGAAGAATGATGGAAGACATGACGTTGGCAGCACGGTCGTGCAAAAGTGCGCTCGCGTTCGTCGGGGAAGACATTGCTTGTCACAAGCACGTAGTTCGAGGTGTTTACTGCTGGCTTTGGTTTCGTGCCCACCCACGCTGCAACTAGCACTGTGCCATGCTGATATGTTTTTCCCTGTGCGAAACCCGCATTTTTGGATGCCAGTGGCGGATGACCCTGGTGCGAAGATCGGGGAGAATATTTGAGGGCAGGACCAAGTGTGATTCGGACAACGTCACAACGGAGGTCGAACTTACTGACTTGCCTATTATGGCATCTATCCGATAATGCAGCATAGCACAGCCACCTCACTCTGGGTCGAGGACAACATCCTAGAAGTTTAATTCTACAGCACAACCACGCATGTAAAGATGCTTCAGTGTTAAGACCATCCTTAGTGTATGTAGAGGTGTTGACGATCTTAATTCCTTGTTTTCCTCCTCCTTTGAACTTAATTCAACCCCAGACATACAAGTATAGTACGCAAGCCGTAGTTCAGGCAAAAAACGCTGTCGCTGGGCTCAAAGTGCCCGACCGTCGGGTTTGATTGTTATAGTCCGTTGTGTATATAATAGCAATACACCATCATTAAAGGAGGAACTAAATATCTTCCGTTCAATTGGTTCGAAGACTATCCACCGTACAAAAAAATATGCACGCTCACGTCAAATCATCAAGAAGTGACATCTTAAAAATGTCCAGGATATCTGAATAACGCGCATATTACCGTTAAAAAGTAAACCCGCGAAATAGAGTGAATACACTAAAATGCATGAAGAAACCAAACTAAGTAAACGAAACGAGTGGCAGACTTTCCTGCAGCCATATTATCCCCAACACTAGTTCAAAATGATGCAGCCTATGCATAGGCTCACCATACGACTCGCATCTTCCCCTCATGCCTCGTTAGAAAGCTGTTTCGGATCCTTCTCCGGCTCGCTTACCTGCGAGGTTGTGGCGGGGGTGTGACGCGGCTCGTGGTTGCCGCCAGGCGCACCTGCGCTGTACTCGCTGCGGGGCATGAGCTCGCTTTCGATACCAACATAGTCGTACGCGAATTCGCCCATCTCCGCATCATCGACACCGAGGATCTCAGTTTCCTCATCACAGCGGAGTCGGAGGCCGGGGATGTAGTGCATGATCCATAATATGATGGTCTGCAGACGAGTAAAGAGTCAGCAAACAAAAAGTCGAGAATAAATAGAATCATGCGACTGACAGTCATGACGAATGAGTAAGCAAGCCCAGAGACGGAATCTGCGAGTTGGATGCCGAGTTGGCGGTAGTTTTGGTCGAGCCAGCCTCCGGGGATTGTAGTGATGCCATCAGCACCAGCAACACTTGCTTGAGCGAATAGGCCAGTAAGGACGTTGCCGACGATACCGCCAATGGCATGCGACGCGAAGATCTAAAATAAAATAAGCATTGATTATTTTATGCCCGCACAATGTTCACTTACATCAAGTGTGTCGTCGTACTTGAAGATAAACTTGAGCTGGGTAGCAAAGTTGCAGACAGTGCCAGCCATGAAGCCGAACAAAACAGCGGCCGCTAAAAAAGTCTCAAGATTTTCATCCAACTCTAAAAAAAAGCCAGACTCACGAGAACCCACGAACCCGGAACCAGGAGTGATAGCGACGAGACCTGAGATGGCTCCAGAGCAGAAGCCAACAACAGACCACTTGCGCTCAAGGCGATAATCCCAGAACATCCAAGTCAAACCGCCAACGCTGGCTGCAAGATTGGTAACAATGCACGCCTGGGTTGCACGCAAGTTTGCGGAGAGAGCAGAGCCACCGTTGAAACCGAACCAGCCGAACCAGAGGAATACTGTGCCCAAAATAACGTAAGTTGTGTTATGAGGCTTGTAGGCGAGGCGCTCCGTGCCATATCCCCGACGTTTTCCAAGGTAGAGTGAGATCGCAAGTGCAGCAGTGCCAGAGGAGATGTGCACTGGGGTACCGCCAGCGAAGTCAAGGCCACCAAGGACATACGACCATCCTTTGGTGTTCCATGTCCAACAAGCAATAGGGTCATAGACGAGTGTAGACCAAGCGAAAACGAATGCAAGGAGAGGACCCAAGCGACTGCGTTCTGCAACGGCACCGATGGCGATCATGGGGCTGAGGTTGCATAAGCACTCTGAATTAGGACCGATAGTCAGTACCTACGTGATAGCAGCGAACATAAGCTGGAAGACGCAAAATACGATGGCAGGTACTTTAACACTGCCGATAGAGGGCTGATTGAGGACATTTCGCAAGGCAAAGTATTCTAACGAATAGGAGTCAGAAGAAACTTGCAATTATTACGGGAAGCATACTGAGGTCGCCAATGTAGGGGCTGGCGGTATCGCTGAAAGCTAGAGAATAGCCCCAGAAGAACCACTACAATCTCGGTGAGCAAACAACAAAAGGCGCTGGAGATACTAAAGTAGGACGTACCTGGAAGGAGACCATGGCGACGGTCATCATACTAAGATAGATCATATTGAGAGCATTCTTCCTCCGCAGCAAACCAGAATAGAAGAAGCCAACCCCAGGTATCATGATCCATACGAGGGCAGTTGAGGCTAGTGTCCAGGCGATGTCGCCCATATTGAACACTCCGCCGGCAGGCGATTCCAGGTCTCCCGCTGTATGCAGTACGGTTGAGGATGTTTTAGAGGAATGACGTATGCGACTTACAAGCGTCGTACGTGACGTTCACCATTTTGCCCTTAATGCGCGTTGATAAGAGGGGGGCTGCGACGAATCACGAACGAAAAACGTTCTTGAAATCGTAAGATGGTGGGCGTCCTTGAAAAGGGAGGAGAAAGGCGCCCTGTGAGTAGATATACGGGTATCTGTGGGACCTGGAGTGTCACAGCCATGCCCATTTTTTGCGTGAAATCATGCTACTGTCATACTTGGCGAGAGATAACAGTCTGCTGACTAAGCTGTCCTCGGTTTTATCATCCAATGGGTGACGCTAATTGGGCAACCTCCTTTATCTAGGACACCCTGCCAGTTTCGCGGAGTCTAAATGTTAGCAGCGGCAGCCAGATCAAACCAATACTTGGCGTAATTAATGATAACGCCTCCCACCTCCCAGAGTCCCCTATGAACATAACTACTCACCATAATCGATATAATTTCCAAATCTTCCTAAATTTGTATGTGTCTCGAAGAGCCTTGAAATCTTCTGGGCGCCGATCCTTCCAGATAGGCTGATTTTGCCTACGCTTCGTCTTGATCATCATATCAACGTTCCTGTGGATAATATAAACTCCGAAGGCACCTCCATTATTCTCATCGAACTTTTAATGTAAAAAACAATGACAAAATTCCGTTTTGCCTGATCAGTTATGTGACCGAAACACTCCGAGGCACGCGTGTAAGCGATTACAAGCACTTGTACAGCACTTGACAGCACCGCAACTTTGTAACGATGATCTACATACAGCACCTCAGCGCATTCGGCCTCTCTCGGCCCTGAGAGATCATCTGCCGCGCAACGTGGGCTCATCTTGTACGTCCCAGAAAAAAACAGGATTTCGAGTCTCATCCGAGGACTGTCCTTACTTGGCTCGTGCCACAGGTTCCTCGACTTGTCACCCATAGTTACACACCTGTACGTACGTGCAGAGAGCTGCACTCATCTTAGTAACACCCGGTGATCAGGTTGTGTGGTTGTTATGACGCGATTAGGATGCAATGCACCATACCCACCTGCATGAGAGTTGTTGTCACCGCTTCGTGAGAGGTTCATGCCTTGGCGGAGGCCTCCACCGAGGCCCGGGTGAGGTAGAGGATGGGCCGCGGACGTGATACCTCAAGGAAGCTTTCTATGTAGGTCCTCGATCGGGTGTCTATTTTATACTGATATATCTTCGTTACAACTTGCAGTGTGGATTGCTGTACGCTGCTGTACATCGAAATTCTTACTGCTCGCAACTACCCGTAGGCTATGTCGCATTGTACCTAACGTTTGACATTGCAGAGCTAAATTTCCTCTTTCGTCAATCACATGCGGCCGCGGGAGAAGCCACCTGTGCTCAAATGGGTACAATGGTTCCTCTCGGAAAGGCAACCTGCCTGCCACATTTATGTTCATCCCCGACGGGATCAACACTTTCCGCGTCCAAACGGCATATACCAGAGAATATGCTATACCAGAACCGTCATCCCATCTCACCCGCGTTATCAATAATATTCACAACTTGCCCACTCGTAAAAGCATGCTGATGGCGGCCGCCCGGCGTCATCCGCTACAGCGCGGCTATAATATATTGGCAACAAGAACGCCTCTTGTCACCTGCACTCGACAAAGTCGACACGTAATTACTCCGCAGCGGGTCCATCCATTAGTCAACAATTGGGTGGCAAAGACATCGAGAAATCAGCATTAGTACCTCACCTGACGACGCTCCACAACTGGTAGACTATAACCAACTACGCTACATGTTCGTTGGCTCCCTCGTCACGGCATTACCATGCCAGGACGTCTATCTCAATCCCGCTTCGAGCAATCTACGTGGCCCGTATTTGCATTGGCACTTGTCATACATCATGTTGCGCCCGCCCTGAGTGGTGGACCAGTAGGAAAAACGCATGCAATGAACACTTCCTTATCGCATTCCGGATCACACATGTCAAAGCCTTGGAACCGGAACTTTGCATCCCACCAATTACTAATTAGACAGGGTCAGTGAAAACACGTTACGGTTGCTGAGATTACGTATATGTAGCGAAGTCCTGCAGCGCTCCGATCAGATGTAGGACAACAATCAGATCCAGACCCACCCTGCACGCCACGTCGATGCAAGCCCCAAAACGACATGGCTGAATCAACTACCATGTTTCATCCCCAGATGCGGAATGCACACGTACGCAGTACGACAGGTGTGCGATGTGAACATGCTACCGCTGACATAGTATCAATATAGAACGAGAAGTCCGTGGTATATCCCTTTCAATCTCGGCGCTACGAGTACGAAACGGAATCGACGGATTTCTTGCCGAGTCGGACTACTGTCGGACTGCGATTGCATAGGCACCTGGTTACTAGACCATACCACACCCACAGACAAAGGAAGGGTTAATGAGGAGACAGGGGATATCACTACCCGACATGGTCGATCGCAATTTCCGGTAGATTTTCCTCGACGCTCAAGCCCAAGTGCGAAAATACTTCTCAAAAACTCCACAGGAGAGTATATATATGCCTAACAAAGTCAAAAGTGGACACGCTGCCTCACGAATACTACGCACCATGGAGTCTACTGCATATCAATCGGATAATTGCATCATACCCGCGAACGCATTCTCAGAGACGGCCTTATATTCAAAAACTAAAAACAACGAATCCTTCTGCGCAAGGTCTCACGGGACCTCATGCTCAGCGAAATTGTGGGAAGTGTACTAAGGTACTGTCTGACAAACATTGATCTGTCCGGGACGACTCAAAAAATGCTAAAAGAGAGACGGAGGACGTGAAGGAGTGGGAATGGAGGGAGATCAGTGCCGATAGCATGATATGGCACGACCAGTTCTAAACTTCTAGATATGAGTTGGGAATTTTACATTCCAATAGCATCGGATTCGCAACTCAGAGTTTGGTATTTTCGCCCTTAAGGTTGTGCGAAACATAGCTAAATTTGATCTCGTTTAGCATATCCTGACCTCGGCGGTGTTGCACCAGGAACTAGTAAATAGATGAAAGACATAGTTAGAGTACCCAGCTTTTACTTCTGTCTTGCATAAAATTTGATGTGTTCGGCGAAAGGGTTCAAAGACAGGACGGAAGCAAATGCACCCGAACACACACGAAGGTAAATGTATTGCGATCAGTGAAGAATAGAATGTCGCGGAGACTTGGCGGAAGTTGCATAAATCTGTGAGGGATAATAGGGAATACCCATATAAAGTCGAAGGGACGTTAGCCGGACGAAAGCATAATGAGCGAAATGCGTACCATGCCATTGGAGGCCATTGACAGTGGAGAAAGGGGGGGAAACATCAGCATGTCAACATCAACGATGACTTGTTGCAGAATGGGATTTCGAAATGAATTGTAATTGATGGTATTTGGGCGCAGAGATACCGCAGTCCAGAAAGTTCGGGACGCATCTGACAGGCGCAAAATCATCGAGGGGCCGGCAATTGCCCTTCTACAATATAGCAAGGGCGTATCAATGCACCTGTTGCGCTCCGATAATGCTGCTTTGGAATGTTCATCTCACCTCGCGAAGAAATCAGTACCTTTGTCTCGTGTCTGGGATTGTGCACGTTAATTATCACAAACCGCAGCCCTGATGCATCGTACATACTTACCAGGTGCTTCTCCGATCAGTACACGCGCTGATTATACATAGGTAATCGAGAAAGATCTGGTTAGAAATTTGTGCCGTGACACAGCATAGTGTAAAAAATCTACATGTCAGTGTGAGCTTGAGCTGTGTCGCTTACCTTCTTGCTAGGGCGGAAATTAATGAGCGATACTTGAAATCTGACGCGGACGTCCGCAAGCGCATACAACCAAAAGAATTTAGGTGATTGAGTTCAACTTCGCACTCACGTGAGTCATATCCCAAACTCCGATCATCCCATGATGCACTCGCCGGTCCGAGCCATCAGAGCCGCCTCGTAGTAAGCACAAAACTTTACTATTTATTTCCTTCACACTCGAACTGCACACTATAACTCACGAGAGGGTGTGGGAGAAACTGGGAGAAAATTTTCGACGGGAACCTCCTAACTCTTTTCTAAATGAACTTACATGTTAAACACGTTTGCCATTGGATGATGGACCCACCTTGAGATGACCCCTAGGCAGAAGCCTTACATCTTTTATTTCTGTCCTTTGGGGTAATATACTCCATGTAGGACAATACTGACGAATCTGAGGACCCCTGTGCACTAACGCACCTCTGAAAGTGCAAATGCACGCAAGGAGCCTTGCATTTGGGGAACGAACGTCTCACCTCTGTGGTGCCTAGGGGATTTTGGAACAAGTTCGAAGTCAAAATTCGCCCTCGTACTTCGTTCACATTCAAAGCAGTGGTGAGCCCTGAGCCTGAGATTAGTGAGAGGTGACGTGCATAGTGACTTGCAATAACGAGAGTTACCGAATGTATAGCGAGTACATTTATTAAGGTTTTGCATGGAAGCTACAACCACCCACATCGAAGCTCTCTCGTTATAGCCAACCAGATGCCTTTAGATACGATCGACGATGTTTGTCTCTGTAATAGGCGTGCCAGTTGTTAAGTGGGCGGAATAGGGCGGAACGTGAATGATTAATGGAAAGGCTCACCGGTTTCAATAAGCCTTCTGCGGCTGCCCGTCGGTCCTCGGATGAATGCAGCAATGAATTAATGATCGACATGTGACAATTTGACCTTGAGATCTCTGCTTCAAAGTTCTTGTCTGCGATGCCGTGCGCCTTTCTCAGTTGCACAAGCAGAAGTTCACTGGGTATCCCCTGCTGCAGAGTCCGGCTAAGAGTTGAGACAAGTCAGTGAGCCGGACAAGGGAGAATCTACATAAGCAGTGATACTCTGAATCCCAAATTATGAATGGACGCTCGTACAAGTTTTCCGTCCGATTGCTCCGAGGACATTCAGTGTGAATGATAGTCAACAGACCGGTCAGAATGAAGCCAGATGGGGATCCATAAGAAAATTAGCATCCGTCAGACACCCGTCTGGAACAAGCTTTTGAGATCACGGTCTCGGCAATCCTGCCAAAGGTGGAGTCTGGACATCGTACATCATGTTGAGCGAATAGGTATCTATCGGTGTGGACCGGTTTGTAGTAAATATGGTTCCCGTGCGTTTGACCGTAGAACCAGCATTAAGACAATGAATCCTGCGACTGAGCACCGTTAATTATTTAGAGTTCCAGGTGGTTGATTTTGAACTTTTGTTTGGCTGTGTTTGGCAAGAAATTCAGTACATGTTTTGCTGCAAAGCTATGGATGATGTTCTGCAGGATGGCTAGCCTCTTCTCCTTAAGTTCCAGGCCACAGGCCCTCTTTCGATTAGCAAGCGCCGCCAATAGACCACTGTGCCGTAGAAATTTGCATCTGACGGCTGTAGGTGAGGAACACGACAGCAGAGCGTCTTCAAGTGCTTGACAAATTTTACGCAGTTCGACAGACCAGAGATGATGACCTCTTCTCATCTGCGGCTCCGTCTGGGGCTCCGTTATCCGAAGCGTCTAGGTCCACCGCTGCAGCCAAAGCGAAATCTCAGGACGCTGCTACGCGTCGAGAACAACAGTTTTATGAGCTTGTGGAATATGTGACCGACCGCACGGGACGCAAACGCGCCATCAAAGCCGGCCAAGTGCGCCAAACTGCCTGGCTCCGGCTGTTCCAGCTCGCAAATTCGTCAGAGCAGCTAGAAATGGTAGCAGAGCTGTTTCCGAGGTGGAGAGACTCGGGCAAAGAGTTCCGCCCCATACACGCAGAGGCTTTTGTCTGTGAGTTCAGCATCCTATCGCTGCCCTACTCTCTGCTGAGATTCACCAAGGCCGCTGTGAGGAGCTGAAGTGTCCGACACTTGCACTCAAGGTTTTTGGAGATCATCCGAAATATGGTCTGGGCTTGAGCTCTCTCTCCGCTGCACGGCATATGCTGCACTCGGTCTATGCCAAGCACCCGCTTTCAGATTCTATGACTGTCGCAGCTCTCTTTGGTGTCTACAAGCTCCCACCTGTTTCATCTGACCTCGCTGCTTGTTCCATGCTCTACTCCGCATGCCTCAAAGATAATTCCGCAAATGCGCGGGTCGTGGGCAAGGCGTTGCACGAGGAGCTCAAGAAGCATGCCCAGGACAAGCCTCCCATCAGGGCTCCACGGGAAAGCGTGATGAGGGCAAGATATGCAGAGAAGCCCAATATTTGGTTGCTGGACGCCCTCAAGACCATTGAGAACGTACACAAAAAGTCGGGAAAGGAGTGGAGGTGGTTACGATCTTGGACAACAGAGCGTGAATGGCGCCCCCGCAATACGTTTACTCCCAGGCAACCTGCAGCTACCGCTGAGCACGCGTAGTTACAGCTTCTTTTATTACCAGTCGTATCTAATGGATTTCTTTTAGAACTGGAATTTGACGCAAGCGTATACTCCCGAACTCCCATCATTGATGAGCGTGAATACTGATCAGTAATTCCGTATATTGGATATTTACAATTGATGCATGCTTCCTTGTCTACTTAAGTGGTGGCGAGTCTAGCGTACCAAGTCAGCTCACATGACCAACACGGTTCTGCCTAACTTCTGCTGTCATAATGCTCTCGATCTTCTATTCGCGTGAACGTTGAATCTAGGCTTGTCTATTAGCATGACGATGTCGAAATGCCACGGTTCAAGTACAGATCTTGGCGGCTTGATCGGTCCGCAAAGTACCCTCATGACCTGATCATGGCCCCGCTTCAAACCATTTACATAAACAGCTTATCCCTAGACTTGAGTCGCTCATTTCCCAGTCATGACAACCCACGCACTCCTACAAGCATTCAAGGCCTCCAAGCCCGCATTCGGCGCATGGATCACCTTGCCTGGCGTGCTGAACGCACGTGCTGTCGCACAGGCCAGCCCACACCTCTCATGGGTGATGATCGATTGCGAGCACGGTCTTACATCGCTCCAGCCTGGTGCGGCAGAGTCTATCCAGGCCATCACCGGTCTTGGACCCAGCGCGCCGAGTGCACTCGTGAGGATTCCAGCCACGGGATTGAGCGACAGTACATCATGGCAAATTAAATACGCGCTTGACGCAGGCGCACGGGGTGTGCTTGTTCCTATGGTGGGTATTTTCAGAAGAGTCTGGAGCTGTATCAGACCCTATGTCAAACTTTAGGTCTCCAATGCCGAGAAGGCGAGAGAGATCGTGGCCGATAGTCGCTTCCCTCCTGGAGGTCGGCGCGGCTTTGGTAGTCCATTCACCCATGGCGTATGGAGCATCAATGCCGCCGAGTACATCAAATCCGCAAATGACAATGTAGTGATTATGATACAAATCGAAACGAAGGAAGGGGTGCAAAATGTTGACGCCATCGCCGCTGTAGACGGCATCGGTGAGTCAGATATAATTGGGTACATTACCAATGTGATCACACCGCATCTCGGTTGTAGATTGCTTATTCATTGGTCCTTACGATCTTTCACTGTGCTTGGGATACCCTCCTCCCTCTCCCGACCCGCACCCTGATGTGGAAATTGTCATTCAAAATATCCTCAAAGCTGCACATAAGGAAGGAAAGAAGTGGTAAGATGCGTACTGAAGGTCTTGCTATTATCGCTGATCCATTCATGATCAAGCGCAATTTACTGCACCTCAGGAAAGCAGTCCCTCAAACGTGCTGAGGAAGGCTTCGACATAGTGAGACTACCTGATTGAAAGTCGTGTTTGTGGCTCACTCGTCTTTTCGTCACGCAGATCAATGTCACTTCGGACATTGGCGCAATGACCGAGTCAGTGGCAGCAAACCTTACCGCCGCAGTAGGCGGAGAATCTGGAGCTGCAGCATTCCGATACTAATGTGGAGAAAGTAAATCTCAGCGATGAATGTACACAAAACGTCGTTTTACAACTTGAACGTACTGAAGGAATCATTGGTCCCCTCACATAGGTAGCGACTGACCGTTTCCTTGGTAGTCATAATCAAAGACCAAGAACGCCGGGCCAGCGACAGTAGCATCATCGGACACTCTCTCCCTGTTGTTCGTGATTACTGAGAACACAAAACCCTGCAGCGCGTCCGGGATGGTAACCGTCATGTCGGCGTTGAGAGGTACAACGAGCGCTCTGAACCCTGAGATGAACCAAGCGTACAACGTCTGTGAATCGCGTTTCGAAGCTGCGGGCGTGAACGACACTTGCACAGTCTGCCCTGGCTGAGGACTGTCGGTGAACGTGAGTGCAGGAAATTTCGTGACGGGAGGATGCGAATTAGAGGATGGACAAGAGGTGATGAATGCACTCATGACCGTGTATAGTTGACTGAGACTCAGTGGCGCCTGTTGATCATTCATCTCGGCATGTACGTAGAAAGATAAGACGTCACGTACATCAAATGCCGTGCTCCAAGCAGGCACCCAAACGCACGTCCGCGTTGATCCACGCTGAGTGTCTCGCTTCCACGGAGTGAATAGAGCTGATGGAAATGAGATAGTCCTGAAACGCATTTGAGTTGAGTTTCCAACATGGAGCGATAGAAATCGATGTACGGAATCGGACAAATACTTCACGAGACTTATATACATCGACGATGCTATTGCTTCCACGATGTTACTAGTCTTCACGAATGACCTCAGATCGGTGTCGGGACTGATGGAGGGTTATTCAGCACACGTGCAAACCACAAGCAAGGAACGAGCTGACAAGGTATACGTGCACGGCTGATCAGCCTTGTCACCCAGGATATTCTCAAGGAACTGAGTGTGCGTAAGCTCATGCGAGGATATCTGTGCGTATCTCCCCTGCGACCAGGGCGGTAGACCAGCGTTGGAGAAATCCTGTGGTTCGTACTGGTGCAGTTGTTGATAAAAGTAGTACTGGAAGTGTTCGAGGGAGAGGGCAAAATTTAAAGCTTGGGTCTCTGTTGTGTATTCGTCAGTAGTTGAAGCTTCAAGGAAAGAAAACACGTCACCTGTCAGCGTGCTACCATCGTCACGCCGCTCTGATGGAAGGGAGAGAACGGAAGAGAAAAGAACGACGAGGGCGAGTGACGTAAAGACGACCTTCATCGTGAACCGTTAAATAAGACACAAGGGTATACAGGGATTTGCTGAAAAATGCGGGTATCGTCCAGAGAAGAGAGAAACGACTTACGAAGAATATCAGTGGAACATTTTATATGTGTGAGCATGTCAGCCAATGTCAGCCTCTGTGATGGTGAAATCTAGTCAGCCTCAGCCTTCAGGGCTGTCAGCCGCCGGCAGCCTCCCAAAGAATTATCCATACAGGCAACTCCTGACTTCGAACTCGTCAGTGGAAACAGACCGCAAGGAAGTTGTAAGATGACAGTACCAGGCGAAATGGCGCCAACTCGTCCCCCAATCACCTCCGGTCATTTTCTTGAGATATGTAGTGACTGTAACTTAGTACATCGTGATAGTACCGGTGTTACTTGCCTTCGAATTAAAAGATCATTACAACACCAAAATTGGTATTCTCATGTTTCTCATTGAGAGCGTCTGGAGAACACCTTTAGTAATATCATCAAGATGAAGCAACAACGAATGTAATCAGTAAGTATAAGCAGGGAACATCTTGGAAAGTAGCTATAGTCCATCAATACACTGGAACATGAACAGAAAACAGAACAAATAGTCCATCAATACACTGGAACATGAACAGAAAACAGAACAGATAGTCCATACATGAATCTCACAACTCTAATCACAACACCACGTGCACTTCACGATTCATCCACGCCGTCAGAATTGAAGTCAAAACTCAGAAAGGCGGGTCCAGCGATCGTCACGTTGTCAGTCACCGTCTCATTATTGGTAGTGATCACGGGGAACACGACGCCCTGTAAAGTTGACGGAATAGTGACTGTCATTTGAGAGCTCAGTGGCGCGAAAGTGGCCCCAAGGCCGGCGATGAACGCGACGTAGAGTTGCTCGGAGGTCGTTGTCGCGTTAAAGGTAACTTGAACGGTTTGCCCTGGTTGAGCACCGGTAGGGAAGGATAACGCAGGGAATGCTTTCACAGGCAGTGGCATGTTAGAGGAAGGGCAGGATACGATGACGCCGGATGCGAGGGTCCACACTTGATTGAGGTCAAGTGGGGTCTATGCAGACATTGAGTAGGGGTCTTCAGCAACAAGTAGGGGAACATACGTCGAACGCGGTGTTCCACGGGTTAGCTTTCAAGACCGCCGAATTAATCCACGCTGATTGTCTCGCTTCAACAGCTAGAATAGCAGCCGATGACGTAATATAATCCTGCAAACATCAATGACGGAATGAATACATCATCACAATCAAGCCGCATTTGTTCCTAACTTACCGAGTTTGACAAGAACTGCGCCGCACCAGAATACGCAGAAACGCCGACCGTTTCCAACATGAAGCTAGTTGTTACAAAAGATTCTGGGTCTGTATCAGGGCTAACGCAGGGGCGGCTCACTCAGCACTGTACGATTTACTCTCATGAAATCTTTACTCACAAACTGTAGGTGCATGGCTGTACCGCCTGATCACCAATTACGGTCTCGAGGAACGACACGTGTGTCGACTCATGTTGTGCGATTTGGTTCCATCGTCCGCGCGCCCAGGTGGGCAAGTCTGCATCGAGGAAGTCCTGCTGGGTATACTTCTGCAAGCCTTGCGTGTAAAAGGCGTTTTCAAGGTGTTCAAGCGTAAGCGCGAAATTCAGAATTTGAATCTCTAATAAACGTATGACGTGAGATTGTGAAGAGCGGAGTAAGCGGTGAACTCACCTGTTGGGACGCTGCTATCGTCACGTTTGGAAGGCATAGCCATGCTGAGCTCGGGGAGAGCAGCGACGGCCATAAGAGCTATGGAAGCTGGGGTGACCCTCATACTGCTGGATTTGTCGTGATGTGGAATGGAAGGAAAATGGGCGTCAGGTATACACATCGGCTTTATACCCCATGCAGATACAAAATACAAACCGAACAATGCCAATAAAATGAACTCCGCAATGCCGATGGCACCGCCTGTGAACATTGTTTCAGCATGATTATTGGCGATGAGTACAGGTTCAGCTAGTTAGCTTTGGGCATTCTGCTCTTGTCGGCATCGCGTTTTGGGGGTGAGATGATCGAACGTTGGCACTCTGAGGACAAGGGTTTCAGCGCGACCCCAAGTATAGCGTAAAATTGGGTGTGTGCCTCGACAGCTGTCGCAGTGTGTTAAAGGTGCGGCATTACCGGCGCGAAGGATGTGGCATATGGCTTCTTCCTAGAAGATAGTCTCGGCGACGGCCGGCTGGCCTCTGCGAATCTGCCATAAGGGTCATTGCTAGTGCCTAGTGAAGAAAGACAAGTCAGTGGTATAGATAAGACTCGAAGGCATGTACTTACTAGTAGCGTGTCACTCGGCATGAACAAAAGTCACTGATCATTGTTTTCCATTGCATGTCAACGTTGTGACAAGTGGTTCAATATACACCACGTCCATACTTTCCTCGGTGTGCACGACTTGCACAGGCTCTCCAGTGATTGTGAATCATCTTCCAACTTGAACAGCATTTCCTTCAACATATATATGGTTAGCTGCTTCGCAGGGTTGCGAAGCAGTTCACGAAGTTTCTGGTTTATGAGAAACCGATGACAAGGGAAAGGCGGTGATTAAACTCCGATACCGAGGCTTAGGGGCTACCAGTGTAAGTACTGCAGCAGGAACTTAGCTGCGAGTCATCGGGAGCAACCACCACTCACAGGTATCTTCAAGAGAAGCACCATAGCCGCGGTACACCATACCCAATTTTGATCTTGATGAGCAGCTCGGCGTCGTTTGACCACACGTGGACCATCTTGTCTGCACCGCCGCTTGCGAACTGGTCGCCTTGTGGAGAATACTTGACTGCATCACCAAACCGTGATAGGTGTCTATCGGTGGTGCGAATTGTCTAGTTTCCATCTTGGTATGGTGCCGTCGTATGATCCACTTGCTATCTCCACCGCATCCGGGACCAATCGAGGCACTTCACTCTAATCTTATGCCCCTCCCACGGGTCGCCAATCACACTGCCCTCCTTTGTGTCCCATAGCTGTAATCTGCCATCCACGTCATCGTTTCATTTGAACACAGCGCCATTGAGATTTACCAATTGTCCGTCACCACGATGTGGTCAGAGTATCGCGGTTGACGAAGTAGGGCCGGCCGAGTGGTGAGATGTGCCATTCGCACCTGGCAACAAGATCTCCAGGTACATCAATGCATTCTCGTGAGTTCATCGCCGCCGGTGACCTAGTCGGAGTCCTAGTAAAGATCAAATTTTGAAGCCATTAGGAATGTGCCGTCTTGATATATCATGTTGTTATCCAATACCTTAAATTATCGCCACTGAGGGAGCGCTTCATTCCCGCCTGCTTCTTGGTGAGTCGGTCGGTGGGTATTTGAAATGCGGTGGCTCACCCTTCCAGAGTGCATCCTGAAGGTGCTGTGTGCCGTATTGAGGCGGATCCTCCGCGCTCGTCGGAGGTGCAACAAGTGCCCTCTAATTTTCCGACATGCCCGACCTGGCCTCTTCGCGCAGCGTGATGTTGACTTGGAACGCCTTGAGATGTTTACAGACAGAAGTGCGTCGACGGACAGTGAGTTACAATGCGATCGATAATGCACAGAATCGATAATCAGGGGCGAGGACAGATGTTAGTAATAGTGGAGGTGATAGAGACCTGTTAAATAGTCAGTTTAGTAAACCGATTTGCAGCCTCCTTCCTTAGATGTTCGCTTCCTATCATCATCTTTTATGGCCTTGTTTCGTAAGGGCAGTGCCTCACGATATGGTATCAGAGCCTGTATTACTTTCTTGCAGCTCAAGTCGCAGTTGCACGCCCCCGTCGGCACCCTCTTGAATTCCAGAGCAATTTCCGGTAATATGGGGAAGGGGGGAATGATATTGTTTGCCCACATACGCGTTAATGTCTATCGCTATGACTTACTTATCAGGGTATCAAGTGTTCGGTACGCAAGTATCCGTCACGTCACTTTTGGAAGCTGCGGCGGATTTCCATCAACCTGGCGTCAAAACACCTGACATTAATGAAATCTCCGCATTTCAAAATAAGATCATACCATCATCCACACTCGTCGGGCAACACTCCAGCGGCTTCTGGCTTTCATCATTTTGAATGGCGCTTGTGGGTCACGACGAAACCCTAGTCCTGCTGCCCCTGGACCTTTACTCCCGACTAATTGATCAGGCACGTTCACATATTTATGAGCTTGACGCTCTCATGGAAAGATTAGTGGTTTTCATTGTATGGCAATAATGCGGTATCACCTCATAGATCATGTCAACGATTCAGCCCCACTCATCGGATGACAGCTGAGAGTCGTTCAGATAAGCAAAGTTCTGGTTGACAGTTAATTTTACAAGGACGGCCATACAGCGCTGGCATCATTGGTACCGTAAACCGGCGCCCATGATGCAAATGATGGATGGTGTGCATGCAAGATTGGGAGAAATGCATAAGTTGAAATTATAGATGTGACGATGAGACGAACTGCGGAACCTCCAAGGAACTTGGCAAATCACGGGTCACCTACAAGTAACAAGACGGTGTCGCTAGAACAAGGCTGATGCTGATGCCCATGACGACATGAAAGATGTATAATAAGAGGTCGAGAGATTGACACCAAACTGACATGATAAGAGACGAATGAAGTAAAAAGAGAGGGTGATGAGGTTTGTACATATTTGGTTTGGGACTACGGAGGGCCGAGCTTCGCCAGCAGGCACAGCTTGTTACCACTACGAAGCACAGCACCCAGCTTCATTCCATGAAGTCAAATACCGCGAACTTTGCCAGTCGCAGTACGCTATATATGATACAGTTACATTTGTACGTATTTGGTTTGGGATTGTTCACTCGGAGAAATAATCATAATACAACATAGTACTGTTGTCGAGAAGAGTCTCGGGTCCCCACTATTGACGATGTAAAATCAAAGAGCACTGCCTGCTGTGCCAGCTGGTAGAAAAGGCCGCTGACGAGGGCATTAAAAATGAAAGATTCATGTCTAGATCTCATTAACGTGTTCATTTGACACCTAATACAACTATCTTCCTTCTATTGGGTCTGACCAGGAGAGACTACATTTGATATGACCTGACAGTGACTTGATTAATTGAGGTGAAGCCTCCGACAAAGTCGAGATAATAAGCGGTGTAGTCAGAGGCACAGCGTCCAGGGACACCGCATGATCGAAGCGCAGTCCAGCTTTGGTCTAACCAATTATTGACGTGCCCTCTGAACCGTAACTGACAGCAAACATTGAGGTATTGCAACGCGCTCATACTTGTAAGAATGGATGTTTTACTCAGTCGGCATTTGCAAAGAAAGCCTGCATTAGAATTTTCTGCGTACCAAGAAACCTTGCAACCGGTCTTCTACAATGACAGCCCCTGTTGATGTCAGGAGACGGCGGGGCAATATTAATATTAATATGTTCACTGATTGAAACTTCGAGCGGTCTGCTACATAACGTACAAAGAAACAAATGACCTGAATCATAAATCATGACGAATGATCTGCAGAAGCAGAGCATTGCAAACCCTGACGTAACGGAAGTACGAGAAAAACACTGCAAGGGTGTTATGAAGTCAAGCTAAACGCATCAATAGGCAAAAAGGGTATTGACCGGGGATGCCAGCTGCACAGGTTCTATGTGGGCCTGCGACGAACAAGATTAAACCCACAGCATCCTATCACACACGATTCTTCTATGGCAGCATCAGAATTTCCCCCTCGGGAGGTGTGTGTTGGTCGTGACCCTTCTACCCCGGTTGCAGGTTGACCTTGTCGTGTTGAACTATTGCCCTTGGTGTTGCTCTTGCGTTGCTTATTTAGGGCCTCTATCTCAGTTGGAGAGGCAATGTCACGCAACTGTAAATGGATTTCAGTAGATCAAAGAGGGGCGAATATTGCTGACGACGAGGGACTCACCTCGTCCGCCTCGGCATGAGCAACATCAACAAAGCCTCTGGAGATTTTCACAGGGAAAAGGCTGAAATTCCAATGCCGGAGCTCGAGCGGCATTGATTGGGGAGCATTTGCAGGTCGAGTGCTGAAGCGCAGGGAACTGACCAATTTACGCAGATGCTGTGGAAACGACGGGACAGAAACTGCGGGTTCTGTATGATTATTCCAGAACTCATTGCCCTGATTCGGTGTCAGGCTAGCAAGCGCAGAGGAAAGATGGGAAATTACTGACATATCTTCCCAATCCTCTGTCATTGGCGTGCTGCCTAGGTATGGGGGGCGTGGAGAAGTTCTAACGAAATACATGAGCAAAGGATGAAAGAGAGGCCGAGATGACTCACTTTGAGCTTCGCGTTGGGCTTCACAGTGCTATCATGTGCACTCTGAATAAGACCCATACCTACTTAGAAAGACGCCGACAACAGTAATGCACATACTCACGCCAACTTGGTCACTGCCCTGTTTAAGCACTGCCTCCAAGCTCCATACGTAGATCTTTGCGTCCATTCCAGCACTGGCGATGTGTTTTCCATCGGGGGAAATCAAAAGAGTCCAGAGTTCATCGTCATGCAAGAGTGGTTCCCCAACTGACTGATTCATCGTGAGGTCCCAGATGCGAACCGAGTAGTCCATTGATGCGCTGACAAGATAGGATTCATCCGGGGACAGGCAGAGGGATCTGATGCCGTTGGCATGACCCCGAAGAATAACGAGCTCCTCTCCATCGGTTAACCGCCACTTTCGGATGGTGCGATCCATTGATGCCGAGAAGATGTGTGTGCCTTCTTTGGACCAACACAATGACGCCACCAAAGCTTCATGGCCATCGATCTTGAT